CAGGACCCTTTTTGGTGCGGTCCTTGGGCTCTCCCCTCAGGAAGGGCCCCCCAAAGTGCTCGATATCAACAACACAAGGAGTGACTCAAAAAATTATGATTTTGTCATTTGGGAGTTGTAGTTGCTGGGATTTATAGTTCACCTACAATCAAAGAGCATTCTGAACTCCATCAATGATGGAATTGAACCAAACCTGGCACACAGAACTCCCATAACCAACAGTAAACACTGGAAGGGTTTGGTGGGCATTGAGTTATAGTTCACCTACATCCAGAGAACACTGTGGACTCAAATAATGATGGATCTGGACCAAACTTGGCACGAATATTCCATATGCCCAAATATGAACACAGATGGAGTTTGGGGGAAACAGACCTTGGCATTTGGGAGTTGTAGTTACTGGGATTTATAGTTCACCTACAATAAAAGAGCATTCTGAATCCCACCAACGACAGAATTGGGGAAAACTTCCCATGACCAACAGAAAATACTTAAGGCCAGCTAATCCAACTCCCTTCACCAGGGCAAGAAAACGTAATCAAAGCCCTCCTGACAAAGTGCCATTCAGCCATAGATATGGATGGATATATATGTTTCACACACAGGGAGATATAGTATAGATCTGGAAGGGACCCCTAAAGAAGGACAATTATATGTTGTATGTTCCAGAGTAGTAATGAGAACACTGACAAATAAACTGCAAGAAATGCTGTTTACCCTCAAGCATAAAGAAATGACATATATTAGAAACCAACACTTTCTCATTACTTTATTTTCCAGATCACCAGACTGGGCCACAGCAACGCGTGGCAGGGGATGGCTAGTATTTTTTTTAATGGTGATGCTTGCCGGATGGAGCATGCTACCAACCAGTAGAAGCCTTAATAGTTCATAACCACACTTTGAATTTGTTATTTTATTACATTCTGAAATGTACCTGTTTGTAGAAGAGGTAAGCATTCTATGGTCTCTGCGGAAGAAAAAGCAATGGGGGTTAAACATCACATCATCAAACCTTGAAAACATAATGGATCAGTTGATATTATAGTGTGGACAACTAAGAGATGCTGAAAAACATCTACTGTGCTTGCAAAAATTTATATTTTGTCTTTGCGTAAGGGGATCTCCTCAACACCAATTCAAATTTTCATTGGTTATTATATTTTTAAAAAATATTTAAAATATCTGCTGTATATACTCAGTTGGAGGTCTAGGAAATGACTCAAAGAACCTGGGTCCATTTATTAATGGGTCAAGGTAAATACTGTACCTTAACTGATTTTTAAAAAAATAATCTGTCTGAATAGAGTGTTGAAAGGTGAGTGTGTAGTCCAGTGGTTCCTAACCTTTGCTCCTCCAGGTGTTTTGGACTTCAGCTCCCACAATTCCTAACAGTTGGTGAGCTGGGATTTCTGGGAGTTGAAGCCCAAAACAACTGGAGGACCAGAGGTTGGGATGCACTGGTTGAGTCCATCCTGGGAGAATGTAAAAGAAGCACATACCTCTCTTCTCTCCCTTGCAGAATCACCTCTCTCTTCTTTCAATGCCAGCCCAAGAAAATGGGAGTGGCAGCCAGGGGCAGCTGGCCCCTTGCAGAGGTGCTGGCCTTCTTCCTTCTCTACCTTTGATTTATCCACAGGTCATATTAAAAATCTATTAATTTTGACTTCAAACCTGCCCTTGACTTATACATGAGGTCATTTACATAGGGGTATAGAGGCAGTCCCTGGGTTACAAACATCCGACTTACAAATGACTCATAGTTAAGAATGGAGCTGAGACAACAAAAAGTGAGAGAAATCTACCCCTGAAGCCGAGCACCCCCCCCCCCAAAAAAAACAAGGGATAGTGACTTATAGTTCTGCAAAAGGCAAGGGCACCAGACTGCACAATAGGGGTTAAGTCTTGGTCACATTGCCAAGGCACTAACAACAACAAGGACCCCACGAGACTTTTGGGGAACGGCTGGATCTTGGGACTTCTGCCCTTCATGAGAGTTGTAGTTTCCCAAGGACCAGCTTCGATCCCAGCGTGGCAGAATTCCACCCAATGGCTCAGCGGGAAATCAACAGACCTTCCTTTTGGGCTTTAAGAGCTCTGCCTAATGTTTTGGACTTGCAAGGACATCTTTCCCGCTCATGAACTTCCCTCAAAATGAACTATGGACTTATATTGCTTGAAAATAATTTCTTTATTAAATTTCTTTGGCAGGGTGGGATAGGGAAGGAGATATTTGATATGAATTTCTGTGGATTTCTGTATTCCCCCATGTATTCTCCTTATTCTTGCCCTGACACCCAAACCTATCACTCCTTCCCCCTCCCCTTGGGTAAATCAATCCAGGAAGCAGCCAGCTGTTGAAAGGGCAATCAGGGCAACAAAAGAAACTCATATCCCAGAACTCTGGCAAGGACAATAAGACCTGGAATCCCTATGTGTCTTCAGGATTAAGGCCATCAGGCTGGGGATTTCCTTCTGCAGACTTTTGGCCATTTCACAATAGGAGCAAGACGCCCTTCAGGGGGCCGCCTTCCCAATTTTGTTTACTTCATTCAAAACCAGACATTTCCCCAGCCTCCCCTTTTGTGCCTTATCTGATTGTGGCAGGAAGGCCAGGATGAAAGTAATCAAGGATCAACGCAACTCCACTCAAGGACAATAGACTGGGCATCGCATCCATTGATTCATTCGCCGGCTCATTGTTTCTGTTTTCATCCCGCCTCTCTCAAGGCGCTGAAGCAGGGAAAGCTCTCCAATTGGAGGGCAGAGGGAGTGAGTTTTGAAACTTTCAAACCTACATTTTGCTATAAATATGCCTCTGATCAATGTACTGGTATGCTTTGTGTGCGATCTATCACCACATTGCATCCGTCTCAGCTGAATCGCTCATTAAACCTCAGTGCCACTTCTTCGCTTTGGCAAGAGTCTCATTTCAATTTTTAATATTAATAAAATTGCTGGAATCAGGCTTCTCTGAAGGCTTGCCAAGGTAGTGTTCCCTCTTTGGTGGGAACTAAGGGTCCTCTCCCCTTGGAGTTGACCCCCCTAAAAATAGTTTGACTTCACCCCAGGAAGGGAAAAGTTATAATTGGGAAAAGGGGTCTCCACTGAAGCTTTATCACCAATCCTTGTTTCCACAACAAACCAAATTTTCCAAATTCAAATGATAACAGGGACAGAAAGTGAAGTGAAATCTTCTGAACAGGGGAACAGACAGCAAAACGAACACCACAGGGGTCTTAGCCCTTCCCTATGCTATCTAAAGTTAATATTCTGTGTGTGTGTGGGGGGGGGGGGTTAAAGGTTTCCCTTTGACATTAAGTCTGGTGCTCATCTCCATTTCTAAGCCGAAGAGCCAGTGTTGTCCACAGACACCTCCAAGGTCATGTGGTGTATGGAGTGCCGTTACCTTTCCACCAAAACGGTACCTATTGATCTACTCACATTTGCATGTTTTCAAATAGCTAGCTGGTGCTAACAGTAGGAACTCACCCTGCTCTCTGGATTCGTTCCGCTGACCTTTCAGTCAGCAAGTTCAGCAGATTAGCAGTTTAACCTGCTGCACCAAGGACTCATATAGATAGATAGATAGATGATAGATAGATAGATAGATAGATAGTGTATGTGTACACACACACACACACATCTATATAAATAAAAATGTAATGTCCGTTTGTGGGATTGACAGAACTCAAAAACCACTGGACGAATTGACACCAAATTTGGACACAAGACACCTAACAACCCAATGTATGTCCTTCACTAAAAAAATTGATTTTGTCATTTGGAAGTTGTAGTTGCTGGGATTTATAGTTCACCTACAATCACAGAGCATTCTGAACCCCACCAACAATGGAATTGAACCAAACTTGGCACAGTGAACTCCCATGACCAACAGAAAATACTGGAAGGGTTTGGTGGGCAGTGTCCTTTGGTTTTGGAGTTGTAGTTCACCTACATCCAGAGATCACTGTGGACTCAAACAATGGTGGATCTGGACCAAACTCTTCACGAATACTCAATATGCCCAAATATGAACACTGGTGGAGTTTGGGGAAAATAGAATCTTGATATTTGGGAGTTGTAGTTGCTGGGATTTATAGTTCACCTACAATCACAGAGAATTCTGAACCCCATCAACATAGAATTGGACCAAACCTCCCACACAGAACCCCCATGTGGGCCACAGCAACGCATGGCAGGGACGGCTAGTACACTTATATATCAAGAGTTACACTGAAAATGTACCTGTTCCAACTTACATACAAGTTTAACTGAAGAACAAACCTATAAAATCTATCTTGTTTATAACTTGGGGACTGCCTGTATACGGTATTTCAGCAAGCTGGTACTTAGACAACATTTACAGTTCTGAATCCTGGTTATTGAGAAATTAACAATCTTGGCTTATATTAATTTTGTTCTAGGAAGTATGTGAAGGACTGATGTGTAAGGTCTCCATGCAGCTAAAATAAAATACAACTGGGTTGTAGTGAAGTAATTAGTCTAGATTCATCTGATTTAGTTTCCAAATTTATTCATACTGGTTACCTTTTGGAAAGGGCTACAAACTTTAAGGGAGGGATCTTGCTAGCCATTGACAAGAGATTCAGTCTAATATGCGAGACTTGCAGCATGCCACATTCAGCATTTGAACTAAGATAAATTACAATTGCTTTTCATTACCTTTGAATTTTTCAAAGACACTTTTCAGATAAGGGTTTTTGTCACAAAAGTCCCAGATCTTCCACTTCAGTGCAGAAGGAAAAGTAACCGAATTTAGAAATGTGTCTTTCTTCTCCCACCTGGTGGAAAACAGCATTTGTTCTTGTTTTATTGACTGTCAAATAGAATTCAGCTAATGGTGACCCTATGAATGCCAGACCTCCAAGACCCCCTTTCAAGACCATGGCTTCCTTGATGGAGTCTATTCACCTATCATACAGTCTTTCTCTTTTCCTACTGCCTTTAATTTAGCAAGCATTATCAATCCTAATGAATCATATCTTATGTCATGTCCAAATAATATATACCCTTGACAAAATAGTCAAAATATAAAGGTTTCCCCTTGACTTTAAGTCTAGTCAAGTCCGACTCTGGGGGTGGTGCTCATCTCCATTTCTCAGCTGAAGAGCCAGCATTGTCCGTAGACACCTCCAAGGTCATGTGGCTCTGCTTGGAGCACTGTTACCTTTCCACCAAAGCGGGTACCTATTGATCTACTCACATTTGCATGTTTTCAAACTGCTAGGTTGGCAGAAGCTGGAGCTAACAGCACGAGCTCTTCCCGCTTCCTAGATAAACTATACTTCTTTAATTGGCTGGCGTCTGGCCTTGACAGCTGCACTCGCAGAGCTCAGGCCATGTTGTATTTCAGTGTCAATGTTGACTTTTGTGGAGAGATGGCTGCCAAGTTAGTGGAAATGGTCAACATTTTCGAATGTTACACCATTAAACTGTATTTCTGGCATTGCAGATGGGTTGGTTGGTGACTGCTGGAAGAGCACTTTCGTTTTCCCGATGTTCAATGACAGGCCGAGCTTCTCGTATGCTTCTGCGAAGGTGTTTAAAGTGGCTTATAGGTCTTCTTCTGAATTCACACAGACGACGTTGTAATCAGCATACTGGAGTTGTATAACAGATGTTGTAACCTTGGTTTTGGCTTTCAGTCTGCTGAGGTGAAATAGCTTGCCATCTGTCCGATAGATGATGTCCACTCCGGTGGGAAGCTTCCCATCAACAAGATGAAGTATCATAGCGATGAAGACGGAAAATAAGGTTGGGGCAATAACACATCCCTGTTTGACACCTGATTCCACCTTAAATGGGTCACTTTGGGAGCCATTGCTGTCCAAGACTGTTGCCTGATGGCAACAGTCTTGGACAGAGCCGCAGAATGTTCACAAAATTGTCAGAGCCCCCGAGTTTTTGGAGGATGGTCCAGAGAGCACTGCAATTCACTGTGTCCCCTGTCCCATGTTTCCATTGTGGATCACGCCTCCTGCAGTACAAGTGTGATTTTAGAAAGGTGAACCAACTAGAGATAGATGATCACCTTGCAAATATATAATCGAGCCTGGGCTTCAAACTATGTACAATATGCAAAGGAGTGCCTTCCAAAACATATTAAGGAGAGAACAGTGGCCGCATTGATTGTGCAGCAAGATATACTGCTGGGGATAGCTGGATCTCAAGAAAACTTACTTTCCTGTTGCTAAAGAAGTTGAATTCATATATTCTGTCTTTTATTGCTCTTTGACCCTATTCCTCACATGGTCAAGAAGGGCAGCTGTTTCTGCCTGCACGGAAATCCCTCCACACCATCTTAATTTAGGACAACTCAGACAAAATGTAATCCTGTGATGTAGTCACCATTTTTCTCCAGTGTGGCTTTTAACATATTTGAAGCCAGTGAGACTTCAAAAGCTGGCATAATGCACGTTATGCTTTGGAACTGGTCCATTAAAGCTATGGCTGCCTGTCGCCTTAGGAGAAGAGGTATTAGTGGTGCTCACTTACCTCCGTATGATGCCTTTAACATCCTAAAAAGGAAAGAGAAAAAGAATCAGTAGCAATACGGCACAGTAAATGTTTTTCTTTTGGAAGAGTTAGGGTGGGAGGAGGAAGGAAGGGATGGTTTGCAGCCAAAGGCCCTCTCAGTCTAATTGCTGGAAGTAAAATGGCTAACATGGGGAAGTGTATGTCAGTGATGCTCCTGACATACAATGACATGTCACTGTCCCCAAACTGACTGTTGAAGTGCTTTTGGATTACCGCACCACTTCAAAACACTTTGAACACAGATTCAAAATGAGGTGCAGCTAATTAGTAGCCAGCTGAATTAAATCACTACTGACCGAGAGGTCATGAGTTCAAAGACAGCCCGGGTCAGAGTAAGCTCCTGATCATTAATAATCTAGCGTGCTGTTGACCTTTGAAGCCCAAAAGACAGTTGCCTCTGTCAAGTAGGAAATATAGGTACCGCTTGATGCGGGGAGGCTAATTTAACTAATCAACGATACCATAAAACCTTCCAGCAGTGTGCGTAAGAATGAGGAAGTACTCCATCAAGGACTCGGTGTCACAAGTGGGTGGTGAAGTGGCAGCTCCCCCTGTGGCCGAAATCAAGCATACCTTCAAAAATCAAGCCAGAAAAGCTGGAATGTTAAATGGCCTCTGTGTCTGTCTATATATGTTGTATTTCTAAATGGCATTGAATGTTTGCCATGTGTATGTGCATTGTAATCGGCCCCCTGCAAGGTGAGAAGGCTGGACTATAAATACTGTAAGAAAATACAAAATAATAAATTTCAGCTGCCTAGAAATGGGAGTTCCCCGTTTTGTGAAAAGTACTCCTTCATCATGAGTAGAGTGGTTTGGAATGACTCCACACTGATATTATGTGATCGTAAGCAGTTCCATTTATGGCTTCAAAGCCTATGCTACCAGTCATGTGCAATAATGTCCTTGGGCTGTCCTCTGCATGCCATCAGTGGTGAAAGAGCACAGGAGAGGGCCTTCTCCGCTGTGGCACCTCAACTGTGACAGAACAATGCTCCGGATTGGACCTGGAATAAGAAGTCAGTGTAGACAGACCCATAGACATCTGTGGGTGCAGTCAAATGGGAAGGATAGGACCTCAATCTTACCCGCAGAAGTTGATCTGCTGACTGCTGTTGCTTCTTCTCCATCTCTTGCATGATATTGTCAAGAGAGGAGATTTCACTGGACAACCTGGTCAGGTGCTCATCCCTTATCCTTTCAATATCTCGCTGTACATTATCGATCTGGTCCAGCAGAAGTTTCTCTTGTCTTTCCAAGAACTGCCGTAATTGCCTGAATTCAGTCGCCGTCTTTACTCTCTCTGCTTGTATTGTTTCTGTGTGACAAGCAGAGAGAAACAGAAGAAAAATGGCTCAGCATCCAGTATAGGAAGCATTAAAATGTCATCCATAGAAATGCCTTGTCCATTTGTTACTCATCCATTTAGAATCATAGAATCACAGAGTTGGAAGAGACCTCATGGGCCATCCAGTCCAACCCCCTGCCAAGAAGCAAGAAAATTGCATTCAAAGCACCTCTGACAGATGGCCATCCAGCCTCTGTTTAAAAGCCTCCAAAGAAGGAGCCTCCATCACACTCTAGGGCAGAAAGTTCCACTGCTGAACAGCTCTGACAGTCAGAAAGTTCTTCCCTCCTCCCTATGACTTCCTCTCACATATTTATACATGGCTATCGTGTCTCCTCTCAGCCTTCTCTTCTTCAGGCTAAACATGCCCAGCTCTTTAAGCCACTCCTCATAGGGCTTGTTCTCATTTTAGTCGCCCTCCTCTGGACACATTCCAGCTTGTCAATATCTCTCTTCAATTGTGGTGCCCAGAACTGGACACAATATTCCAGGTGTGGTCTAACCAAGGCAGAATAGAGGGGGAGCATGACATCCCTGGATCTAGACACTATGCTCCTATTGATGCAGGCCAAAATCCCATTGGCTTCTTTAGCTGCAGCATCACATTGTTGGCTCATGTTTAACTTGTTATCCACAAGGATTCCAAGATCTTTTTCACACGTACTGCTCTCTGTGGCCGAACTGAGAGAAGGGCCTCTCTGAAAGATCTTAAAGTCCTTGATGGTTTATAGGGGAGGATATGTTCAGACAGGTAAACTGGGCCAGAACCGTGTAGGGTTTTATACAATCAAAGGAAGAAAAGAAAATAGTCAGATGGAATATTTTATTATAAACATGAATTAGAAATAAGTGCAATACAACCATTCTCTCTGAGGGCCCTTCCAGATTGGCCCTATATCCCAGGATCTGATCCCAGGTTTTCTGTTTATCCCAGATTATCTGGCAGTGAGGACTCATATAATCCAGTTTAAAACAGAAAACCTAGGGGATCATATCCTGGGATATAGGGCCTGCCTGGAATTACCCTGAGAGATCAGGTGATTAGGTACCATATCCATGATGGTGAACCGTGATGGTCAGCACTGACACGCATGGCTATTTTTGATGACACGCAGACACATGTGGCCACATACAGAGAAATACACCGTATAAGAGCCAATCTAATTCCATCCTTAAATTTGTAAAAGGCTCTACAAATTTAACATATGCACGTTTGAGCACTGTCCACTTCATAACTCAGCATGGATTATACATTTTTCTCATTTAAACTATAAATATTGCAAAATTATGTTTTTTTTCTTGAAGTGACACTCCACCCAAGTTATGCTCAGGTTTTTGGCCAATTTTGACACACCAAGCTCAAAAGGTTGCCCATCACTGGTGTAGGGTTTTATACAATCCATGAAAAAAAAATAGTCAGATGGAATATTATATTATAAACATGAATTAGAAATAAGTGCAATACAATTCTCTCTGAGGGCCCTTCCAGACTGGCCCTATATCCCAGGATCTGATTCCAGGTTTTCTGTTTATCCCAGATTATCTGGCATTGCGGACTCATATAATCCAGTTTAAAACAGAAAACCTGGGGGATCAGATCCTGGGATATAGGGCCTGCCTGGAAGTGCCCTGAGAGATCAGGTGATTTGGTACTGTACATTATCTGGGCGGAGGCCACTAGGGGGTGCTAGAGAGAGGATAGCTCATTTTACCGGGTGGACATTGAGTTGAAGGAAATAAAACTATTTTCCCATTTTCCTGTTATTCCCCACAACCGTGTTCTCATTGTGGAAACTCCCCTTGTTTATGACATTGGAAGTGGAGAGGGGGAATAACCAGCAAAAATTGAGAGAAATTGTTTTCCTCCTTCAACTCCCCCCCCCAATAAAATGGACTATCCATCTCTCTCTAGCACCCTCTAGTGGCCTCCGCCTGGATAATGGAACAGTACCGGTGATTTTTTTTCTTTAAAAAACGTTACTACTTCACAGCTTTTGGTACTTTTGTTCCAAATTTAGTTTTTCTAAATCTGAGTTATGAGCAATCATTCATTCCTCTCCCAATAATGACAAGCCACTTACAAGCAGCTGTTGGCTATCCTTTTCGGTGACTTCTGTATATCCCATGATTTTTTCTTTTTCCTTCCTCAAATTTTGAAGATGGCAGTGGATACGATCCTGAATAATAAACAAAAATTCCTGTTTATATTTCATGTTTCCTTATATTACAAATATTAACACAGAAAAACAACTTGAAACAATATGCTTTGAGATTATTGTTCACTGTTTCTTTACAAGAGAATATACAGATAACTCAGATATTGATCTGATCAAACTAAAAGTTGAGAGGAAGAGAATTAGCAAGTGCTTGGACTGGATGGCCCTTGTGGTGTCTTCCAACTCTATGATTCTGTGGGTGTATCTACACTGTAGAATTAATGCAGTTTGATCTCAATATTTATTTATTTATTTATTTCGTGTACTTCTACCCCGCCCTTCTCAACCCCCGAGGGGGGACTCAGGGTGGCTTACAAAAAGGCACAATTCGATGCCTACACAATAATACAATAAACGTATAAAAACAGCAGTTAAACAGTTATAACAATTAAAACAATCAATATATATCACAGTCAATAAACCAATCTCATGCTCAGCATTCGCCAAGTCGGAGTCCATACCGCATTCCACATTGTCTATTCCTATCCGTCGTCGTAGTCCTTTATTTATCTGCCAGATTACCCAAACGCCTGGTCCCAAATCCACGTTTTTAATTTCCTTCTAAAGGAAAGGAGGGATGACGATGATCTAATTTCCCCGGGGAGTGAATTCCATAGGTGAGGGGCCACCACTGAGAAGGCCCTGCTCCTCGTCCCCGCCAACCTCACTTGTGATAGAGGCAGGCCGAGAGCAGGGCCTCCTCAGAAGATCTTAAACTCCGAGATGGGACGTAGAGGGAGATCCGTTCGGACCGATACGCTGGGCCATGACTTTATGCTATGGCATCCTGGGAGTTCTACTTTGGTGGGGCACCAGCACTTTTTTGCAGAGGAGACTAAGGGCCTTTCCAAACAGGCCCTGGATCCCAGGATCTTATTTATTTATTTATTTATTTACTACACATTTATCCCACCCTTTTCAGCCCAAAGGTGACTCAGGGCGGCATACAAACTGGCCACAATTAGATGCCAAACACACATAAATACATCATTTAAAACAGGTTAAATCACATAATAAAATTCATAATAAAACAGTTTAAAACTATAAAAATCAATGACTTCCAGGTTAAAATCCATGTCCATTTGTATCATTAAAGCCATTCCATATTTGTTCACAATACTGAGTTGTGTGGTTACAATGAGGTTCCAAAAGCTTGCGCGAACCAGGTTTTCACTCTTTTCCTAAAGGTCAGGAGGGATGGCACCGATCTAATATCCTCAGGAAGGGAGTTCCACAGCCGAGGGACCACCACTGAGAAGGCCGCCAAACGCACCTGTGAGTCAAGTGGGACCGAGAGCAGGGCCTCCCCAGATGATCTTAAATTCCTGGAAGGTTCGTAAGGGGAGACACGTTTGGATAGGTAAGTCGGGCCGGAACCATTATCCAAGATTATCTGGCAGTGTGGACTCATATAATCCAGTTTAAAGCAGAAAAACCTGGGATCAGATCCTGCCTGGAAGGGCCCCAAAGGTCTTAACATTTCCTACTCCACGGATTCCATAGCATTGAACTATGGCTATTAAAGTGGAATCAAACTGCATTCATTCTACAGCGAATAAATTCTGTCCAGTTGCATTCTGATGAACATTCGTATCTACAGAAAGCAAGGCAATTAGTTTTCCTTCCTACCTTGTATTCTTGGGCAGCCTTTTCCAGGAGAAGGACGGTGTGTTCCTGATGCTGTGCGGAGTGCTCACAAAACACACACAGCAATTTCTCATCCTCTTTGCAAAACAGGTTTAATTTCTCCTTGTGTTTTTTACACAAAACCTGTTCCTCTGGCAGGCGTTTGATGTTTTCTATTATATTCACCAGATGCCAATTGGGACGGAAATTCCACTTCTGGATGCTGGCTTTGCAGAAAGGGCATCTTATATTCCCACGGATATTTTTCATCGAATCACAATAGGCAGTGATGCAGAGCTGGCAGAAGTTGTGCCCGCAGTCTACGCTCACGGGATCTTTCAAGAATTCCAGACAAATTGAGCAGGTGACATCCTCTACAAGAGCGGTGACCGGGGAGGCCATGGGAGACGGAGCTTCATTTGGCATGGCTGATGCCCAAGGCAGAGTGTGAGACCTGCAAAGAGTTAGGAGAACAAGGATTTTTATCATACCAGGCTGTTGTCTCATGGCAAACTGTGTGGCAAATGGAAACATGATACATAACACCAGAAAAACTCTCAGTGCTAAATAAAAAATAAAATTTATGCAAGAAATGTAAACAAACGACTGGAAACTTTTATTGGGGCCGCAGTTGGCACAATGGGTTAAACCCTTGTGCTGCTGAATCGGCTGACCTGAAGGCTGGCAGTTCAAAACCACAGGTCGGGATGAGCTCCCACTGTTAGCCCTAACTTCTACCAACCTAGCAGTTCAAAAACATGCAAATGTGAGTAGATAATAATCATAGAATCAAAGAGTTGGAAGAGACCTCATGGGCCATCCAGTCCAACCCCCTGCCAAGAAGCAGGAATATTGCATTCAAATCACCCCTGACAGCTGGCCATCCAGCCTCTGTTTAAAAGCTTCCAAAGAAGGAGCCTCCACCACACTCCGGGGCAGAGAGTTCCACTGCTGAACGGCTCTCACAGTCAGGAAGTTCTTCTTTATGTTCAGATGGAATCTCCTCTCTTGTAGTTTGAAGCCATTGTTCCGCATCCTAGTCTCCAAGGAAGCAGAAAACAAGCTTGTTCCCTCCTCCCTGTGGCTTCCTCTCACATATTTATACATGGCTATCATATCTCCTCTCAGCCTTCTCTTCTTCAGGCTAAACATGCCCAGCTCCTTAAGCCGCTCCTCATAGGGCTTGTTCTCCAGACCCTTGATCATTTTAGTCGCCCTCCTCTGGACACATTCCAGCTTGTCAATATCTCTCTTGAATTGTGGTGCCCAGAATTGGACACAATATTCCAGGTGTGGTCTAACCAAAGCGGAATAGAGGGGTAGCATGACTTCCCTACTAGACACTATGCTCCTATTGATGCAGGCCAAAATCCCATTGGCTTTTTTTGCCGCCACATCACATTGTTGGCTCATGTTTAACTTGTTGTCCACGAGGACTCCAAGATCTTTTTCACACGTACTGCTCACGAGCCAGGCGTCACCCATTCTGTATCTTTGCATTTCATTTTTTCTGCCAAAGTGGAGTATCTTGCATTTGTCACTGTTGAACTTCATTTTGTTAGTTTTGGCCCATCTCTCTAATCTGTCAAGATCGTTTTGAATTCATAATCATAACACTTATGGTTATGATTATGATGATTATGAACACTGAACAAGAGCTTGAACATTGTTTCCATCCTAAATATCTCGGTGTCACCTTGGATCGAACACTAGCATATAGGAAACACTGCTTGAACACCAAGCACAAAGTAGCTGCATGCAATACATCTTGCAGAAACTTACTGGCAGCCCATGGGATGCAGACCCAAAATTAGTAAGAACATCAGCCCTGGCCTTGTCTAACTCAACTGCTGAGTATGCCTGCCCTGTTTGGCATAGGTCTGCTCCTGCAAAGCAGGTGAACACAGCATTGAATTAAACATGCAGAATAATCACGGGATGTCTTAAACCTACACCTGTTGATAAACTCTACAAGCTAGCTGGCATTGGCCCCCCGATCTGTGACGGGAAGTTGCTGCTAAATGTGAGAGAAATCAGGTTGAACACTGTGAAAACCATCCACTCCATCGCTACCAGCCTCATCCCAGCAGACTCAAATCAAGGAAAAGCTTTATGAGAACTACCACTCCTCTGGGCATCCCCCCAGCAACAGCAAGGGTATCCCTCTGGGCAGCTAAACCAGGAAATCCCAACTGGATGGCCCCCGTGAGGGTCTTCCTCCGGGAGTAAACCAAGAATAGGCAACTTGGAAGTCCCTGAACAGACTCAGAAGCAGAGTGGGCAGATCAAAAGACAACCTGGCAAAATGGCACTACCTAAAAGAATCCCACACCTTGTGTGACTGTGGAGCAGAACAGACAACTCCGCATCTGTATGCTTGTCCACTATGCCCTGCCTTGTGTACAGACAAAGAATTGTTGGAGGCTACAGACAATGCCATTGCTGTTGCCCGTTTTTGATCAAAAGATATTTAGCCGCCTGCGCTCCTTCTATTTTTATCAGTTTTATACTAATTTATGCAATGCTTTTGATACTAAATAAATAAATAAATAAATAATAAGACTTCATTTATATTCCACCCTATCTCCCCAAGGGGACTCAGGGTGGATCACAGTACACATACATGGCAAACATGGCAAACATTCAATGCCCATGTAATTCATAGAATCATAGACCTCATGGGCCATCCAGTCCAACCCCCTGCCAAGAAGCAGGAATATTGCATTCAAATCACCCCTGACAGATGGCCATCCAGCCTCTGTTTGAAAGCTTCCAAAGAAGGAGCCTCCATCACACTCTGGGCAGAGAGTTTCACTGCTGAACGGCTCTCACAGTCGGGAAGTTCTTCCTCATGTTTAGATGGAACCTCCTCTCTTGAAGTTTGAAGCCATTGTTCCGCGTCCTAGTCTCCAAGGAAGCAGAAAACAAGCTTGCTCCCTCCTCCCTCTCAAATATTTATACATGGCTATCATATCTCCTCTCGGCCTTCTCTTCTTCAGGCTAAACATGCCCAGCTCCTTAAGCCGCTCCTCATAGGGCTTGTTCTCCAGACCCTTAATCATTTTAGTCGCCCTCCTCTGGATACATTCAGCTGGTAGCAGCTCCAACTGGAGTTTTTGAGCTCTTTTCAAAGGCAGCCCTATGTAGAATGCTTTACAGTAATCCAAACAGGATGTCACCAAGGCATGTACCACTGTGGTCAGGTCTGACTTTTCCAGGAACAGGCACAGTTTGAACTGTGTGAAAGAATTCCTCACCACTGCCCCAGTGGCACAGTGGGTTAAACCCTTGTGCTGGCAGGACTGAAGGCCAACAGGTCGGAGGTTCAGATCTGGAGAGAATACAGATGAGCTCCCTCTGTCAGCTCCAGCTCTCCATGTGAGGACATGAGAGAAGCCTCCAACAAGGATAGTAAAACATCAAAATATCCGGGCATCCCCTGGGCAACATCCTTGCAGACAGCAAATTCTCTTACACCAGAAGTGACTCACAGTTTCTCAAGTTGCTCCTGACACACACACACACACACAAACCACTGCTGGAACCTAGACCTTCAGGTTTAAGTAGTAGCAGAACCCATCACTAGAAGAGATACAAGGCCAATATATCTTGGGTCCATGGTGATTTAAAGGACCATATCTCCCGTTGCGATCTCAATAGAGCTCAAAGATCACCTGGAAAAGCTCTTTCTCTGTCCCCATCACTTTCTCGAGAATCGTCTTAGGTCTTGCCAGGGTCAGGTTTGGAGATGGGTGCAAGTTTGGGCAGATTCAGCTCCCTTACAAACATTCATACTAGCTGAGATAGTAAGATTGATGCCTCCAGCTACTTCAAAGGTTAGCTGGTCAAGTTTTCTCCCTTCTCGGCTTGCAGATTTATCCCAGTTAAACTATACTGGTCTCCAGTAGCTCCAGAGTCTCTTGAGAGTTTGAGGGTCTGGAACAGTGTTTCTCAACCTTCCTAATGCCACGACCACTTAATACACTTCCTCATGTTGTGGTGACCTCCAACTGTAACATTTTTTTCATTGCTACTTCATTGCTGTAATTTTGCTACTGTTATGAATTGTAATGTAAATATCTGATATAGAATCATAGAATCAAAGAGGTGGAAGAGACCTCATGGGCCATCCAGTCCAATCCCCTGCCAAGAAGCAGGACATTTTTTCATTCACTAGACCAAATTTGGCGCAAATACCCGACATGCCCAAATATGTACAATAGCAAAATAAAATAAATAACACGAGTTAACACAATATAAAATGAAACAGAATGGGCAGGCCAAATGAATGAGGAAAAATGATAAAAACCTGGATGAGGTAGGACAAGAAAATATGTAATTGAGGGGAGCCCAATTTTTTGATAGATGGCATACTTTCTGTATCACAGAAACTAGAGCTAATAGGGGAAAACTAGTATCATTTTTGGAATCAGCAGGTCAAATATACCCAGAAACAGGGATAGCATTTGAGAACTGGGAAGCCCTGGCCCTTGATTGCTCTTAACGGGAGGTCAGCTGTGACCAGCAGTGCTGCAGAATTCGAAGAGGCATGAATGGAGGGCAAAAGGAAGAAACGTACCAAGAGGAAGGTGAGTCAAGCCAACCCTGACCGGGACCGCCTTCCACCTGGAAACCAATGTCCTCACTCCAGGAGAACATGTGGATCAAGAATAGGGCTCCACAGCCTACAGACCCACCACCAAGACACTACACTTGGAGGACCATCATCCTCGGGCTACGAGGGATCACCTAATATCCAACCAGAGCATTTGTGGCACTAAAATGTCTGTTGTGCTGTTTGGAGAAATTGGGATTTTGGAATTCTGGATAAGAGATGTTTATCCTATACTAACAAAACAGAACTGTCCATCTCTTGCAATCTGATCACAAAGTTAATGTGACTTTTTAGAACATAAGTCTTCCCCTGACCGCTCTTTGGTTTCTATTTACTTAATAGATTTGCCCATGTTTTCCAGATTCCTCCCCTGTGCAATCCAATCTGCTGTCACCGATAAGAAGAATGGGTTGTTGTAGGTTTTTCGGGCATGTATGGCCATGTTCCAGAAGCATTCTCTCCTGACATTTTGCCTGCATCTGTCACAAGCATCCTCAGAGGTTGTGAGCATTCTTGCCACAGATGCAGGCAAAATGTCAGGAGAGAATACTTCTGGGACATGACCATACAGCCCAAAAAAACTACAACAACCCAGTGATTCCAGCCATAAAAGCCTTCAACGATAAGAAGAATGTTTGTCTCTTACCTATTTGAGAGATGGCCACCTCAGAAGTTTGCACAAATCAATGCTGGTGCCTATCTGTGCTGCTGGAAAAAAAAAAGATGTGAAGGAAACCCTTCTCGAAAGTGAAAGTGAGGCCTGGTAAGAGAAGAAAGGATTTCTTGTAAGTCACGTGTCCAAAAGTTTTGTTAAAAAAAATACATAAATAAGAGCACGTGGGATGGCTCAGCTGCAAGGCAAAACCTAACCAGCAGGGAAAGTTATAAACAAGCAAATCCACAAGCAGGTAAACAATTTCAACAGAAAGGAAGAAACCCATAAATATGAACAAAATCTGGCTACCAGTATTTAAAACAAACTCTAAAGTCATAACGGTAAATAAAGAACAAAACTCAAACACAGGGGAACTCCAGACAAGAAACAATCAGGGACAGCTAACCACCCCTTAACAAAGGATTCCCCCAGGCAGTAAGATGCTACAGCTGAAACTGACAGGCCATTCAATGCTAATCAAGGTGGCCAACTGAAACATTCACACCTAGCTCCAACAGACAAGAGTTCTTTCTCCCATCCTGGACATTCCACAGATATATAAACCCAGTTTTCCTGGTTTCCAACAGACCTCACAACTGGGTTGTTGTAGGTTTTTTCGGGCTGTATGGCTATGGTCTAGAGGGTGGCCATGGCCATACAGCCCGAAAAAACCTACAACAACCCAGTGATTCTGGCCATGAAAGCCTTCGACAATACATAGACCTCACAACCTCTGAGAATGCCTGCCATAGATGTGGGTGAAATGTCAGGAGAGAATGCTTCTAGAACATGGCCATACAACCCAGAAAACACACAACAACCCAAAGTTATAAATAGTCTGGAAAGAGATGCAGCTGGTTGGAGAGCCATGTTTATTTTATTTTTTTAAAAAGAGAGAGAGAGAAAAGAGAAATGCTAAATATTTATTTTTACTATAGTTCTACCCTGCTCTTCCCTCAGCTTCTCTCTATATTCAAGAAGCAGTGAGATAGAGTTGCAATTGCACACGGTCTTTACTTTCTCTGACAAAGAGTGTTGGTGCATCTCCAAACTACAAATCCCAGGACTCCATAGGACTGAGCCATAGTAGTTAAAGTGGTGTCAAACTGCATTATTTCTGCAGTGCAGATGCAGCCCAACTTGGGAATGCAGTGCACGGCTATGTGGTTATCAAGCAGTGGTCCTCTTATTGGTGCTTTATTGGAGCCCCGGTGGCACAATGGGTTAAAACCCTTGTGCCGGAAGGACTGAAGCCAGACAGGTCGGAGTTTTGAATCTGGGAAGAGTGCAGATGAGCTCCCTCTGTCAGCTTCAGCTTCCCATGCAGGGACATGAGAGAAGTCTCCTACAAGCATGGCAAAACATCCGTGCATCCCCTGGGAAATAGCCTTGCAGGCAGCATTCTTTCACACCAGAAGCGACTTGCAGTTTCTGAAGTTGCTCCTGACAAAAAAACAAACAAAAAACCCAAACTGGTTCTTGATTATTTGTTTGTATATTACAGTAAAACAGTCAAACTGTGTTCCATTAGGATTCCCCCAGGCAGGAAGCAGCCAAGCTTTGAAGCTGCAAGGCTATTCAATGCGAATCAAGGTGATCACTTGCCTCAAACAGACAAGAGTTCTTTCTCCCACTCTGGATGTTATTCCACAGATATATAAACCCCACTTGCCTAGCTTCCAACAGACCTCACAGCCTCTGAGGATGCCTGACATAGATGTGGGTGAAATGTCAGGAGAGAATGCTTCGGGAACATGGCCATACAGCCCGGAAAACTCACATCAACCCTATGTTACATTAAGTTAGGTTTGTCTTTATTTGTCTTTTAATTATGGCATTTCAATATTAACCTCAAGTCAATATGGTATGGTATGGTATGGTATAGAATGGGTTATAGCAAACTTAGGCCGTCCAGGTGTTTGGGACTTCAACTCCCACAATTCCTAACAGCCGATAAACTGTTAAGAATTGTGGGAGTTGAAGTCCCAAACACCTGGACGACCAAAGTTTGCCCATGCCTGGGTTATAGTATAAATTAAGCCTTTTTTACTCAACTCTCAAGCAACCAAAAACTACATTTATCGGCATCTATCAATGCCCATGAGTGCTGGTCAACAGAGAGTCTACTGTATAAATATTTTTAAAGGCAACATAGCACCCAAAAGCAGGCTGTAGTTCATTCATTTCAGTTGCTGCTTTATAAAAAAAAACACCAGCATGTGCAACCACATGTGCTTCTTTACATATAGGTGCCTTTAAATTAACCTAAACTTGGCAGTGATTGGCTGGTGAACCTTGCTAGCTTTGATTCTTACAGCTATCCCAAATCTCCTGGCTATATAATCTTCACAAGTGGGCTCATTATCCACAAAAGAGGTGAGTAGAGAAAGTAAGCTAACAGTGCTTCTCAGTTGCATTTCTATATATTTATTTAAAGAGTAAAGAACAAAGGTTTGTTCTTTAGTTGTGATTTAGTTGGCTGCTTTTGATCTAAGGGTTGGGAATTGTTTCAAAACCCCATAAGCTTTTCTCTTTTTTGAGGAACCCTAGATTGTTACCTCTTTGCAGTTTGAGCCATGTCTTCAAAGAGCCCACGGAAGAGGCTCCAAACAGAAGCCACTTGCCCCAGCTGCCTGGAATATTTCATTGACCCCATGATCCTAGACTGTGGCCACAACCTCTGCTTCCGGTGCATTTCCCACATCTGGAGGGAGCCCCAAGTGATGGCCAGGTGCCCCCAATGCACGGCCGTGGTGCATCGGCAAAACTTTAAAGCCAACTTGCAGCTGGCAAACATGGTGGAGATAGCCAGAGCATTGGGCAAACAGATCAAAGTAGAAGGAGATGGAGGAAAATGCTGCAAGAAGCACCAGGAGGCCCTGAAGCTCTTCTGTAAAGATGACAAAATCCCCATCTGCCTGGTATGTGACAGGTCTAAGCAGCACCTCAAGCATCACGTCGTTCCAATGGAGGAGGCGGACCAGGAATACAAGGTAAAGGCAGACATTCTATGCATTAACTACTTTAGGTACCCAGCAATGCCCAGGTTGGGTATTTTTGAAAAATCAATATTGTTTTGATTTGGATTTTATTAATGGTCCCATTAGAACAGCATTTCCCAACCTGGGGGTTGGGTCGCGAGGGGGTGTCAGGGGTCTCCAAAGACCATCAGAAAACACAATATTTTCTGTTAGTCGTGGAGTTCAGTGTGGGAAGTTTGGCCCAATTCTATCGTCAGTGAGGTTCAGAATGCTCTTTGATTGTAGGTGAACTATAAATCCCAGCAACTACAACTCCCAAATGTCAAGGTCTATTTTCCCCAAACTCCACCAGTGCTCACATTGAGTATCATGCCAAGTTTGGTCCAGATGATTGTTTGAGTCCACAGTGCTCTCTAGAAGTAGGTGAACTACAACTCCAAAACTCAAGATCAATGCACAACAATCCCTTGCAGTATTTTCTATTGGTCATGGGACTTCTGTGTGCCAAGTTTGGTTCATTTCCATCACTGGTGGAGTTCAGAATGCTCTTTGATTGTAGGTTAACTATAAATCCCAGTAACTACAACTCCCAACTGTCAAGGTCTGTTTTCCCCAAGCTCCACCAGTGTTCACATTAGGGCATATTGAGTATCCGTGCCAAGTTTGATTCAGATCCATCATTGAGTCCACAGTGCTGTTTGGATGTAGGTGAACCACAACTCCAAAATTCAAGGTCAATGCACACCAAACTCTTCCAGTATTTTCTGTTGGTCATGGGAGTTTTGTGTGCCAAGTTTGATGGGCTACATCTGCACTGTAGAAATAATGCAGTTTGATGTAACTTTAACTGCTATGGCTCAGTCCTATGGAGTCCTGGGATTTGTAGTTTGGTGAGGCCACAACAACATTCTTAGACAGAGAAGGCTAAACTTTGATTCATTTCCATCATTGGTGGAGTTCAGAATGCTCTTTGATTGTAGGTTAACTATAAATCCCAGCAACTACAACTCCCAAATGACAAAATCAGTCACTCACCCAACCCCACCATTATTCAGATTTGGGCATATCGAGTATTAGTGCCAAATTTGGTCCAGTGACTGAAAATACATCCTGCATATCAGATATTTACATTACGATGCATAACAGTAGCAAAATTACAGATATGGAAACTAATGTTATGGTTGGGGGGTCGCCAGAACATGAGGAATTGTATTAAGGGGTTTGCGGCATTAGGAAGGTTGGGAAATACTGCATTAGAAAATGCATAAGGATCTGTGTAAACTGCAACTCCCATCATGTTGGGTACTTAAGATTGCACTTACATTTCTCTATCTTTCAATCTCTCATTTTGCAATCAGATCTGGAATTGCCTGGAGACTCTAAGAGAAGAAAGAGACAAAATAATAGCATGCAAAACACTCATAGAAAAGGAGAGCCAAGATCTACTGGTATGTGTTGCCATTATTATGTTGGGAAAGGGGAAATGCACTGCAGTTAAAAAAAAAGTGATGTTCAGAAACCAAACATGTAATGCAAAGGTTTTATTTTTAAGCCAAGATGGGCAACAGTATGCCTTTAAATATTTTGGGTCTCCAACTCTCAGCTTCCCCAATAAGTATACCATTAGCCACATATCCTTCAACTCTGGCATGGGCAAACTTCATCCCTCCAGGTGTTTTGGACTTCAGCTCCCACAGCTCTGAGGATGCTTGCCATAAATGCAGGCGAAACATCAGGAGAGAATGCCTCTAGAACATGGCCATATAGCACGAAAAAACCTACAACAGCTCAACTCCCACAATTTGAAATTATGTTAGTTGAAATCCAAAACACCTGGAGGGACGAAGTTTGCCCATGTCTGTTCCAACTCTTTGATTAACCCTCTGTCATCCCACTTTTTCAGCTAATCTGAACATGTCCCAGTTTTTCTTTTCTCCTTCCACTTTGTCCTCGCCTTACTTCGGCTTCTGCAAACTGAGTTCAAGTGCAAAAGTAGTTTGCGCTCGATTAATTCAGCAGGGAGGAGAGGAAGAGTAAAATTTTGTCCTTCTCAGTAGGCTCAGGCAAAAACGAACTGCTGTAGTCCCTCCTGGATGGACTAAATCTCTTCTCTTGCGATTCTTCCTTTGAAGAAACAAACAAAAGCTGAGAGGACAGAGACCGCTGTCGAGTTCCAAAGCTTGCACCTGTTTCTAGAGGAGCAAAAGAAGCATCTGCTGTCCCAGATAGACGAGGTGGAGGAAGAAATTGCCAGGGAAAGAGATGAGAACATGGCAAGGCTGTCTCAGGAACTTTCTTCCCTTGAGACTCTCATCCGAGAGATGGAAGAGAAGCAGCAGCAGCCGGCGGATGAACCCCTAGAGGTAAGACCCGATTCTCCAGAAGTTGAGGATACCAACTTTGGACTGAAGTCAAAGGATACCCTCAAAATAAATAGCCAGTGACAAGAAAACAGCTGGAATATCAAGAGGAAGGGTTGCCAGGTTTAGGACTGCCTGGGATTTTAGGATTTGGGGGCCAAAACATTAGACCCGGCATCCTCAAACTGTGGCACTCCAGCTGCTTGGACCTTCAACTCCTAGAATTCATAATCAATCTCAAAAGCTGGCTAGGGTCTCTGAGAGTTAGAGGCCCAAACAACTGGAGCAGCGGTTCTCAACCTGTGGGTCCCCAAGTATTTTGGCCTACAGCTCCCAGAAATCCCAGCCAGTTTAGCAACTGTTAGGATTTCTGGGAGTTGAAGGCCAAAACATCTGGAGTGTCATCTGGCCCTAGTAGTGTCATCTTTTTGGAATCAAATCTAACTGCACAGTGTGCCATTTAAACAAACAAGTGTCCAACAAGTGAGGAATGTACCCTGTATAAAAGGTTAAGGTTTTCCCTTGACATTAAGTCTAGTCGAGTCCGACTCTGAGGGGTGATGCTCATCTCCATTTCTAAGCTGAAGAGCCAGCATTGTCCCTAGATACCTCCAAGGTCATGTGGCCGGCATGACTTTCCCACTGGAGTGGTACCTATTGATCTACTCACATTTGTATGTTGTTGAACTGCTAGGTTGGCAGGAGCTGGGGCTGACAGCAGGAGCTCACCCCACCTTTTGGTCAGCAAGTTCAGCAGCTCAGCAGTTTAACTCATTGAATTACCAGGGGCCCCTCCTTGATACCTTAAGTTTGTACAAATTCAAAGTAAGAAGACACATCTGCTCCCTATATAGGGAGCACATATATGTATATATAGGGAGCACATATATGTATAAATCTAGAAATTTCAGTAAAATAATAGGGTCAACCTAATCTGAAGTTCAATGTCAACAAAGGACCCTTTCCCTTATCTGAATATAATGGCAAAAGGCAAGTGCTTAGTCCGTCCTTAGAATCATAGAATCACAGAGTTGGAAGAGACCTCGTGGGCCATCCAGTCCAACCCCCTGCCAAGAAGCAGGATAATTGTGTTCTAAGCACCCCTGATAGATGGCCATCCAGCCTCTGTTTGAAAGCCTCCAAAGAAGGAGCCTCCACCACACTCTGGGGCAGAGAGTTCCACTGCTGAACAGCTCTCACAGTCAGGAAGTTCTTCCTAATGTTCAGGTGGAACCTCCTTTCCTGTAGTTTGAAGCTGTTGTTCTCCAGGGAAGCAGAAAACAAGCTTGCTCCCTCCTCCCTATGACTTCCCCTCACATATTTATACATGGCCCTCATCATGTCTCCTCTCAGCCTTTTCTTCTGAAGGCTAAACTTAAGCCGCTCCTCATAGGGCTTGTTCTCCAGTCCTGGGAAAATGGCCTCCTGGACTCTAAAACACACCTTTCAGGAATAGTTTTGTTGACACTTTCCCCTCCTTTCTTCCAGGATATTGGAAATGCTTTGGAGAGGTAAGTGACACCTTTATCATGATAATAAGAAGTCTTTTTTTCATGTGTGAAAACAGATATTTTTTCTCCAGACTTCTGGGAGAGGATTTAAGATATAGGCATCTGAAAAGTGTAATACAGGCTTCTCTCTTTTTTCAATGACTTGCTTGAGAATATTACCACTACCACCTCAAATATAATTTCGAAAATCTTGATTTTTTCATTTTATATAAGAGACACCAATTTACTATGTTATTGTGTCTGATGGGACATGAGTATCCAGATATTGGTATCTATGGTGGTGCCATGAAACCAAACCTGAGTGGAAACCAAAGGCTCAATATGCGTGTTAATGTGCTTAATTTTGGAATCTAAGCAGGTTCAGTCTTTGTTAGTATTTGGATGGTGGACCTCCAAAGAATGCCAAGTGCTATAGACCAGATATGGGAAAACTTCGGCCCTCCAGGTGTTTTGGACTTCAACTCCCAGAATTCCTAACAGCTGGTAGGCTGTTAGGAATTCTGGGAGTTGAAGTCCAAAACACCTGGAGGGCCGAAGTTTGTTCATGTCTGCTATAGACACTATTTCAGATAAAAGATTGGGCAAATAATCTCTGTGTATTTCTTGAAAACCATATGCATATTCATAAGTCCACGGGTGGCTTGAAGATGCACACACAGACCAATACAAAGCAGTAAGATCTTTTGACTTTTGAATAATAAATGGTGAATATTTACATTTCTGGCCCTTGGCTAATATGCCTCTTTACAAGAATAACAATATACAGGACTCCAACGAAGAGTGCTGAGTTGGTTCTGATTTTTCTTAACAAGGTGTCGGAAGTGGAAGCTGGCGAATCCTGTGGCTTTCGGCCCTGAGTTGAAATGGAGCATCTGGGACATCTGTGATATAACACCGTATCTGAAGAATGTACTTGAACAATTCAAAGGTAATTTAGAAAAGCTGCAAGGATTTTATACTTTTGCTGGTCTAAATGTATGTGTGTGTGGCTCCATGTCATTTATAAGGTAAGGAAGCACAGGAAAAAATAGATTTAGCTAGGTTCAAAGTATTATTTTGTTGTGACTTAGAGAACTGCGCATGTTGAGATTGGAAAACACTTACAGCCACAAGGTAGGTATTTTGAGAGAAAATATTTTTGAAAAGTCTTTGCTGACATATAAACAGCAAAACAATACACTACACAAACACACTATGAGAATACTATGTTTGTGGTGTTGTTGGTGGGTTGTTCAGGCACTTCCAACTCTTCATGACCTCATGGACCAGCCCACGCCAGAGCTCCCTGTTGGCCATCGCCACCCCCAGCTCCTTCATAGTCAAGCCAGTCACTTCAAGGATACCTTCCATCCATCTTGCCCTTGGTTGACCCCTCTTCCTTTTTCCTTCCATTTCCCCCAGCATAATTGTCTTTTCCAAACTTTCCTGTCTTCTCATGATGTGACCAAAGTACTTCATCTTTGCCTCTAATATCCTTCCTCCAGTGAACAGCCAGGCTTTATTTCCTAGAGGATGGACTGGTTTGATCTTCTTGTGGTCCAAAGCACTCTCAGAATTTTCCTCCAGCAACACAGTCCTTTGCTCAGCCTTCCTCATTGTCCAGCTCTTGCATCCAAAGGTGACTACAGGGAATCCCATTGCATGAATGATGTGGCTCTTTGTTGCCAATGTGATGTCTCTACTCTTCACTATTTTATCAAGATTGGTCATTGCTCTCCTTGCAAGACCTAAATGTCTTCTGATTTCCTGGCTGCAGTCAGCGTCTGCAGTAATCTTTGTGCCTAAAAACATAAAGTCTGTCACTCCCAACACGTTTTCTCCCTCTATTTGTCAGTTATCAATCATTCTGGTTGCCATAATCTTGTTTTTCGTTTTTTGTTTATGTTCAACTGCAACTTAGCTTTTGCATTTTCTTCTTTCACCTTGTCTTCTCCTTTACTGCAAAGGGCTCTTTGAGACTGAGAGAAAGAAGTTGATAGCATAAGGTTTTGTAATGGCTCGATTCCCCTTTTAGAAACAAACCATCAAAGAAAACTATAATATGTAAAGCAATACTGGTTTGCCGGCTTTGTGTGATAAGGTCTAATAAACCTAGAACGATCTTGTTCCTACCCTAACTCACACATGCTATAACATTGTGTATGGGAGAAAGAACTCTTGTCTGCTTGAGGCAAGTGTGAATGTTGCAGTTGGGCATCTTGATTAACATTCAATGGCCTTGCAGCTTCAAAGCCTGGCTGGTGGCTGCCTAGGGGGATCCTTTCAACAGAAGGGAGGAAACCATGAAAATGAGCAAAATCTGGCTACCAGTATTTAAAAAACTCTAAGATCAGGACAGTGAATAAAGAGCAACACTCAGAAAACAGGGGTATTCCAGGCAAGAATGAATCAGGGCCAGCTAACATTTCCCAACAAAGGATTCCCCCAGGCAGCAACCAGCCAGGCTTTGAACCTGCAAGGCCATTACATGTTAATCAAGGTGGCCAGTTGCAACATTCACACTTGCCTCAAGCAGAAAAGAGTTCTTTATCTCACACTGGTCATTCCACAGATATATAAACCCCACCTGATTAGTTTCCAACAGACCTCACAACCTCTGAGGATGCCTGCTATAGATGTGGGTGAAATGTTAGGAGAGAATGCTTCTGAAACATGGCCATACAGCCCGGAAACTCACAGCAACCCAAGAAATAACACTTTCAAACCAGGAACAGATTTTTTTTTTCAAATTTTGTAACAAGGCGTAATTTTCCCTTAATTCATGCTTTAGAGTAAGTTTAAAAGTGTGATGCTTTATTTCTGTTTCTTTTTTTCTTCTCCAGACCATCTGATATCTGGATTTTGCCTACGGAGAGGTAAATACCAAGGCTTACTTGTCCTAATTGATTAAAGGTATAGGATATATTTTTAAACATATCAAGCCATTGGTGTTGGTGAAGACTTCCAAGCCTTGCTTAGACATTTCTCTTGGGGAATAGTATCTGGGATGCAACCCATTTTTCCTGCATTGTGTAATGAGCTAGAATAGTCCCAGGTTTTTGTGGTGATTTTGAGTATATTTGACTGTCCTGTTTCAGGGTAGAGTGTTTTCACCAATAATATAAAGCATGACCCCCTTAGTATCAACGGTTTCACTTAACCACGCTCTCCAGAGCATCCTATGGTATGCTTTCTGCGTAAGTATAGTAAAAAAAATATAGGGTTCACTATTATCCACCTCGAGCCACAGGAAAAGGCAGGTAAGAAATAAAATTATTATCCATAGCTTTAGGTATCTCTGAAGGGGTTTTTGGCAGGTATCCCCCATGGATACAGAGCTTGTACTGTATATAGTCCATCCAAACCACAGATCAAGGAGTTTGCTCCCCAAAACTAAGGGACTTATTATTTATTTATTTGTTTCGTACATTTCTACCCTGTCCTTCTCCCCATAAGGGGACTCAGGGCGGCCTCACATAAGCATCAAATGATGCTAACAACATATACAACATAAAATTACAATTAAACCAGTAAAGTCATTTAAAAACATTATACAAAATCATCAATACATTCATTTAAGAATACATTAACGTGCCAGCCAAGCCAAAACCAAAACTGGGAGAATCTAATGTCATAAAAATTTCAGAATTCCTTTCCATATTGCCACTATCCTCTAGTAAAACATCTGGCCCCAGAGCCAGGTCTTTAATTGTCTTCTGAAGGACAGGAGGGAGGTGGCCAACCTGATAGCCTTAGGGAGAGAGTTCCACAGATGATGGGGCCACTGCTGAGAAGGCCCTGTCGCTCATCCGCATTTGCGAGAGTGGTCGGATCAAGAGCAGGGCCTCTCCTGGTGATCTTAAGCTACGTGATGGTTCATAACAGGAGTTACGTTCGGACAGGTAATCTGGGCCAGAACTTGTATCTTTCTATAAATCTCAAGTGGCCATTTGAAATGGAAAATCTTAGGTAGCCTAAAATCTCTTCAGTGCCACCAGTGTTGCTTTATGGCTAGCAAAAATGGGAGTATTTATATCAGTGGTTCCCAACCTGTGGGCCACGAGACCTAAAATAAAGTCCGCGGCTCTAGATTATTAAATATGGTTTTCTGTGGGCAAGCAGATGGCAACTACTGGTTGGCATATGTTCTGTATCAGAAACTAGAACTGATGTGGTCTATCCAATGCAATTTTCTGAATCAGCACCCCAAATAACCAAACAGAAAGTTGGCCAAAAACCAATTTGGTATCAATGTTGGAGAGTGGTCCCTGGCCAAAAAAAGGCTGGGAACAACCAATTTATATAGACATATGTAGTTCTGCTTTGTGCAAGTTGCTTTGAATGCTAGAATATAACATGTGTGAAATCAGCCCTTTTCAAACTGGTGGCAGCATTTCAAATGCTGCTGTCCTCTGATGTTGGCAGGCAACCTCAAATTGATGGGAATAGGAGTCCCAAATGTCAAGAAAATACCTGAATATAGAAATCTACTCTTTGCATGGTGTAGCAGTTTGAACATTGGACTATGACTCTGGAGATGAGGGTGTGAATCTCTGCTTGGCCATGGAAACACACTGGGGGAAAGTGGGCAGTCATATTCCCTCCGCCTTTTGGCAAAGATAAAGGGAAGGAGTTTATCTGTTTCATCAAGACAAAATAGGAAAAAATGATCATATGGACATACATTATCTGACTGTTTTGGTTGTCTTGTCCAACAAGTGTTTTAGTGTTTTTTATTATGATTTTATTGCAAAACACTTTGAGGACCCATTAGCTGACAGCAGTCTAAAAAAATCAATCTAAATATAAAGCAATCAACATGAGCATCATAAATTTGCTATTTACATCACATGTGCTTCATACTTCCATAACAACTGAGATTTTTTAACTTTCCAAGTGCATTTTTCAGAGTATGCAACATTGCTTTTTCAGGCTATTAGCTCTTACTCTAAAAATAGTTTTGATGGTGGTGGGATTCTTGAATTTATAGTCCAAAAGATAATTCTCCATGTCCTAGAGTTTTTTGGGGAGTCGGGGGGGGGGGGGGGGGGGGGGGGGGGGGGAGAGGTGTTTGTTTTTAAGTGCAACATGTTTGAGCCTGGCTTTTCCTAGACATGTGCCTGTTTATTCACTGCACCATCTGAAAAAAAAATGAGAAGAGAACCCTGAAAGGCATTGTTGTGGTCTCCTAAAACATAATGATGGCACTGGATCTTTGGTATAGATGGTGGCGGGATGAAAATCACGTGTTCACCTCCATCTTTCTTGGTTCCTCTTACAAAAAGCACAGCTTCAAAAAAAATTACTACAGTCTCTGCAAAGTAACTTTTGCAGTGGCACTGGCACAAGCAGATGTGGAACTGGGTGTGACACTGGACCCATAACCTGTGGCAGAATGAAAATCATACGTAGTTCACGTTTTACCAGTGCACACACTGTCTTGCCAGAGAGAGAAAATATGCCACGCAGATTATCAGTAAAAGACAAGAATTTTACTCGTTGTAATGCAGAGCAACATATCTATAAGCATGTGAGTAGTTGCATTGACTCGCACAATGTCCTTTGAGAGAGATTCAAATGGTCTTTGGGTGTCTGTGTGGAAGATCTTCAGCAGCACATGAAGCAAGAACTCAAACTATCTCTTTGCTAGCTCCTGTACAGTTCAAGCCTAAAAATGTAATTGTTGCCAAAACTCCCAGGCTCAGCTAGTCTCTTGGGCATAGCCCAACCAATCAGCTTCATAATTTAAATGCCCTAACATAGATCCGAACTGATGCTGCTTTTTAAAAATCCTCCTCTACGCTTGTCTTGTTTTACAGCAAGCCTCCATTTTGATCCACTCACATCAGGCCCCTGGATCATCCTGTCTGCGGATTGTAAAACCATGTCAGAGGGAGACCGGTACCAAGCTTTGTCCAACAACCCTGAGAGGTTCGACACGTGCAGTTTTGTCTTGGCCCAGGAGGGATTCACAACAGGCAGGCACTTTTGGGAGGTCCATGTGGGGAACCAGGAGCAGTGGGCCGTCGGAGTGGCCAAAGAGTCGGTGAAGAGGAAAGGCGATGTCGTCTGTGGTCCTGCAGAAGGGATCTGGGAAATGGGGGTCTGGGCCGGTGAGTATCGGACCTTCAACCCGCCCGCTGACCCCATCCTCTCTTTGCGGGACAAGCCTAGAAAGGTCTACGTGACTCTCAACTGCGAGGGGAGACGAGTGGCCTTTTATGACGCGGATCGAGCAAACCTGCTTTGTGAGTTCACAGAGACATCATTTGACAGGGAAATACTTCGTCCATGGTTTTATGTGGCCAAGAGAGCACACCTCACACTCTCTGACTAAAGAAGATGAACATATGTCCTTCCGGATAACTTCTATGAGCTCCGATCCAGAACAAGAGGAATTGCAGTACTACAATATCAAGGTGTTCATGTGTCCTTTCCTTAATAAAGGGAACTCACTGCTGTTTTGATGCATTTACATCAGGCATGGGCAAACTTTGGTCCTCCAGGTGTTTTGGACTTCAACTCCCACAATTCCTAACAGCCGGTAGGCTGTTAGGAATTGTGGGAGTTGAAGTCCAAAACACCTGGAGGACCAAAGTTTGCCCATGCCTGATGTGCAACCTCCACAGCAGCAAATGCATCCTTTTATTTTGGTCCCTGACCCCAATTTAGGTCCCTCACTACAATTTCAGATAATTGCTTTGTAAATCTGGGTTTTCTGTGTCAAGTCACAAAGCCCTGCCAAATTTCAAACTGCAGTCGCAACCACTAAGATATCCAAAAATGAGTAAACCATAGAATATGTAATGAGCACATCCTGTCCTTTATTTAACGCCTAGTAAACAAACAGGCCCGAAATTTGGATGTGCAAAGCATAGAATCATAGATTCATAAATCTCCCACTGTCCTCACTTCCACACACGTATTCACAATCTAGTTCTAATGAAAATGTGCACACCCTCTTCGTGATAAGATTTAAAGAGAAAAAGAGGAGTAATAGGCACAAAGGCAAAAGCAAATATGAGAATGAACACTTAAGTTTCCCCCACCTGTACAATTTGGTTCTGCTCTAAATCTGGATCACTAAACTTGCTGCAGCGAAAAAAAGTATCTTTGGCTGGACAATATAATTTTTAACATTGTGTAATCAGGAATTGACATGCTATTGCCCTCAAAATTGCAACTCCTAGCATTTTTCACCTGTGGATCTATTGACTAGGATTGTTGTGATTACAATCTCTGAAGGATTGTATTTTGTTGTTCGTCTGGTGTGGTTTAATCCTAAATCAACCCCTCAGGAATACAAAACTGCGAAGTGTCCTTTTTTTTCTCAGTTGCTGAACAGATGCAGATTGCAAAATTCAATCAGGAAAGGTGATATTATATTTCAAGCTTAAAAAACCATTGCCAATGTTTAACAATTATCTCAAAAATCTAGAATTTATGGAGCTGCAATGTGAGAATTATAAACCAATCCAGGGAATGCTCCCCCCCCCCCCCCCCCCCCCCCCCAGGACAGAAATATATAGTTTTATTAAATGTGAAGACCGAAAGTTTGCTACCAAGCAGTTAGATACTGGTGTTTTTAGATAGTGCTTTTGTTTAACCATTTTATACATTATGCTTGGTCACCTTGGACAATGTTTTTTTAATGTTTTGACATATATATTTCTATTAAAGATATATATTTTTTCAGTTGGTCTTGTGCCTTTCTGCAGACTGAAACACTGCCAACACCTGAGCATCAAGCATCAGCGCTGAGTCTAGGAGGACACCCAGTCTGGGGACCTTTGTCTTCAGGGGGAGTTGCCACCTTATACCCCAATTGGCCCCACAACTGACCAGGAGGTCCTCTGTCTTGTCTGGATTAAGCTTCAGCTTGATATCCTCATCCAACCCATCATGGCTGCCATGCACTGGTCCAGGATCTGGGGGCTTCCTTGGAATTTGGTGGAAAGGAGTAATAAAGTTGAGTGTCATCCGCGTACAGATGGTGCCAAACTCCAAAACTCTGGATGACCTCGCCCAGTGGTTTCATGTAGATGTTAAAAAGCATGGGAGATAGAATAGAACCTTGTGAGACCCCACAGGTCAATGGTCAGGGGTCTGAGCAGATGTCCCCCATCTGTTCAATGGCCAGGGGTCTGAGCAGATGTCCCCCATCTGCTTAGTGTCCAGGGGTCTTAGCAGATGTCCCCCATCTGCTCAGTAGTCAGGGATCTGAGAAGATGTCTCCCATCTCCTCAATGGCCAGGTCAATGGCCAGGGGTCTGAGCAGATGTCCCCCATCTGAGTTCAATCCTCCAGGGAGGAGCAGAGCAACTGCAAAGCAGTGCCCCCAAAACCTATTCCAAATAGCCGCACCAAAAGGATACCATGGTTGATGGTTTCAAAAGCAGCTGAGATATCCAAGAGAACAAACAAGGACACACTCCCCGTATCGAGTTCTCTGTGGTCATCCACCAAGGCGACCAAAGCCATCTCCATACCATGACCAGGTCTAAAACCAGATTGTGATGGATCAAGATAATTTTCCAAAAAGGGAAGAATAGAAATTGGCTGATAGTTATTCAATACCTAGGAATCTATGGACACCTTCTTAAAAGTTGGTCTAACTATTGTATTTTAAAGGCTCAATGGTATTTGTGCCTGTTCCAATGAGGCACAACAGCCAGATATCTACACAACTCTTTTTGCAATTAACGTACGGCACATGATGTTATTCCTATTTCATCTCACAACAGTCTAGCAAATTAAGTTAGATGTAGATATAGTCGGGGGTACTTTTTGATGCCTTGGCTTAAAACTTCTGTCATCGGAGCTAATAATAATCTTTATTTATATTCCACTCTAACTCTCCAAGGGGACTCAGGGTGGATTACAGAACACACATATGGCAAACATTTGATGCCATTATACAATTTACAGGGACAGATGATACATAAACAGAGATAAAAGCTTTTCCCATCTTTTCCATTTCTGGCATCTGGAGGCGGTGCTTGAAGCTGTTGCTCCATCTTCCATGCCAAGGACCTTTTTGTTGTCCATAGACATCATCCCGATCAAATCATCAACATGTCCTTATGGATGCCTTTTATTACCTCCCTGCTTAAAGCGTTACCTATTTATCTACTCACATTTCTGTTTTCAATCTGCTAGCTAGGCAGAAGCTGGGGCTGGTGGTGGGTACTCACCCCAACCCAGGCTTGAACTGCCAACCTTTTGGTTGAACATGCTCACTCATCAGTTGGTAAAAATAGAAGTCAACAGCCTAAGAAAAAAATCTAGGAGTTTTAGTCTCATTTCTGCAATTCTAAGACTTGCTTTCCCCCCATTTAAACATCTCTAAAAATGTGGTGTGCCTTAAAATAGTGGGTGCTTTTTATGTATATAAACAAAGTTTTTTCTGTTGTTACGTCTCACAATCGATGGCATCTTAGAATTGAAGAAATATGGTAGTTAAGGGGAAAAAGCATGCAGTTGCGTCTAAAAAAATATCCAGGAATATGAAATACTATTACTTTGCCATCCACATTTATTAGCCACATAGTAATATAGTTCTCTTGGCAACATACAGAAATCTAATCAACATAAACAGTGATACATAAGAATACAAGGAAATCTCAAATAAAATCACATATTACATCGGTACAATCGTTACAAATATGGAAGATTATATCGTAACCAAATATTGATCAGGGATTATACCATCAATACTGAAAACATGAAAAGAGAGGAAAGGCCTTTGCCCAGCACTCAAAAGATATCCCTACCAATACCGATCTCTCTGAAAAGAATAGCAAATGCCAGGGAACTTACCACTAAAGAGGCTTCGTCTCTAGTTCCCATATTCAACAGGCATTTGAGAGTTGTTCTTGGAAGGGCTTCCACCAATGCTTTTAAGGCATGGAGAGGTAAGTAATGGAAGAAAAGTTCTTCTAGGTCCTGGATGCACAAACTGTACAAGGTTTTACAAGTGAAAATCCAAACCGTCTTGAGGTAGCTGTAATCCAAAGAGGGTTCCTAGGGAAAGGATCGCTAAAGCCAAGTTATCTGCCAACCAATGGGATTTGTAGTTCAGAATCCAGCCAAAGCTGGTAACAAACAAACACTTAAGGTGCCCTGCTCCATACTGGACTCAACTCATGTCAACGCAGAACTGGTTAAACAAGCGAATTGTCTGAAGAGAGAGAAGTTAATACTGGGAGTTTGTGGGTATCAAGACAGCAGTAGAACTAATAATTTTCCCAAGAGCCCTAGATCGATGTTTTGGAGCTCAAGCAATGAATAAGGGCCAAAGCACTCTAGGCAGGAGGAACATGCCAGAAAAATATACCCCTACCCAAGGTCCAATGTTAGAGGTGAGGTTTTATTTTTAGCACAGGTTTCATTCTCTCCAAAGTCTTTTAAGCCATTTTTTGGTCAACAATCAGCTCAACAACAGTGATAATATCACACCCCTACTTATGTAACGGTTGCATGTAGAGTGGGTGCTTGGTATCCACTGGAGTTTGGTTATGGACAACAAAATCCGTGGATGCTCAGATTCCATTATATACTATGCCATAATAAAATGGGGACCTCTATAGAAAATGGCAAAATCCACTGGGATTTTTAACAAAATACAGGACATACGTTCAAGCCATGGATGGTTGAATCTCTGGATGCAGAATCCGCGGATACGGAGGGCTGACTGTAGATATTAAGTAGCAGGGTGTAATAGGATGGACCTCACAGGTTGAGCAGAAATCCCTCAGCTTCATCTCCTGGAAATGGCCAACCAAAGTCTCATGGTGATTGTGCCTAACCATGGACCAGCTTATGGGTGGTGAATACCAATGGTGCCGTGGATTTTGAGGAGGCACAAATGGAGGACGAAAGGGAGAAATGTGCCAAGAGGAAGGCACGTCAAGCAAACCCTTGTCGGGAATGGCTTCCACCTAAAAACCAATGGCCTCAATGTGAAAGACCATGAGGATCCAGAATAGGTTTCTACAGCCACTTATGGACTTACTATCAAGACTCTACTCTTGGAAGACAAGCATACTTGGCCATAAGGGGTTGCCTATATTATTTTTTGATACACAACAAGATTAGATCACTATGCTGGCTTTTGTACTGGATCACATGTCGGACACTTCCCAAATGTCTAGGACTGTGTGATGTATTGGTGAATAATGTGCGCAGATCCAAGCAGGGTGGCCTTTTGCAGCTGACAGATAGTAATTTTGTCAGCATCTATTGTTTTTAAGTGCAGGTCAAGGTCTTTAGGCACTGCACCCAGTGTGTTGATCACCACTGGGACCACCTTTACTGGCTTGTGCCAGAGTCTTTGCAGTTTGATCTTTAAATCCTCATATTGTGTCAGCTTTTCCAGTTGCTTCTATTGTTATCATCATCATCATCATCATCATCATCATCACTATGGCCATTTTTAACTCTATCAAGTTGGAGAAAGTGCAAGTTAAGGGCCAGATAGAAGCTCCAAACTGTGTTCAGTATCTTCCCATCTTTCCTGATTTCTTTAAAGTCCCTGGAACAGTGTTTCTCAATGCCACGACTCCTTAATACAGTTCCTCATCTTGTGGTGACCCCCAACCATAAAACTATTTTCATTGCTACTTCATAACTGTAATTTTGCTAGTGTTACGAATCGCAATATAAATATCTGACATGCAGGATATATTTTCATTCACTAGACCAAATTTGGCACAAATACCCGATACACCCAAATCTGAATACTGGTGGGGATGGGGGAAAGGAGAGATTTTATCATTTGGGAGTTGTAGTTGCCGGGATTTATAGTTAACCTACAATCAAAAAGCATTCTGAACTCCACCAATGATGGAATTGAACCAAACTTGGCACACAGGGCTGCCATGACCAACAGAAAATACTAGAAGAGTTTGGTGGGCATTGACCTTCAGTTTTTGAGTTGTAGTTCACCTATATCCAGAGAGCACTGTGGACTCAAACAATGATGGATTTGAACCAAACTTGGCACAAAGACTCAATGTGACCAAATGTGAACACTGGTGGTGTTTGAGGAAAATAGACATTGACATTTGGGAGTTGCAGTTGCAGGGATTTATAGTTCACCTACAAACAAAGAGCATTCTTTACCCCACCAATGATATAATGGGGCCAAACTTCCCATACAGAACCCCCCATGACCAACAGACAATACTGTATTGTCGAAGGCTTTCATGGCCGGAATCACTGGGTTGTTGTAGGTTTTTCCGGGCTATATGACCATGTTCTAGAGGCATTTTCTCCTGACGTTTTGCCTGCATCTATGGCAAGCATCCTCAGAGGTAGTGAGGACCCAGACAATACTGTGTTTTCTGATGGTCTTTGGCAACCCCTTTGACACCCCCTCGCAAACCCCCCCCCTCCCGGGGGATCCAACTCTTAGGTTGAGAAACACTACCCTGGATGTTCGCACATTACCCCAAACTATCAAACATAGTGTTTTGCTTTTGTTCGTACTCCTTGTTATAGAGTTGAAAATCAGGTAATGATACAGATAGTTCAAACCACAAATAAGGGCTTTTTTGGTGGGGAGGGGTCTCTTCTGAATTGTACCATTGATCTACTTTCAGAAAAAAATACAATCCTAGGAGAGTCAAAAATCCATTCCTCACTTGTCTGTTTCTTACTATTCTTGCCCAAGGAAAAATGGAAGGCCTTCTACAACATGGTGACTCCAGAGTCATCCTTCAGTGCTTCGCATCCACAAAACAATCCCCCCTCTTTGTCATTTTTGTCCACATTTCACTTTTTCTTTGGAGTTTGTTTATATCAATACTATTCAAATCGCTGAGCTGATAGTTCAGATCTGCATCATGAAGACAACTGTACTTTTATATTCATAAGCAAGACCTGAGTCCATCTGGCCTCTAAAAATTTTCTTGTTCGGCAGTCAGCACAATACGATCAAAGAAGCAGTCCTTAAATTACTAGCAGCACAAAAAGAAAGGAATCAAATTAAATAGTACAGGGGCTTTCTATGAAGAAGAAATAGACCCATACCGAAGGGTCTATTTTCCTCCCCCCTTTTTTTGGTCTGTTTCACACATTTACTTTTGTTTTTAGTTAGGATGTATGGCACTTGTCCCAGAAAGAAAACAGAAGTTCTTTGAAATCTCTGCTTCTGCGGAAACTGTACTTTGAAAAATCCCAAGTTCTGTTTTGTTCGGAGAGCTCCTGAAGGACTTCCAAGGTCTGCCAGATGCATCAACCTTTGACCTGACGCAAGACCACACAGATTGCAGCTAGCCCTCCACATTTGCAGATTTCACTTCTACGGGTTTCATGTTTAATATAATAGAATCAAACTTGAAGACTCTCCAATCCATAGTGAGAACACTCATCTAGGTATTTATAAAGAGCAGAATTCCAAACGATCTGAACAGATTAGAGAGATGGGCCAAAAACCAACAAAATGAAGTTCAATGGGGACAAATGCAAGATACTCCATTTAGGAAGAAAAAAATGAAATGCAAAGATACAGAATGGGGGACAATGCCTGGCTCGAGAGCAGGACATGTGAAAAAGATCTCGGAGTCCACATGGACAACAAGTTAAACATGAGCCAACAATGTGATGTGGCAGCAAAAAAAGCCAATGGGATTTTGGCCTGCATCAATAGGAGCATAGTGTCTAGATCCAGGGAAGTCATGCTACTCCTCTATTCTGCCTTGGTCAGACCACACTTGGAAGCACATTGTGTCACAATTGAAGGAAGATGTTGACTCTAAGTTGGAGGAGGGCGGCTAAAATAATCAAGGGTCTGGAGAACAAGCCCTAAGAGGAGCGGCTTAAAGAGCTGGGCATGTTTTGCCTGTAGAAGAGAAGGCTGAGAGGAGACACGATGAGTGCCATGTGAGGGAGGAGGGAGCAGCCTTGTTTTCTGCTGCCCTGGATACTAGGGCGCAATGGAACAATGGCTTCAAACTACAGGAGAGGAGATTCCACCTGAACATTAGGAATAACTTCCTGACTGTGAGAGTTGTTCAGCAGTGGAACTCTCTGCCCCAGAGTGTGGTGGAGGCTCCTTCATTGGAAGCTTTTAAACAGAGGCTGGATGGCTATCTGTTAGGGGTGCTCTGAATGTGAGTTTCCCGCTTCTTGGCAGAATTGGGTTGGACTGGATGGCCCACAAGGACTCTTCCAACTCTATGATAATAAATCCTTAGAGCAATTCTATGGGAAGTTGGTCAAACAGTGACACTGAATGACCAGAGACTCCAAGTGAGGTGTTATTTTGGGTTTAAAAAAGTATTTTTGTTAAAATCATGGGTTTTCCACTCCTAACTACATCAAATGTGGAAATGAACTGAATCTGGTTTCTAATGGAGATTCTGTTGAGTTCAATAAGGCTGAAGTTCATGCTGAAGACCTTTCCAAACATGATGCATCGGCGCAGCTCCTTCATTTTGTGGGCTTTTTTGAAAATTATTAAGGTCGGAGCTGAACCAAAAGCTATTTTCACACTCCATGCATTCATACGGTTTTCCTTCTGTGTCCGGACCTTGAAATGTCACGTGGCCTGAGTTCTTACTGAAAATCCTTCCGCACTTCATGCATATATACGGCAGTTCCAACGTATGCACTTTTTGATGTCGAGTGAGGTGTACTTTCCGGGTAAAGGTCTTCCCGCAATCTGTGCATTTGTACGGCTTCTCCCCCGTGTGAGTTCTTTGGTGCTTAATGAGTGTTCCCCCATCACTGAAGGTCTTCCCACACACGGTGCAACTATATGGCTTCTCCCCAGTGTGTGTTCGTTGATGGACGGTCAGGCTGGACTTTGTGTTGAAGTTCTTCCCGCAGTCCCCACAATTGTACGGCTTCTCCCCCAAGTGAGTCCTCTGGTGACTCGTAAGGCTCGAACACTGACTGAAGCCCTTTCCACACTCGGTGCATTTGTAGGGTTTCTCCCCAGTGTGGGTTCTCTGGTGGCTAGTAAGGTGTGAGCGTTGACTGAAGCTCTTGCCACACTCTGCACACTTGTGAGGCTTCTCGCCCGTATGAGTCCTCCGATGGCTCGTAAGGTGGGAGCTACGGCAAAAGCTCTTTCCACAGGTCAGGCATTTATATGGTTTCTCCCCGGTGTGAATTCTCACGTGGGCGGTAAGGCTTGAGTTCTGGTTGAAACCCTTTCCGCACTCCAAACATTTATATGGCTTCTCCCCAGTCTGAGTTTTTTGTTGTTTACCATCCGTTCCACCGCTACTCGAACGCTTACTCTCCGTTTTACTCTCAGGCTCCGTTTGTTCCTGGGGTTTCTCCCTTGTGTCTGTTCCACAATCTTTACTTAATTTAGGGTTATCTTTCTGTAGCTTCCCAAAAATGGAAACTTTCTTCTTTTCCTTTCCTTGCTCATCATCGTCTTCTGCGAAAAGTTCAGCAAAGTAGGCCTGCGGAGACGGTGTCTTCCCTTTCTTAACTGGCTCGTGAGGCTTGCTTCCCCGTGGATTCACGAATAACTCTTTCTCCTCTCCAGAGTTGGTAAATTGCACTGACTGCAGAGGAGGCTTCTTATATTTCTCACTGTCCCAACCTGATTTGGGAGATAACAATAGAGATAGATTTAGATAGATAGTGATACAGAGTTTCAACAAAGGCTGCAATTTATAATATAATAACTTTATTTTTATACCCAACCTCCATCTCCCAAAGGGACTCGGGACGGCTTCCACATGGGACAAAATGTCCACAGAACATCAAAACAAAACAATCCATCTATCTATATACATAAAAATGTAATGTTCATTTGTGGGATTAACAGAACTCAAAAACCACTAAACGAATTGACACCAAATTTGGACACAAGACACCTAACAACCCAATGTATGTCCTTCACTCAAAAATATTGATTTTGTCATTTGGGAGTTGTAGTTGCTGGGATTTATAGTTTACCTACAATCAAAGAGCAGTCTGAAACCCACCAATGATGGAACTGAACCAAACATGGCACACAGGACTCACACAACCAACAGAAAATACTGAAAGGGTTCGGTGGGCATTGATGTTGAGTTTGGGAGTTGTAGAACACCTACATCCAGAGAGCACTGTGGACTCAAACAATGATGGATCTGGACCAAACTTGGCACAAATATTCTATATGCCCAACTAGGAACACAGATGGAGCTTGGGGGAAATAGACCATGACATTTGGGAGTTGTAGTTACTGGGATTTATAGTTCACCTACAATCAAAGAGCATTCAGAACCCCAAGAACGATAAAATTGGGGCAAACTTCCCACACAGAACCCCCATTACTAATAGAAAATACTTAAGGCCATCAGTTCAACCCCCTTCACCAGGGCAAGAAAACTTACTCAAATACTGTTTACCCACAATCATAAAGAAATGACATATATTAGAAACCAACTTTCTCATTACTTTATTTTCAAGATCAGCAGACTGGGCCACAGCAACGCGTGGCAGGGGGCGGCTAGTCTATATAAATAAAAATGTAATGTTCATTTGTGGGATTAACATAACTCAAAAACCACTTGACGAATTGACAGGTTCAGACAGATAAGCTGGGCAAAGATAGGTGGGGCCAGAACCATTTAGGGCTTTGTAGGTCATAACCTATACCTTGAACTGGGATCGCAAACTTATCAGTAGCCAGTGGAGCTGCTTTTATAGGGGCGTTGTGCACCAGAGTAGGAACTTGATTCACTGAATCTCCTATTTGAACTATTGACAAGATGCTCAATTCTTGCACCTAATTCTAGTCATCTAATTAATCTGATTGATTTAAAACAAGTTCAAAACTTCACTGAGTCCCCTCAATAGTCCCATTACTCACCTAAGCAGGTATCCAACAATCTCTTCTTTTCCTCAGCGTCCTGGATGAATGGATCTCGTCCTTCTTCCAGACATGAGATGAGGTCTGATTGGGGTATTTCTTTGAAAACAAGAGAGAGGTTGGTAACCACAACACATTTATCATTCCAGGTTCATTCACTGCTGCTTTACTTATTTACAATTACCTATTAATCTAGGGTGAAAATCAACTTCTATAAGAAGAGGTTTTGGAAAAATGGTGCCATAACCTTTTGGGAAATGGAAATCTCCATAACCTTTTGGAAAATTGCCTTCATTACCATTTGGGAAAATCAGGAATCTCCTCAAGAAGAGTAAAAAACTCGTTTGAGTCAACCTTCTCTTTAGTGTTAGATATCGACTAGTATTCATGCAAGGCAATTAGGTCTCTCAGTTGTTAAACTGATATACCTAGATATCTCTTTGAACTGTTAGGGAAAGATGTGCCAATGCACAAAAGACATATACCAGAGTCCCAAAAGTGTTCTTTTCAGTTGCCCAAAAAACATCTTGGTTTAAATCATGCTCTCATGAGACCAAAATAAAGTAGTCTTAATTAAAATAACATCGTTGGTTTACTCACAAACTCCATGTATTCAGTATACAGGTACATTGCTTATCAGCCCAGTTACAGATAGAATTTGAAGTACTCTATGTAGATAACACAGGGCATCTTTCTTGGATTTTTTACAGTTCAAAGCATCTCTCTGGTCTGAGAGTCTAATAGAGTCTCTCTTCTCTAAAACATGACTTCTAAATGTACTGTTTCTACTAGCATTTGAAAGCATACCATTTTTAAAATGGAGTCTGAGTCCTGAACAATCCCAGATCTGATTACATAGTCTGCAGGCCCTCCCACAACATAGAGTTATTAATGACTTAGATGAAGGGTTAGAAGGCATGATCATCAAGTTTGCAGACGACACCAAATTGGGAGGGATAGCCAATACTCCAGAAGACAGGAGCAGGATTCAAAACGATCTTCACAGATTAGAGAGATGGGCCAAAACTAACAAAATGAAGTTCAACAGGGACAAATGCAAGATACTCCACTTTGGCAGGAAAAACGAAATGCAAAGATACAGAATGGGGGACAATGCCTGGCTCGAGAGCAGTACGTGTGAAAAAGATCTTGGAATCCTCGTTGACAGCAAGTTAAACATGAGCCAACATGTGATGCAGCAGCAAAAAAAGCCAATGGGATTCTCACCCTAAAAGGAACTCAGAGCAGCCAAAGGCCTTCATAGCTGAAATCATTGGGTTGGTGAGAGTTTTTCAGGCTGTATGGAAGACATCCTCAGAAGTTTTGAGTTCTGTTGAAAACTCAACAAGTGAGGTTTATTTATTTGTGGAATAATGTCCAGGGTGGGAGAAAGAACTCTTGTCTGCTTGAGGCATGTGTTAAATGTTGCAATTGATCGCCTTGATTAGTGCATTGTCGAAGGCTTTCATGGCCAGAATCACTGGGTTGTTGTAGCTTCTAGAACATGGCCACACCACCTTGATTAGCACTGAATGGCCTTGCAGCTTCAAAGCCTGGCTGCTTCCTGCCTGGGGATCATTTGTTGGGAGGTGTTAGCTGGCCCTGATTGATTCTTGTCTGGAATTCCCATGTTTTTTTAGTGTTGCTCTTTATTTACTGTCCTGATTTTAGAGTTTTTTTCAATACTGGTGGCCAGATTTTGTTCAGTTTCATGGTTTCCTCTTTTCTGTTGAAATTGTCCACATGTTTGTGGATTTCAATGGCTTCTCTGTGTAGTCTGACATGATGGTTGTGAGAGTGATCCAGCATTTATGTGTTCTCAAATAATATGTCCATAGCAGAGCACATGATGAACCAACCTGGACATTCCACAGATATATAAACCTTGCTTGCCTGCAAAACACCAGAAGAGAATGCTTCTGGAACATGGCCATACAGACCAGAAAACTCACAGCAACCTTATGTTTCCATATTTGAAAAGATGTTTTCAGCTGCTTCAGAATCCAGGACATGGAGCAATGGATTCAAATTATAAGAAGAGAGATTCCACCTAAAAATTAGGAATAACTTTCTGATTTAAAAAGCTGTTCAACAGAGGAATATGCTGCAGCCTGGGAGTTTCTTTCCCTGGAGGTTTTTAACAGAAACTGGATAGTCATCTGTCAAGACTGTTTTAATTGTGTGATCCTGCAGGGCAGAATGGAGTTTGGACAGGGGACTAGCCCAATATCATCAAAATGGGTTCAATGCCTTAGTGGGGGTTTGAATCCTGGTCATTTGGAGTTTAAATAACAACAGAATGCATTAGAGCTAGTTATTTCAGCTGGCCGAGAGAATGAATTAAATTCTCCAGCATCAAACAAGGAAAGCAGCCTCCTTACCAAGAGAAGTTACAAGCCCATAGTTCTCCAGCATGACTTCCTTGTAGAGAGCTCTTTGGCTTGGATCCAGTAGATCCCATTCTCTCTTGCTGAAATACACAGCCACCTCTGCAAAGGACGTCAGCCACTGAAAACAAGGAGTGGTAGAGTTTCAGTCTGTAATATTCTACTTACATATAAGCTAAGGCTCAGAGCTATATTAATATGGTTATGGGCTCGCGCCATTCCAATAATATGAGGGTTGAATGAAAAGTAATGCCTCCACCTTCGTAACTCCTCAACAGATAGCCGTACTGGTATGTGGTAGGACTGGCTTGTTCAGTAGACTCTCCTCTACAATTCCATTTTGGTAGGAAGCCTTAGAATTGAGCAGGCATGTAGCCGGGGGGGGGGGCTTGAGGGACTTCCGCCCCCCCCCCCAAATTCTCATGGTGGTCCGCGAGAAGGCCTTACTGGTACATTATTTAAACTGTTATGTTTATTCATATCATGATCTGATCACCATGCTCAATATATCCCATATGCATGGGGGTATTGGGGTAACAATACAAAAGGTTTGCTAGGGTAGACCTTCTTTCACTCAGACTCAGCCCCCCCCCCGGCCCCCGCATCAAAATCCTGGCTACGGGCCTGGCATTGAGTGGTTGTGTTGTTAAAGGGTGAAATATGGAACCCTGCGCAGACGGTCGGTCAATGCGACTTAAGCAATGTGCAATCATTGAATTCTTGACAGCAGAAGGTGTCAACCAAAAGGAGATTAATCAGAGAATGCAAGCTGTTTATGGCGATTGTGTTGATGTGAGTACTGTGCGTCGTTGTGCAAGTTAGTTTAAAAACGTTGAGGTGGGAACATCTGACACGCGTGACAAACAAAGAGTTGGATGTCCCGTGACAGCAACCATCAAGTTTCACAAGCAAAAGGTTGACAGATTGATTCAGGACGATCGTCGTATCACTCAAGAGAGAAATTTCAAGCATAATCAGCATTTCATAAGAATGTGTGGGTCACATTATTGCTTTGTTTGGCTATCAAAAGATCTGTGCACGATGGGTACCCAGGATGCTGATTGTGGAAACAGAATGTCAACTTCAGAAAACTTGTTCATCGTTGGCAGAAATATATCCAATTGTCTGGTGATTATGTGGAAAAGTGAATAGTGGTGGTTAAGGAACACATTCTAAGGATGATTTCTGTGTTTGATTTATCAAAATATTCCCATCCAAACCCAAGTAACGAAGGTGGAGGCATTACTTTTCGTTCAACCCTTGTAGAAGCTTCTTTGTGGATACGTTTGGGCAATTCTATGCAGCACAGATTGTATATTAAATTAAATAAGCAAACAAAGAAGAGATTGCAAAATACAATAGACAGCTATACAAAAACCATCAAGCATTCTTAGCTCTGCGACTACTCTGAGTCCCACACTTTTGCACTCAATTACTCAAGTTAACACACAAAACGGCTGATAACAAAACACTACAACATAGAGGAAATCAGCCAGGTTATTTCCCTGACTTACCTGAGGCCGCTGCAGGACGGTTCTTTCTATCCCAACACCAAAATGAACTGATCCAAAGCCTGACTTCATTTCCACTGTTTTGTCTGTTGGGGGGAAAAAGAGGCATAAACCAGACCGTCTCACAAATTCCTTTAGCTTCCATACCTGTTTCTTTATTAAAACCTTCATATCCTGTCCTGTGTCTCAAGGCAGCACAGAGGCAAACTACCATATATACTCGAGTATAAGCCAACCCGAATATAAGCCTAGGCACCTAATTTTACCACAAACAACTGGGGAAACTTATTGACGTGAGCATAAGTTGAAGGTGGGAAATGCAGCAGCTACTGGTAAATTTCAAAATAAAAATAGATACCAATAAAATTACATTAACTGAGGCATCAGGAGGCTAAATGTTTTGGAATATTTGCCATATTTCAAAGAAAACCAGTAAACTAGCTCTGCAAGTAGAAAAGGTAATTATATCGATATAGGATTTGCAAAGACTTGCAAACATGTGAGAGGAAATTCATATATAACCAATACAGTCATCCATCCATGTGTTTGTGAGTTCGGTCGTGGGCCCTCATGATAGTGGATAAAACATACCAAGCCTTGACTCTTAATACTGTTGACCATTTTTCATAAACATATAAAGAGTACAGTACATATATTTTATGAATTTCTAATTTACTAAACTGTTTTTCTTTACAGTTTGTGGTCTACAGGTGCCATTGCAATTTTCCTCAGTAGGCCACGAAATTCCCACTAAGTATTGATGGCAAACTCATGAATATTTAAATCCACCAAAGTTAATCCTGGAAGATCAAGATTCAATTGCAGTTAGCACTCCACATTCATGAACAATCAAATCTACAAAAAGTCAAAACCATAAAATGTGGAGAAATATATATGAACCATACTGTTTAATACTATTTCCTGCTCTTTGATGTATTGTCTCTCATGGTACAACTTCCTTCAAGATTCGTAATGTAAATGGGACCTAAATGTGAATCAGAGGACGGATCGGGCCATTAGACACACTTTGAGGCTGATTAATTGCAATGAATGCTCACAAGCTATGCAGTAAGTTCACCCTGCAATCCCTTCAATTCTGAAATAATGAATATCCCCACTATGTACCTGCGCAGATAATGCCTGATCTCTCCTCGTCTTCAGAGCATTGGAGAAATGGCTCCTCTCCTTCTTCCAGGCAGGCGATGAGGACTGGCTTGGGAAATTCTGGCAAGGAGAAAGACAGCAAGCTAGGGACTAGGAAACATCCAAGCACTCCTTTGCTCTTTCATTTTCTATTTGACCTTTACTGTTCCTACTCCCCTAGAGATGAGATTCTCAGCATTTGGTGCTATACAGTCCTGGAACGTGTGGTGGCTTCACAACTCCAGGTATTCTTGGAAAACACGGATTATCTGGATCCGGTGCAGTCTGGCTTTAGGTCGAGACATGGAACAGAGACAGTCTTGGTCGCCTTCGTTGATGATCTACGCCAGGAGCAAGGCAGGGGGAATGTGGAGACTTTTGTGGCTCACTGAGGCTGAACTCACAGCAAAACATTTCCCACACTCTTGGCATTGGTATGGCTTCTCTCCTGTGTGGAGTCTTTTGTGGCTCGCAAAACTGTCAGCCATACCAATGCCAGGGGTGTGGGAAATGTTTTGCTCGCAGTTCAGCGTTGGTGAGCAACAAAAGACTCCACACAAGAAGGAAGCCTTACCAATGCCAGGARTGYGGGAAATGTTTTGCTCACAGTTCAGCGTTGGKGAGCCACAAAAGACTCCACACAARAARGAAGCCTTACCAATRCCAGGRGTGTGGGAAATGTTTTGCTCACASTTCAGCGTTGGTGAGCCACWAAAGACTCCACACAAGAAGGAAGCCTTACCAATGCCAGTAGTGTGGGAAATGTTTTGCTCACAGTTCAGCCTTAGTCAGCCACAAAAGACTCCACACAGGAGAGAATCCATACCAATGCCAGGAGTGTGGGAAATATTTTGTTCACAGTTCAACCCTGGCAAGGCACAAAAGACTCCACACAGGAGAGAAGCCATATCAATGCCAGGAGTGTGGGAAATGTTTTGTTCGCAGTTCACATTTGGTGAGCCACAAAAGACTCCACACAGGAGAGAAGCCTCACTCCTACTTCGTGGATTTTCACTTATCCTGGAACGGAATACCTGCAATAAATGAGGGATTACTGTAGTTCTCTATACAAAGCTATGCTGCCCTCGAGTTGGTTCTGCAAACTATTGAGGAGTTTTTGCAGACTATATTGCAAGATTGGGCAAACTTCAGCCATCCCTCCAGGTGTTTTGGACTTCAAGTCCCACAATTCCTAACAGCCTACCAGCTGTTAGGAATTGTGGGACTTGAAGTCCAAAACTCCTGGAAAGAGGGCTGAAGTTTGCCCACGTCCATGATGGTGGATTGCTAATTTTCCTGATTGCTTGCCCCGTTACACAGAAGGAAGACAGCGTTTCGTCCAGCAGATCCTACCCAGCCAAGTCACGTTGCCGTAGTTTTCCAGCATCACCTCTGTGTAGAGAGCCTTCTCAGCTGAATCCAGGAAATCCCACTCTTCCTTGCTGAAATAGACCGCCACTTTCTCGAAAGACGCCAGAAACTATAATAAGAAAAAGGACACCTTCCATAATGTATTTTAACTGGTCTTACTATTGGACTGTTTAAGACTTTGTGGAGAAATGAGCCCCAAAAAGGAGTAGAAAGAAACACATTTTCAGTTGTTATTGAAAACATTAAAAAATACTGTTACGTATAATGATTTGTTGATTCTGCTGAGAGATATAGGTTCTGGGTTGCTGTGAGTTTTCCGGGCTGTATGGCCATGTTCCAGAAGCATTCACTCCTGACATTTCACCCACATTTATAACAGGCATCTTCAGAGGTTGTGAGGTCTGTTGGAAACTAGGCAAGTGAGGTTTATTTATCTGTGGGATAATGTCCAGGGTGGGAGAGAGAACTCTTGCCCGCTTGAGGCAAGTGTGAATGTTGCAATGAACACAACGAAAACACGACACAATGAAAAGCAGCTCTGTTCTCCCCTTCGCTTTGCTCTCTCTGATCATTTATCTGTTACCTGCGGTCTCTGCTTGGCGATGCCTTTCACTCTGCCATTGAATGAATATGCGCCCGGTTGTATTGCCAACTCCATTGCACCGTCTGTGAAGGAAGAGACACAACAGAGGTACAAACAAAGCAAAACCTGGAATGGGTTGCTGTAGGTTTTTTTGGGCTATATGGCCATGTTCTGGAGGCATTCTCTCCTGACGTTCCGCCTGCATCTATGGCAAGCATCCTCAGAGGTAGTGAGACCTGGAATTCCTACCTCAGGGCCCTTCCACACAGCCATATAACCCAGAATATCAAGGCAGAAAATCCCACAATACCTGCTTTGAACTGGGTTGTTGGAGTCCACACTGCCATATAATCCAGTTCAAGGCAGATAATCTGGATTGTATATGGCAGCGTAAAGGGGCCTCCCATCCTCCATGGCTGACAGTTAATTGAGGCCCCTTCTACACTGCCATATAAAATACAGATTGATTTGGAGGAGTTGTAGTTCACCTACATCCATAGAGCACCATGAACCCAAACAACGATGCACACATGCCTGAAATGCCCAAATTTGAATACTGGAAGGAAGTAACCTTGATTTTTGGAGTTGTAGGTCACCTACAACAAGAGAAGCTGTGAACCCCACCAACAATGGATCTGAATCAAACTTGGCACACAGAACCACCATGACCAATTGAACATACTGGAGGGGTTTTGGGGGAACTGACTTTCATTTCTGGATGCTGCAGTTCACTTACATCCAGAGACACTGTGACCACCACCGATGACGAATCTGGACCAAATTTGGCACACAAAACCCCCATGACCAACTGAACCTACCAGATGGATTTGAGGGGACTGACCCACCATGGTGGGAGCTGTAGTTTATCCTGCAGCCAGAGATCACACCGAACCCCACCAATGATACAACTGGAGCAGTGGTTCTCAATCTGTGGGTCTCTAGGTGTTTTTGGTCTTCAACTCCCAGAAATCCCAGCCAATTTACCAGCTGTTAGGATTTCTGGGAGTTGAAGGCCAAAACATCTGGGGACCCACAGGTTGAGAACCACTGCTTTAGAGCAAGCTTCTCCAATACAGAATCATAGAATCATCGAGTTGGAAGAGACCTCATGGGCCATCCAGTCCAACCCCATTCCGCCAAGAAGCAGGACTATTGCATTCAACGCACCCCTGACAGATGGCCATCCAGCCTCTGTTTAAAAGCTTCCAAAGAAGGAGCCTCCACCACACTCTGGGGGCAGAGAGTTCCACTGCTGAACGGCTCTCACAGTCAGGAAGTTCTTCCTGACTGTGTAGATGGAGTTTCAGGGGGTTAATCTGGCATGATGTGAGTTGCAGTACAATGTATTGTCGAAGGCTTTCATGGCCGGAATCACTGGGTTATTGTAGGTTTTCCTACATTTCCTGGTCATTCCACAGATATATAAACCCTTTTTCCTAGTTCCAACAGACCTCACTACCTCTGAGGATGCTTGCGATAGATGCAGGCGAAACGTCAGGAGAGAATGCCTCTAGACCATGGCCATACAGCCCAAAAAAACTTACAACAACCCAATTGCAGTACACCCACAACCTTATGCATTTTGTAAAAATAAAAAATGACTTCTTCTAATAACCTCAGCAATGCTGGGTACCCAAGCTAGTAATGAATAAAAATTAATTAATTAATAAAATGATGAAACTGACAATAAATAAAACATACAAAGCTGCCCCCTCATTGACAGCTGCATTGCATCCCTTCCTCTACCAACCATACCAACCTATGTATTTTTACTGATTTGCTTTTAGTGTCATTATACGGAGGACCAACTGCATTTTATTTATTTACAATATTTATATACCACCTTTCTCATCCCTGGGTGGGAAGTAGCAGCCAATAGTGAAAGGACCAAGGCAGAGACATCTCCAGCTCATTCCCTGTTTGGGTATCAGCCAGCACGTCAACAACTTAAATCTAAAAATAGTTTTCTAAGATCTACAGAGACACTCGCTGGAACACCCCAGCAAGCGAGAGTCCAAAAGTGGCAGGCCCAAACCCAGCACCTCAATCCATGGGTGATACCAGATGAGAGACTCCCTCCTGGGTACACAGAAGACTGGGCGACTTGGAAGGCGCTGAACAGACTGCGCTCTGGCACCACAAGATGCAGAGGCAATCTTAAGAAATGGGGCTACAGGGTGGAATCCTCGGCTTGTGAGTGCAGAGAGGAGCAAACCACTGACCACCTGCTGCAATGCACCCTGAGCCCTGCCACATGCACAATGGAGGACCTTCTTGCGGCAACACCAGAGGCACTCCAAGTGGCCAGATACTGGTCAAAGGACATTTAACCAACTACCAAATTTGCAAAATCTGTGTGTGTGTGTGTGTTTTCTTTTTCTTTTTAATCTGTGTGTTTGTTTTGTTCTGTTAGAATTGTAATACAATGGTATGGTTGCTGATGACACGATAAATAAATAAATCCCTGGGGGGACTCAAAGCATGTATTTATTATCATGTTTACTTTTTTCCTTTCTCTCCGCAAGCTAAGTCAAAGCAGCTTACTTTAAAAGCATTTCAATACTATTTAAAATCTGCCAATATACAACCATGGGACGTGTATGTATGTGCATAGTAATAATGTTGTTATATTTATTTACACCCTACTTCCCTCTCTGGAATGAGACTCAAAGCAGCTCAAATATACAGGAATGCATATAGATAAATCAAATGCAAATTAATAGTAAATATAATAAATATAAATGAAATATAAATGAATGGTGATAATAAGGAAAACATGCAGCCATCCCACACTTTGACAACTGGATTGATTCATCTTCTCAACCAACCATACCAACATATGTATTTTTACTGATTTTTTGTGTTGCTATATATGTCTGTGCATTATTATTATTATATCACACTTTCCTCTCGTAAACAAGACTCAAAGTGGCTCACATATATGGCTCAAATACAAATTAATAATAATATAAATCAATCTAAATCAATCAACATAAACAATGATGATAAAGAAAACATGCAACCAGCCCATACTTTGAAAGCTGAATTACTTCATCTTTTGGACTGACCATACCAACATAGCTATTTTTACTTATTTTTTGTATTGTCATGCATGTTTGTGAATTATTATTATCATGATTATTATATTTAAACCACACGTTCCTCTCTTAAACAAGACTCGGAGACCTTCCAGACGTGCCCTATATCCCAAGATCTGATCCCAGGTTTTCTCTTTATCCCAGATTCTCTGTCAGTGCAGACTCATATAATCCAGTTTAAAGCAGAAAACCTGGGCTCAGATCCTGGGATATAGGGCCTCTTGGGAAGGGGCCTCAAGCCCCTTCTACACTGTCCTTCTATCCCAGGATTTGATCCTAGATTGTTCTTATCTCAGATTATATGGCAGTGCAGACTCATATGTTGTTGTTCATTCGTTCAGTCGTCTCCGACTCTTCGTGACCTCATGGACCAGCCCACGCCAGAGCTCCCTGTCGGCCGTCACCACCCCCAGCTCCTTCAAGCTCAGTCCAGTCACTTCAAGGATGCCATCCATCCATCTTGCCCTTGGGTGGCCCCTCTTCCTTTTGCCTTCCACTTTCCCCAGCATCATTGTCTTCTCTAGGCTTTGCTGTCTCTCATGATGTGGCCAAAGTACTTCAACTTTGTCTCTAGTATCCTTCCCTCCAGTGAGCAGTCGGGCTTTATTTCCTGGAGGATGGACTGGTTGGATCTTCTCGCAGTCCAAGGCACTCTCAGAACTTTCCACCAACACCACAGCTCAAAAGCATCGATCTTCCTTCGCTCAGCCTTCCCTAAGGTCCAGCTCTCACATCCGTAGGTTACTACAGGGAATACCATGGCTTTGACTAGGCGGATTTTTTTTTGCCAGTCTGATGTCTCTACTCTTTACTATTTTATCGAGATGGACATTGCTCTCCTCCCAAGAAGTAAATGTCTCCTGATTTCCTGGCTACAGCCTGCATCTGCAGTAATCTTTGCAACTAGAAATACAAAGTCTGTCACGGCCTCCACGTTTTCTCCCTCTATTTCCCACTTGTCAATCATTCTTGTTGCCATAATCTTGTTTTTTTTTTAATGTTTAGCTGTAACCCAGCTTATGCACTTTCATCTTTCACCATGATTAGAAGGCTCCTCAGCTCCTTCTCGCTTTCGGCCATCAAACTGGTATCATCTGCATATCTAAGGTTGCTAAAGTTTCTTCCTGCAATTTTCACCCCAGCTTTACATTTGTCAAGCCCCGCACATGTGTCCAGAGGAGGGCACAAGTTAAAAAGGTTGGGTGAGAGGATGCAGCCTTGCCGTACGCCTTTCCCAATCTTGAACCAGTCTGTTGTTCCATGGTCAGTTCTGACTGTTGCTACTTGGTCCTTGTACAGATTCCTCAGGAGAGAGACAAGGTGGCTTGGGATGCCCATCCCACTATAATCCGGTTTAAAGCAGAAAACCTGGGATTAGATCCAGGGATATATTGTCTGTTCGGAAGTGCCCTCAGGCCCCTTCTACACTGTCCTTCTATCCCAAGATCTGATCCCAGATTATCTTCTTATCCCAGATTATATGGCAGTGCAGACTCATATAATCCAGTTTAAAGCAGAAAACCTGGGATCAGATCCTGGGATATAGGGCCTGTCTGAAAGGGGTCCCAATTCAAAGCAGATATTGTGGGATTTTGTGCTTATCCCAGATTATATGGCGGTGCAGACTCATATAATCCAGTTTAAAACAGAAAACCTTGGATCAGATCCAGGGATATAGTGTCTGTTCAGAAGTGCCTTCAGGCCCCTTCTACCCCAAGATTTGATTTTAGATTGTTCTTATCCCACATTATATGGCGGTGCAGACTCATATAATCCAGTTTAAAGCAGAAAACCTGGGATCAGATCCAGGGATATAGTGTCTGTTCGGAAGTGCCCTCAGGCCCCTTCTACACTGTCCTTCTATCCAAGATTTGATCCCAGATTGTTCTTATCCCAGATTATATGGCAGTGCAGACTCATATAATCCAGTTTAAAGCAGAAAATCTGGGATGACATCCAGCGATATAGCGTCTGTTCGGAAGTGCCCTCAGGCCCCTTCTACACTGTCCTTCTATCCCAGGATCTGATCCCAGATTATCTTCTTATCCCAGATTATATGGCAGTGCAGACTCATATAATCCAGTTTAAAGCAGAAAACCTGGGATCAGATCCTGGGATATAGGTCCTGTCTGGAAGGGCCCTCAGGCCCCTTCTACACTTTCCTTCTATCCCAGGATTTCATCCTAGATTGTTCTTATCTCAGATTATATGGCAGTGCAGACTCATATAATCCGGTTTAAAGCAGAAAACCTGGGATCAGATCCAGGGATATAGTGTCTGTTTGGAAGTGCCTTCAGGACCCTGATACACTGTCCTTAAATCCCAGGATCTGATCCCAGATTATCTGCTTATTCCAGATTCTATGGCAATGCAGACTCATATAATCCATTTTAAAGCAGAAAACCTGGGATCAGATACAGGGATATAGTGTCTGTTCAGAAGTGCCTTCAGGCCCCTTCTTCTACACTGTCTTATCCCAAGATTTTATCCTAGATTGTTCTTATCCCAGATTATATGGCAGTGCGGACTCATATAATCCAGTTTAAAGCAGAAAACCTGGGATCAGATCCTGGGATATAGAGTCTGACTGGAAGGGCCCTCAGGTCCCTTCTACACTGTTCTTCTGTCCCAGGATCTGATCCCAGATTGTGTTTATCCCAGATTATATGGCAGTGGAGACTGATATAATCCAGTTCAAAGCAGATCAGATCTTGGGATATAAGGACAGTGTAGAAGGGGCCTCAAAGCAGCTCATACATATAGATAAATCAAATACAAATTAATAATAATATACATTTAATATATAAATGATGATGCTAATGAGAAAGAAAACATGCCAGGAAGCTCCACTTTGACAGATAGTTTGCATGCATCTCCCTCTCTCCCAAATTAGGGAAGGGTCTCCAAACTTGTCCCTAATTTTGCCCCTTTTTGAATTCTCTCCATCCACCTAGATTTCCTTTTTGAAAGCAAGCTGCAGTCCAGCAAGGCATCTGCTGAAATGAACCAGGGAAGCTTTAAGGTGCCTCAAGACCCCTCTTCATATGTTGTCCCCCAGCACTCATGATGCATATCCTTTTACCTCTCTCCCTCCTGCCCTTTTGCAGCAACATGGGCCTTCCACTCCTCCACCAGAAGTAGGGGGAGAAAAGCCTCTTCCCGGAAAATTCAGAGAGGTGGGGCAAGGCACCAAGCCTTCCGCATAGATCTGGCCTTTCTAGCAAGCTAAGCTCTAGTCCTTTAACCCTAGGAGTACTGCAGATCTGGGTGGCTGTCTTTGCAAAGCTTGCAGCTGCAGGCTTTCCACCTTAAGGGTTGCTTCTGCTTGGCAGCCTCCTGCTTGCTCATCCACTCCAGAGCATTGGGGGGCTGCTCCAACTGCAAAGGGGAGAGAAATGGGAGGTTGTATTGTGGTCTTTTTCATAGCCATAACAGATCTGAACAGACTGGAGAGCTGGGCCAAAAGGAGCCAATTGTGTGATGCAGCAGCAAAAGAAGCCAATGAGTCATAGTATAGAATCATAGAATCAAAGAGTTGGAAGAGACCTCATGGGCCATCCAGTCCAACCCCCTGCCAAGAAGCAGGAATATTGCATTCAAATCACCCCTGACAGATGGCCATCCAGCCTCTGTTTAAAAGCTTCCAAAGAAGGAGCCTCCACCACACTCCGGGGCAGAGAGTTCCACTGCTGAACGGCTCTCACAGTCAGGAAGTTCTTCCTCGTGTTCAGATGGAATCTCCTCTCTTGTAGTTTGAAGCCATTGTTCCGCGTCCTAGTCTCCAAGGAAGCAGAAAACAAGCTTGCTCCCTCCTCCCTGTGGCTTCCTCTCACATATTTATACATGGCTATCATATCCCCTCTCAGTCTTCTCTTCTTCAGGCTAAACATGCCCAGCTCCTTAAGCCGCTCCTCATAGGGCTCTTTCTCCAGACCTTTTATCATTTTAGTCGCTCTCCTTTGAGCCCATCTTTAAATCTTTTTTTTTCCTGTCCACCAACATTCCACTTTCCGTTCTTGAGTTCGGAGTAGAGCAACTGCTTTGGGAGACGGTGGTCGGGCATCCGGACAACATGGCCGGTCCAGCGGAGCTGATGGCGGAGGACCATCACTTCAATGCTGGTGGTCTTTGCTTCTTCCAGCACGCTGACATTTGTCCGCCTGTCTTCCCAAGAGATTTGCAGGATTTTCCAGAGGCAGTGCTGATGGAATCGTTCCAGGAGTTACATGTGACGTCTCTAAACAGTCAACGTTTTGCAGGCATAGAGCAGGGTTGGGAGGACAATAGCTTTATAAACAAGCACCTTGGTATCCCTATGGATGTCCCAGTCCTCAAAACTCTCTGCTTCATTCGGAAAAATGCTGCACTCGCAGAGCTCGGGTGGTGTTGTATTTCGGTGTTGATGTTGACTTTGGTGGAGAGACTTAAGCAATGTGCAATCATTGAATTATTGACAGCAGAAGGTGTCACCCCAAAGGATATCCATCAGAGAATGCAAGCTGTTTATGGTGATTGTGTTGATGTGAGTACTGTGCGTCGTTGGGCGAGTAAGCTTAAAGATGTTGAGGTGGGAACTGGGAACATCTGACTAGCATGACAAACAAAGAGTTGGACGTCCTGTGACAGCAACCACCGAGTTTCACAACAAAAGGTTGACAGATTGATTCAGGACGATCGCCGTATCACTCAGAGAGAAATTTCTAGCGTAATCGGCATTTTGCAAGAACGTGTGGGTCACATTATTGCTTTGCTTGGCTATCAGAAAATCTGTGCACAATGGGTATCCAGGATGCTGACACTTGTTGCAGAAACAGAGTGTCGACTTCTTCCGTGACAGCTTCAGAAAACTTGTGAAATGTGAAATGCAGAAATGTATCCAATTGTCTGGTGATTATGTGAAAAAGTGAATAGTGGTAGTTAAAGAGCATATTCTAAGGATTATTTCTGCATTTTATTTATCAAAATATTCCCATCCAAACCCAAGTAACGAAGGTGGAGGCATTACTTTTCATTCAACCCTTGTACTATAATTTTACTATAATTTGGCAATGAACGTGACATGCACAGATATAGCATGGGTGACACCTGGCTTGACAACTGTCTGTAGGAAAGGGATCTAGGAGTCTTGTTAGACCACATTTGAGCCAACTGTGTGATGCGACAGCTAAAAAAACCAGTGCAATTCTAGGCTGCATCAAGAGAAGGATCGTGTCTACATTGAGGGAAGTCATAGTTCCACTCGATTCTGCTTTGGGGTCTAAGGTAAAGGTAAAGGCTTTCCCCTGACATTGAGTCTAGTCGTGCCAGACTCTGGGGGTTGGTTCTCATCGCCATTTCTAAGCCAAAGAGCCAGTGTTGTCCGTAGGCACGACTGGACTTAATATCAGGGGAAAACCTTTAACTTTTATATGGCAGTGTAGATGGGCCCTAAGTAATAATATGATCTGATCCTTTTGCTCTGAATAAAGGAGCAGAATGACCTGGCTTTCCAGTCACCGTATGGACTCATCACAAGATAAAATGACTCATTGGAACAGATGCGATTACTCACTAAAGCAGATTGTGGTAGGAAAAGAGAAGGGTGCATTAAAGGTGGATTGAGGATAAAGCCAAACTATTGAAAAGCCCTGGGTTTTGCTCCTGTTGTGCATATAGGCTCCATCTACACTGCCATAAAAATCCAGCTTCTGAATCCAGATTATCTGCTTTGAACTGGATTATATGAGTCAACACTGCCATGTTATTTATCGTGTCAGAAGTGGATTGGTGGATTGAGACCACCAGCATTGAAGCGATGGTCCTCCGCCATCAACTCCGCTGGACTTGTTGTCCTGGTCATGTTGTCTGGATGCCCGACCACCGTCTCCCAAAGCAGTTGCTCTACTCCGAACTCAAGAACTGAAAACTGAATGTTTGTGGGCAGGAAAAGAGATTTAAAGACAGGCTCAAAGCCAACCTTAAAAACTCTGGCATAGACACTGAGAACTGGGAAGCCCTGGCCCTTGAGCGCTCTAGCTGGAGGTCAGCTGTGACCAGCAGTGCTGCAGAATTGAAGAGGCATGAATGGAGGGTGAAAGAGGAAGGTGCCAAGAGGAAGGCGAGTCAAGCCAACCCTGACTGGGACCACCTTCCACCTGGAAACCAATGCCCTCACTGTGGGAGAAGATGCAGATCAAGAATAGGGCTCCACAGTCACCTACAGACCCATCTCCTGGATACTACATTTGGAGGACCATCATCCTCAGACTACCAGGGATCGTTTAAGTAAGTAAGAAGTCAGGATTGAGGGTACAGTTATAATGTATTTAAAAATACAAAGTTTAAAAAAAACTTGGTATTATGCTAAATGTCCTTTGACCAGAAGCTGGCTACTTGGAATACCTCTGTTGTCACTGCGAGGAGGTCCTCCCTTGTGCATGTGGCAGGGCTCAGGCTGCATTGCAGTAAGTGGTCTGTAGTTTGCTCTTCTCCACACTTGCATGTTGTGGACTCCACTTAGTAGCCCCATTTCTTAAGGTTATCTCTGCATCTCGTGGTGCCAGAGCGCAGTCTGTTCAGTGCCTTCCAAGTCGCCCAGTCTTCTGCTTGTCCAGGAGGTAGTCTCTCAATCGGTATCAGCCACTGATTGAGGCTCCGAGTTTTCGTCTACCACTTTTGGACTCTCACTTGCTGGGGTGTTTTCTGAGTGAGTCCAAAGATTAGGCTGTACATAGAATCATAAAATTATAAAAACATAAGAGACTCCAGAGGTCATTTAGTCCAACCCCAGCCTGCATAAGCAGGAACAACATGATCAAAGCCCTCCCGACAGAGGGCCATCCAGCCTTTTTTAAAATCTCCTGCTCTGGAGGAGACTCAACACTCTCACCCTTTTAGTTTTGGTTAAAAAGAAAATCAGAAGGAGAGAGATTGCCACGGAGACTCCAACAGTATTCATTTGATTTTCATGTTAGAAATGTAATAATAATGAATAAAACTTTGTTTATATACTGCTCTATCTTTCCGCGGGGACTCAGGGCGGATTCCAAGCAACAACATCAAATAAAACAGAGTCACAACATGAACAGAAAATAACAGCAACAGCAACATAAGCATAGAATTACCCAACAACACATAAATATTAAAAGAGAAAATCCTGCCTGCTTTTCATGTCAATTTGTTAGGGCATGGAAAAGGAATGGGCCGGATCAAGACTCATACAAATTGAAATAAGGTAAGGTCGGCATTTAGGTGTAGTACTGTTGTAGGTAAATGACAAAAGTGGAGATGGGCTATTTCCAGGGGCCTGTTAGAAAATGACCAGGATAATATATAGGGGGCAATGTTGTGTCCGGACAGTGTCTGGGCTGAGCTAGCACTGGTCACTCTCAAAGATTTGTTGAAACCACCAAGTCTTCAAACTCTTACGAAAAGAGGGGAGGGATGGGGCCTGTCTTATTTTCCTTGGAAGGGCATTCCAGAGGCGGGGGGCCACCACCAAGAAGGCCCTCTCTCTCATCCCCACCAACCGTGCTTGTGATGGAGGTGGGAGCGAGAGGAGGGCCTCCCCGGAGCATCTTAAGAGTTCGCACCGGTTCATAGATGGAGATGTGATTGCGAAGATAGGCGGGGCCCAAACCATTCCGGGCTTTATAGGTCATTACCTGCACCTTGAAAATGTACCTTTCTGCTTGAAAGGCAGTAAATAAAGAACGACACTCAAAAACAGGGGAATTCCAGACAAGAAAAAATCAGGGCCAGCTAATCACCTCCCAACAAAGGATTCCCCCAGGCAAGAAGCAACCAAGCTGCAAGGCTATTCAATGCTAATCAAGGAGGCCTGTTGCAACATTCACACTTGCCTCAAGCAGACAAGAGGTCTTTCTCCAACCCTGGACATCATTCCCCAGATATATAAACCTCACTTGCCTAGTTACCAACAGACCGCTCAACTTATAAGGATTTTTTTTGTCGTGTCAGGAGCAACTTGAGAAACTACAAGTCGCTTCTGGTGTGAGAGAATTGGCCGTCTGCAAGGACGTTGCCCAGGGGACACCTGGATGATTTGATGCTTTTATCATCCTTGTGGGAGGCTTCTCTCATGTCCCCACATGAGGAGCTGGAGCTGATAGAGGGAGCTCATCCGCCTCTTCCCGGATTCGAACCTGCGACCTGTCGGTCTTCAGTCCTGCCGGCACAGGGGTTCAACCCACTGTGCCACCGGGGGCACACCTATAAGGATGCCTGCCATAGATGTGGGTGAAAAGTCAGGAGAGAATGCTTTTAGAACATGGCCAGACAGCCTGGAAAATTCACAGCAAGAAAGGCTTTTGTTTTTAATATGAACTTGGCAATCACTTTGGTTACTGCCTTGTGTTTTGAATGCTCTTTGATGTGTTGTCTGGCTAGCTAGCACCATAAATGTATTGATGTTTTGCAGCTAGAGTTTGGGGAGGACTGGGTTAATGGAAGAGAGCTCTGCTTGATAGAGAGACCCAGGGACTTTGACCAGGAGGAGAACTAGGGAGACTTCTCCGCCCCTTCCTGGGAGGGTCAAAGGCACCCCCCTTGCCTTGGTGGCCTTGGGAGGAGGGCTTTTGCATTGCTTCTGAGCAAGACAGGAAAAAAAGAAAAGAAGGTTGGAGTGTCCCTTTTCAACTCATCCCCCATCCTTGCAGCTAGACCTCCTTCTATGGTAGGAAATCAGCCGACACATTGTTATACATTTTGGGTTCTTCTGTTGCAATGCAGCTGAATGCAGGTTTTGTGCCAGAGGAGGGGGGGGGGGGGGAAGCAGAGAGCTTCTCCTTTTCTCCAAAGGGAAACATCTGCACTGTGCACTGCTTGAACTGCAGGGCTCAATGCTATGGTATCCTGGAAGTTGTAGTTTGGCGAGACATTATTATCACTCTTCGGCAGAGAAGGATGAAGACTTTGCAAAACTACAATGTCCATCATTCCACATCACTGAGCCATTGCCATTAAAGTGAAGCCAAACAGCATTCATTCTACGGTGTAGACTAGGCATGGGCAAACTTTGGTCCTCCAGTTATTTTGGACTTCCACAATTCCTAACAGCTGGAATGAGTCCAGAGGAGGGTGACTCAAATGATCAAGGGTCTGGAGAACAAGCCCTACGAGGAGCGGCTTAAGAACTGGGCATGTTTGGCCCGAAGAAGAGAAGTCTGAGAGGAGACATGAGAGCCACTCCCAGCATCATGTCCCAAACGCACTTTACTAGAGATTTAAGATTGTCTGCACATCGCACCTACCCTAAAATCCTTATATTTCACCTGTCATGTCCAGCACTTTTAACTTTATCCATTACATTTGGTCCGGCCCTAGTTTTAATGTGTTATGATGTATTGTTTTATTGTTTTACTGTTACTGCTTTAATGTTTATTGGTTTGCTTTATGTGTTTTATTGTTTGTATTTGTTATGCTGTTGTTTTATTGAGGGTCATGGCCTTTGTAAGCCGCACCGAGTCCTTCGGGAGATGTTAGTGGGGTACAAATAAAGTTAATAATAATAGTAGTAGTAATAATAATAATAATAATAATAATAATAATAATAATAATAATGTATAGGTATGTGAGAGGAAGTCATAGAGAGGAGGGAGCAGGCTTGTTTTCAGCTGCCCTGGAGACTAGGACACAGAACAATGGCTTCAAACTACAGGAAAGGAGATTCCATCTGAACATGAGGAAGAACTTCCTGACTGTGAGAGCCATTCAGCAGTAGAACTCTCTTCCCTGGAGTGTGCTGGAGGCTCCTTGTTTAGAGGCTTTTAAACAGAGGCTGGATGGCCATCTGTTGGGAGTGCTTTGAATGCGATTTTCCTACTTCTTGGCAGGGGGTCGGACTAGATGCCCCATGAGGTCTCTTCCAACTCTATGATTCTATGAATTGTGGGAGTTGAAATCCAAAACACCTTGCCTGGTGTAAATGTACCCATGGCAGTTAAAATGGAATAATAGCATGTGTGAATGAGTCCTGTCTTCATAGGATTTAGATTGAAAAGGTACAAGTGTCTTTCATTTCCTGCTCAGTTTCTCAGGCATCAAACAATAAAGCAAAAGTACATTGGAACTGGGTGTTACATTTCCAGATATGTTTTCATCAGGGCAGCAAAACTAATACACTGTCTGCTTCAGAAGCAGAGGTTGTTTGAGGATTGGGACATCCATAGGGAGACCAAGGTGCTTGTTTATAAAGCTATTGACCTGCCAACCCTGTGAAACGTGGACTGTCTACAGACGTCACGTGCAACTCCTGGAACGATTCCATCAGCGTTGCCTCCAAAAAATCCTGCAAATCTAATGGGAAGACAAGCGGACAAATGTCAGAAGCAAAGACCACCAGCATTGAAGCGATGCCCCTACGCTGGACTGGCCCCATTGTCCAAATGCCCAATCACCATCTCCCAAAACAGTTACTATATTCCCAACTCAAGAATGAGAAATGTAATGTTGGTGGACAGCAAAAGAGATTTAAAGATGGGCTTAAAGCCAACCTTAAAAACTTTGGCATAGACACCGAGAACTGCGAAGCCCTGGCCCTTGAGCACTCTAACTGGAGGTCAGCTGTGACCAGCAGTGCTGCAGAGATAGGTTCATACTGTATGTTGAAAACCAGGCAGTGTTTTCCTTCTTCCTCAAAGTGTTTTGCATCCTCTCTTCCCAACATCTCCATCCATGACCTGAAGGGATCTCCCTCCCTTCTCCTTTCAGTTTCTACTCCAGTTTTGTTGTCTGCTTCTTCTCATCCTGGATCTTTCTCTGTTTCTCCTCTAGATCAGCCACACAGAAGCACATCCTGATACAACTCCGCTGCAAAGAAGGCGAAATGGCAGCGGCCACAGTACTCAACCTATGGAATGATAAGGTGGGCCAGACTTTGGGATAAATACTTTTACGAGTTTTCCTCGTATTCCTTTATCAACCTTCTTGAAAATTATGTTAAAACCCAGCTAGTTTGGTGTAGTGATAGGAGTGCTGGGACAAGGAGTGCATCTACACTGTACATTTAATACAGTTTAACCTTACTTTGACTGCTATGGGTCAATACTCTGCAGTCCTTGGAGTTGTATTTTCATGAGGCACTGGCAACTGGGCAGAGAAGGCTAAGACCTTGTCAAACTACAACTTCTGAGATTCCATAGCCCTGAGCCATAGCACTTAGTGGCCTCAAACTGCATTCATTCTACAGTGTAGATGTACCCTAGGATTCTGGGTTCGAATCCCAGCTCAGCCAGGAAGACATATTCAGTGATCTTGAGTAGACGTGGGTGTGTCTACACTATGTTTTTAATATTCGTGTTATGGTTTATATTATGTGTTAATGTTTTTATATGTTTTATGGTGTTTTGGGGCATTGAATCACTGCCATTGTAAACCACCCTGAGTTGCCTGAGGGCTGAGAAGGGTGGTATACAAATACAGTAAACAGATAAATAAATAAATAAAAGAAGGATTGTAGTTTGACCCCACTTTAACTGTCCTGGCTCAGTGCCATGGCATATCTGATACTCTAGTTTTACAAGGTCTTTAGCACTTCCTGCCAAAGAGTTCTGGTGCCTCACCAAACTGCAACTCATACTACATACACATAATTGTAGTTTCCATCAGTGTTGACCTGCCAACCCTGTGAAATGTGAACTGTCTACAGACGTCACAGTCTACTCCTGGAACAATTCCATCAGCGTTGCCTCTGAAAAATCCTGCAAATCTCATGGGAAGACAAGCGGACAAATGTTAGTGTGCTGTAAGAAGCAAAGACGACCAACATTGAAGCGATGCTCCTATGCCATCAACTCCACTGGACTGGCCACGTTGTCTGAATGCCCGATCACCATCTCCCAAAGCAGTTACTATACCCCCAACTCAAGAATGAGAAATGTAATGTTGGTGGACAGGAAAAGAGATTTAAAGATGAGCTTAAAGCCAACCTTAAAAACTGTGGCATAGACACCGAGAACTGCGAAGCCCTGGTCCTTGAGCACTCTAACTGGAGGGCAGCTGTGACCAGCAGTGCTGTAGAATTCAAAGAGGCATGATCATAAAACATATGATCAATTTTGTCATTATAAACTGCCCTGGCAAGGGTTCATAGCATCACAAATTTAATGATTTTTGAAGACTGAGAAGGCAGGAGTTTAGTTCCCTTAAAAAGCTATAGCCAGCTTGTATTCATTAAGTCATGAAATAGAAAAATGTACAAAGCATGAAATTTGGAACTTTCCCCTTTCAACAGCAACTTGAGAGCCATTTCTTTATCAGTTTGTACCCATGTTTGACTTTTTCCTTATCAAGTGCATGAATGTAAACACTGATGCCTCCTTTGTTTTCCCAGGAAGCAATCTCTGAATCCTTGCCTCTTGCATCTGGAGCTGAAATTGGTGCTTTGACATTGAGTCAGGTAAGGAAAAGATCGCCAGGAGAGATGGAAGGGAATAACTCAGGTCCTTCCCTCTGTGTTGGGAAGGGAAAATAGAAAGGTAGGCAAAGGTAAAGGTTTTCCCCTGACATTAAGTCTCATTGTGTCCAAATCTAGGGGTTGGTGCTCATCTACATTTCTAAGCCGAAGAGCTGGTGTTGCCCATAGACATCTCATAGGTCATGTGGCTGGCATGACTGCATGGAGCATCATCACCATCCCGGAAAAGTGGTTCCTATTGATCTACTCACATTTGCATGTTTTCGAACTGCTAGGTTGGCAGAAGCTGGTGCTAACAGTGAGAGCTCACCCTACACCCCAGGTTTGAACCACTGACCTTTTGGTCAGCAAGTTCAGTCGCTCAGCAGTTTAACCTGCTAAGTTCTTGTGGGTTTTTTCGGGCTATATGGCCATGTTCTAGAGGCATTTTCTCCTGACGTTTCGCCTGCATCTATGGCAAGCATCCTCAGAGGTAGTGAGGTCTGTTGGAATTAGGACAATGGGTTTATATATCTGTGGAATGGCTGGGGTGGGGCAAAGAGCTCTTCTCTGCTGGAGCTAGGTGTGAATGTTTCAACTGACCACCTTCATTAGCATTTGAAGGCCTGCCTGAGCCTGGGAAAATCTTTTGTTGAGAGGTGTTAAGATGTGCCTGGTTGTTTCCTCTCTGCTGTTTTGCTGTTGTAATTTTAGAGTTTAACCTGTTGTTTAACCTGCTGTTTCACTGGGAGCTCCAAGGAAAATAGAAAGCAGATTTCAAATTGCAGAAAAAGAGATTCCACTTAAACTTTAGGAAGAACTTCCTGATGGTAAGAGCCTGGGAATGTAGAAGGGTCTCCTCTAATGGTTTTTAAACAGAGGCTGTTTGGCCATTTGTTGGGGGTGCTTTGATTCTGAGTTGCCACTTGGCAGAATGTGGTTGGACTGGATGGCCCTTGGGGATGGCTTTTTCAATTCTCTGATTCCATGTAAATGAAATGAAATAGCATCTACAGATACCATTGGGCTGTGGTTGGCGCAATGGGTTAAACTGGGCAGTTCGAATCCGTGGGATGGGGTGAGCTCCCGCTGTTAGCCCTAGCTCCTGCCAACCTAGCAGTTCAAAAACATTCAAATGTGCGTAGATCAATAGATACCGCCTTGACAGGAAAGGCAAAAAGATGCTCCATGTAGTCATGCCGGCCACACGACCAGGAGGTGTCTACGGACAATGCATGATCCTTGGCTTGGAAATGGAAATGAGTGTCTCCTCCAGAGCCGGAGATGAGCACTGCCTCCAGAGCCAGAAATGAAAGGAAAAGCCTTTGCCTGTGTATTTGTATGTAATTGGATTTCATTGTAGCAAGGCATTGAATGTTTCCCTGTGTCTGTTTATATACTGTAATCTACTTGAGTCCTCTCGGAGGGAAGGGTGAAATATAAATAGTGTTGTTGTTGTTGTTGTTGTTGTTGTTGTTGTTGTTATCACAATTCACAAATATAACTGTTACATGAATAGGAAACAACATTTGAATATATTTTTACTCCCTTTTTTCTACAGCTGAAGTTCTTTAAGCAGGTTGCTGTGTATTTCTCTGAGGAAGAATGGGCTCTCCTGGATCCAGGCCAAAGGGCTCTCTACAAAGAAGTCATGCTGGACAACTATGAGAGTGTAGCCTCTCTGGGTAAGAGCGTGTTTTCCCTTATGGAGATTTGCCATTGTATGTTTACCTTGAAGAATAGAAGGCTGAGAGATACATGCCGTGTATATGCTGTGCTCCACCCTGAGTCCCCTTCAGGGTGAGAAGGGCAGAATATAAATGTTTTAAATAAATAAATTAAATAAATTTCTGGTAAGATGCTGAATTGTTGCCCAGAACTCTTACAGGATGTTGTTGTTCTTTTCATTCCATAAATTAGATGGTGATTGGGACAATGAGAAGTATCGGCACCCAGCGCAGAACAGCAAGCATGATGATGGCAAAGACTCTGGAAAGCATTTTAGTGAGAGACTACTTTCCCGGCGTGAAGGGTATAAGAGAGGAGTGAAAAAAGCTAAATGTATCCTGTGTGGAAAGAATGCCCGTGTGACGTCAGAACTTACCATACATGAAGAAATTCATACAGAGGAGAAGCCATATAAATGTGTGGACTGTGAAAAGATCTCTAGTTCAAGCTCAAACGTTACAGCACTTGAAGAGGAAAGGACATATAATAAGGGTGTCGAGTGTGAAAAGGACGTTAGTACAGATGGAGCATCTCACACAGGGAAGAAGATATATAAATGTAAGGTGTGTGAAAAGAACTTAAGCAGTAGCAGATCACTTGCTGTCCATCGGAGAATTCATACAGGGGAGAAATTGTATAAATGCACCGATTGCGACAAGAGCTTTGGTCGGAAGGAGCATCTTACAAAGCATCACAGAACTCATACAGGAGAGAAACCATATGGGTGCACCGAGTGTGGCAAAAGTTTTGGTGATAGTGGATCGCTTACTGTGCATCAAAGAACGCACACAGGGGAGAAACCATATAAGTGCCTGGACTGTGGGAAAAGCTTCTGTCAGAACGGGCACCTCAGGCAGCATCAGCGAACGCACACAGGGGAAAAGCCATACGCCTGCAAGGAGTGCGGCAAGAGCTTCAGTCAGAACGGAGACCTTAGGCAGCACGAAAGAACTCACACAGGAGAGAAGCTGTACAAATGCATGGAGTGTGGGAAAAACTTCAGTGAGAGTCGATCGCTGGCAGTTCATGAACGAATTCACACAGGAGAGAAACCATATCAGTGTACGGAGTGTGGACGGAGCTTCAGCGTCCGTGGATCGCTTACTAAACACCAGAGAACTCACACGGGGGAGAAACCATATAGATGTATGGAGTGTGGAAAGAACTTCACTGATAGCGGATCGCTTGCGGTGCATGAAAGGACTCACACTGGGGAAAAGCCGTATCAATGTACAGAATGTGGCAAGCGCTTTGGTCAGAAAAGGCACCTTAAGAAGCATCAGATAACTCATACTGGAGAAAAACTGTTTAAATGCAAGGACTGTGGGAAGAGCTTCAGTGACAGCGGATCGCTTACAATACATCAGCGACTGCACACAGAGGAGAAGCCGTATAAATGTAAGGAATGCGGAAAGAGCTTTAGCGTCAGCACATATCTTATCGTGCATGAAAGGAGTCACACTGGGGAGAAACCGTACACATGCACAATATGCGGGAAGAGCTTAAGCAGTAGTGGATCGCTTACTGTGCACGAAAGAACCCACACAAGTGAGAAGCCATACAAGTGTATGAAGTGCGGAAAGAACTTCATTCGGAAAGAGCACCTCATGAACCACGAGAGAACTCATACGGGAGAGAAGCCCTTTGAGTGCACAGATTGTGGAAGGAGTTTCAGTGACAGTGGATCACTTACGAAGCATCAAAGGACTCACACAGGGGAGAAACCATACAAATGCACAACTTGTGGAAAGAGCTTCAGTCAAAATGGGCACCTCAGGCAGCACGAAAGAACGCACACAGGGGAGAAACCTTATAAATGCCAGGAGTGTGGGAAAAGTTTCAGCCAGAACGGGGACCTTAGACAACACAAAAGAACACATACGGGAGAGAGGCCGTACAAATGCACAGAGTGTGGGAAAAGTTTTAGCGATAGTAGATCACTAACGGTGCATGAAAGAATTCACACAGGAGAGAAGCCGTATAAATGCACAGAGTGCGGAAAGCGCTTCAATCTGAGTGGATCGCTTACTAAGCACCAAAGAACCCACACGGGGGAGAAACCATATAAATGTATGGAGTGCGGAAAGTGCTTTGGTGATAGTGGGACACTTCTGAAGCATGAACGAATTCACACTGGGGAGAAACCCCACAAATGCCCAGAGTGTGGAAAGTGCTTCAGTAAGAAAGAACACCTTCGACATCATCACCGAACTCATACAGGGGAGAAGCCTTACTCATGTGCGAAGTGTGGCAAGAGCTTTAGCACAAGCTCACACCTTACTGCGCATGAAAGGATTCACAGTGGGGAAAAGCCCTACAAATGCCAGCAGTGTGGCAAGAGCTTCAATCAGAGAGGAAACCTTTGGAAGCATCAAAAAACTCACAAAAAGAAAGAGACTCTGTAAATGCACGGAGTGAGAAAAGCACTTCTGTAATATACTTTATTTATATTCTGCTTTATCTCCCCGACAGGACTCAGGGTGGATTACAGAACACATATATGGCAAACATTCAGTGCTACTATACAGTTAACAAGGACTGATAATACATAAACAGTGAAGGCTTCCCATCTTTCTCCATTTCCGGCATCTGGAGGCTGAGCTTGACTCCGGTCATGGGGGGGTGGGTGTGCTGTCGCTCCATGTTTCATGCCAAGGAACTTTTCTCGTCCGTAGACATTCTCCTGATTGAATCACCAGCATGTCCTTATGGGCACCTTTTATTACCTCTCTGCTTAACGCAGTACCTATTTATCTACTCACATTTCTGTTTTTGATCTGTTTGGTGAGCAGAAGCTGGGACTCATGATGGGCACTCACCCCAACCTGGGCTCGAACTGCCAATCTTCTGATAAGCAGGATTTTCTGCAGCTTAGTAGTTTAACCTGCTATGCTAAACCCGGTCTTCTGTAAGATATGAAAAAAAAAAACCTGGCAAAATTATTCGCCTTGCCCCTAATAGCAGGTATTTATTTATTTATTTATGATATTTCTATTCTGCCTTTCTCAAGCCCGAAGGTGACTCAAGGCAGCTTACAAATTGGCAGCCATCTAATGCCATAACAATCCACAATATACAATTAAAACATTTTAAAAAGCATAAAATCAATATAAAATCAATACAATAGAAAAACTATTTTAAAAACCATTAAACCCATTAAAATAACCAATACACAAAAAAACCATTAAAACATATAATAACCAGGTACTTGATATACATTTGATAACTCAAAATAGGGGGGAAATATAGGAATGCGGGGTAATTTTCAATTCATATTGGGCATTAGTAAGAGAGAGGGGGCAGGTAAATGCATGGAGTTTGGGAAGGACAAAGAAGTCATTGTGTGTTGTCATTGTGTGGGAGCGGAAAATACACAGAGAAGGAGAAGATCATGAATTTGGCTCATGTGGGCTTGTAACTAGTGCTAATTGGATCACTTCATTAATACAGTGTTGAAGGCTATGCATCTGTGGCACAACTCTATTCAAATGTAAAGAATGTTTCTGGGAACTTCCCATGTCAATAATTCTGAGTTTGACCCAAAAGAAGACCTCTTCCACAACGTACCTCCCAAGACTTCAAGATCATCACTCTTTCAGCTTCCAGTACACCAGGGTATTATAACAGAAATGTGTTGGGTTTCAACCTTGGACTGCACAAGTCTTTGTGTCATCAAGTTTCTAGTCCTCAATGAGTAGCTAGCCTAGAAAGAGGGCCAAGCTCAGGGATTCCTTTCCCCACATTCCAATGCATGTTTCCTAAAGGTCGTCTTTACTGGCAACTACTGCTTCCTCACCCACTTCAATGACGTAGTCATGTAAGTTTACATTGCCCCGGAAAGGCCATGCAGCTTCCACCCTTTTTTACTTCCTCTTTTCTTTCTCCCTGCGAGGATACTTTTTGCCTCTTTGTAGGCAAAATGTAGCTGCATGGACTTTTTTTGCCTTCTTTAGAAGATGAGATTTAGCAAGTTAGTTACCTCCAAGACTCCTATCAAGTATGTATTACTTTGTGCTTCAATGAATCTCATGAACCTAAAGACTGAATCTGCAATCCTAAACCATCCTAAAGGTTGAAAGGCTATCCCTTCTTACCACACAGTTTCTGCTGGTTATGGAGTTTACTACTGGTACTCTGCTGTATTTGGTGGCATTGCCCTAATTGAGGGTTATTTTTTAGTCTTAACAGCTCAGATTCCCCAGCAAACTTGTCCCGTCCCCTGTCCCCCCCAGTGATTAGCTGCAAGGGCAGCCTTTTTATGCTAGACAATGGCTTCTTTGTGATGTTTCTAATATGGATTCTTATTTTAGTCTCTTTTCTGACAATATTGGATTCCACTGTAATCAATGTAGACTTTCATGTGTATTTAAAGTTCTTGTACTTGTGCTGTGTTTGATATTTACCGGTAGTTGATTTTTTGTATGTATTTCAGGGTTTTTTTCTTGGTGAAATGTCTTGTAAAGTTGGAGCATAATTCTGAAATCAAACCACTTTTGGTCTCAAGCATTTCAGACATGGGATACTCAACCTGTATGAATGAATGTCGGCAGCACAGAAATATATTACAATTAAAGAAAGAAATCAATAGCATAGATATATGCCTGAATATTTTCTTCCTTTTTAAAATAAAAGATAGCTCTAAACCAGCTGTTCTCAGCCTGGGGTCGGGACACCTGGGGGAGTCATGAGGTGGGTATCAGAGGGGTCGCCAAAGACCACTAGAAAACACAGTATTTTCTGTTGGTCATGGGGGTTCTATGTGCAAAGTTTGGCCCAATTCTATTGTTGGTGGGTGTGCTGTCACACGCTGGGCCTGTGCATATGACTGTAGACAGGACATAAATTCTGTGTGCCCAATGGGACGCCGGGATTAAAGGCCCTTGGACCTTGGGATTAAAGGCCCTTGGACAAAGTTCTGTAGAGGCTTAAAGTAAGTCCAACAAAGTTCTTTATTGATGAAAACAAACAGGTATTTTCAAGCTTTCTTAACAGTCTATAGGCTCTTGCAATCTTGTTCACTGGGAACAGGCACTATCTTCTTAACTCTAATTAACTAATGGAGAAATCCTTAACTTCTAATCTGGGCAGTCTGTACTTGCCTCTGTTGGCGTGGAGCCCCTGCACCCGGTACCAACTGCTTCTGGCTACCACGAGAGACCCTTACCAAGCAGAGCTTTGTAGACTTCCAGGGGAAAAGAAGGAGTTCAGGTTGCTGTGATGGCCGGCTGAAGTCCCTCAGCAAAAGGAGCTGTAAGGCTGTAAAATCCTCAGCCAAGCTGTGGGGCCTTTTCTCCCCGGCCAAGCTGTAGGCTGTATATCTCCCCGGCCAAGCCGTAGAAGACAAAGCTTTCTACAGGAACTCTTGAAATTATGTCCTGCATGGAAGCTTCTCTGTGTGGACTGAACTCAAAAAGGCTCCTATTCCCTCTAAAACTCAAAAGGGGGCGGGACCAGGGAACCTAACAATGATTGACAGGGGGCTTGCCCTATGATTGCAAACTATAACAGGAAGCCACCCTGCTGCAAAATCCCAAGCCTGGGATTGCAAACAAACATTTAATGCAAAGCAAACAGAATTGGAGCTTCTGGTACAGCTGTACCACCACAGTGAGGTTCAGAATGCTCTTTGTTGATGTTGTTTATTTGTTCAGTCACTTCCGACTCTTTGTGACCTCATGGACCAGCCCACGCCAGAGCTCCCTGTCGGCCGTCACCACCCCCAGCTCCTTCAAGGTCAATCCAATCACTTCAAGGATCCCATCCAGCCATCTTGCCCTTGGTCGGCCCCTCTTCCTTTTTCCTTCCATTTTCCCCAGCATCATTGTCTGCTCTAAGCTTTCCTGTCTTCTCATGATGTGGCCAAAGTACTTCATCTTTGCCTCTAATATCCTTCCCTCCAATGAGCAGTCAGACTTTATTTCCTAAAATTTGTTTGTTTATTTATTTAGCAGTTTTGTATACCGGTCTTCTCACCTCCGTTCGAGGGACTCAGGCCGGTTTCCAACATCAATATTACAGACAGTCATTAAAACATCATATTCTAAATCACACTAAAACATTAAAATAGCAAAATACAATCATATAATTACAGTGGTCAGTCGTCATCAAAAATCATTATTCGTTGTCATCCATCCATCTCACAGGATCATGGCTCATTTGTTGAATGCCAATCCCCAAAGCCAAGTTTTCACCCTGTTTCCTGAACGTTAAGATAGAAGGGGCAGTTCTGATCTCCAGTGGAAGGGAGTTCCAGAGTCGAGGGGCCACCACCGAGAAGGCCCTGTCTCTCGTCCCCACCAGCCGTGCCTGTGAGGCCGGTGGGATCGAGAGCAGGGCCCCTCCAGATGATCTTAGCAATCTTGATGGTTATTTATTTATCATGTCATCTGCAACCAGAACATTGTATTACATTTCTAACAGAACAAAACAAACAAACAGATAATAAAAAAACACACAAATTTTGCAAACTTGGTAGCTGATTAAATGTCCTTTGACCAGTATCTGGCCACTTGGAGTGCCTCTGGTGTTGCCGCAAGAAGGTCCTCCATTGTGCATGTGGCAGGGCTCAGGGTGCATCGCAGCAGGTGGTCTGTGGTTTGCTCTTCTCCACACTCGCATGTTGTGGATTCCACTTTGTAGCCCCATTTCTTAAGATTGGCTCTGCATCTCGTGGTGCCAGAGCGCAGTCTGTTCAGCGCCTTCCAAGTCGCCCAGTTTTCAGTGTGCCCAGGGGGGAGTCTCTCATCTGGTATCACCCACGGATTGAGGTGCTGGGTTTGAGCCTGCCACTTTTGGACTCTCGCTTGCTGAGGTGTTCCAGCAAGTGTCTCTGTAGATCTAAGAAAACTATTTCTTGATTTAAGTCGTTGACGTGCTGGCTGATACCCAAACAAGGGATGAGCTGGAGATGTCTCTGCCTTGGTCCTTTCACTATTGGCTGCTACTTCCCAGCGGATGTCAGGTGGTGCAATACCGGCTAAGCAGTGTAATTTCTCCAGTGGTGTAGGGCGCAGACACCCTGTGATAATGCGGCATGTCTCATTAAGAGCCACATCTGTTTTAGTGTGGTGAGATGTGTTCCACACTGGGCATGCATACTCAGCAGCAGAGTAGCACAGCGCAAGGGCAGATGTCTTCACTGTGTCTGGTTGTGATCCCCAGGTTGTGCCAGTCAGCTTTCGTATGATGTTGTTTCTAGCGCCCACTTTTTGTTTGATGTTCAGGCAGTGCTTCTTGTAGGTCAGAGCACGGTCCAGAGTGACTCCCAGGTATTTGGGTGCGCTGCAATGCTCCAGTGGGATTCCTTCCCAGGTGATCTTCAGAGCTCGGGATGCTTCTCTGTTCTTGAGATGAAAGGCACATGTCTGTGTTTTAGATGGATTAGGGATCAGTTGGTTTTCCCTGTAATAGGCAGTTAGAGCACCTAGAGCTTCGGAGAGCTTCTGTTCAACCATCTCAAAGCTCCCTGCTTGAGCGGTAATGGCACGATCATCAGCATAGATGAAACTCTCTGTCTTCTGACAAAGTGGAGTATCTTGCATTTGTCACTGTTGAACTTCATTTTGTTAGTTTTGGCCCATCTCTCTAATCTGTCAAGATCGTTTTGAATCCTGCTCCTGTCCTCTGGAGTGTTGGCTCTCCCTCCCAATTTGGTGTTGTCTGCAAACTTGATGATCATGCCTTCTAGCCCTTCATCTAAGTCATTAATAAAGATGTTGAGCAGGACCGAACCTGTGACCTCTTGGTCTTCAGTCCTGCTGGCACAAGGTTTAACCCACTGCGCCACCAGGGGGCTCCTTATACGCACAGATGCAGGAGTGCAATCTTCAGGCACACAGTCCTCTTAGGGTTAAAGGCACAGAGTTTGCTGGAGAGGCAGGAAGTGTGCAAAGCAGAGAAGACTAAGCCAAACACTCCCATTTGCCTTTGGCTTTTAGGAAGGGAGGAAATGGTCTTTTGGAGAGCGATTGCTGGAGAGGAGAGGAGGTAAGGCAGAAGCAGTGGAGGAAAAGGGAAACCACAGGCATTCCCTCTTGGAAGTAGGGAGGGAAGAGGGAAGGAAGGAATGACAAAAGGGAAGGAAGGAGAAAGAAGGAAGGGACAAAAGGGAAGGAAGGAGGAAAGGGTGGGAGGGAAGAGAGGGAGGGAGGAAAGAGAGAAGGAAAGAAAGACAAAAGGGAAGGAAGCATGAATATTGTGTCCAGTCCTGGGCACCACAATTCAAGGGAGATATTGACAAGCTGGAATGTGTCCAGAGGAGGGCGACTAAAATGATCAAGGGTCTGGAGAACAAGCCCTATGAGGAGCGGCTTAAGGAGCTGGGCATGTTTAGCCTGAAGAAGAGAAGGCTTAAAAAGACAGGATAGCCATGTATAAATATGTGAGAGGAAGCCACAGGGAGGAGGGAGCAAGCTTGTTTTCTGCTTCCCTGGAGACTAGGACACGGAACAATGGCTTCAAACTACAAGAAAGGAGATTCCATCTGAACATGAGAAAGAACTTCCTGACTGTGAGAGCCGTTCAGCAGTGGAACTCTGCCCCGGAGTGTGGTGGAGGCTCCTTCTTTGGAAGCTTTTAAACAGAGGCTGGATGGCCATCTGTCATGGGTGCTTTGATGGCCATCCAGGAAGTACCCATGACACCCATGACAGATGGATGGCCATCTGTCATGGGTGTCATGGGTACTTCCTGAGTGTGAGAGCCGTTCAGCAGTGGAACTCTCTGCCCCGGAGTGTGGTGGAGGCTCCTTTTTTGGAGGCTTTTAAACAGAGGCTGGATGGCCATCTGTCAGGGGTGATTTGAATGCAATATTCCTGCTTCTTGGCAGGGGGTTGGACTGGATGACCCATGAGGTCTCTCCCAATGATTCTATGATTCATGGAAGACAGGGATGGAAGGAAAGGATGGAGGAAGGCAAGAGAGGAGGAAGGAAGGATGAAAGGGCAGAAGGGAATGGATGGAGGGAGAAAGAGGCAGGAGAGGGAAGAAAAAGAAAGAAGGAAAGACAAAAGAGAAGGAATAGAGGAGGGAGGAAAGAGGTAAGGAAGGAATGACAAAAGGGAAGGAAGAAAGGAGAAAGAGAGGGAGGGAGGGAGGAAAGAGGGAAGGAAGGAAGGGTGGAAGGAAATAGAGGGAGGGGAGGAAGGGAGGGAGGAAAGAGAGAAGGAAAGAAAGAAAAGGAAAGGAAGGAGAAAGAGAGGGAAGGAAGGAAGGAGAAAGAGAGAGGCAAGAAAGGAAGGGAGGGAAGGAGGAAGAACAGAGAGAAGGAAGGATAGGATGGTGAGAGAGAGGAGGGCATGAGAAGACAACCCAAGGGGCTGCATCCGGCCCCCGTGCCTGGGTTTGCGCATACCTGGAGTAGATGCACCCTTAGAAATCACTTGTTCCATGTAATCAAGGTACAAAGTGGTTAGTCACCTCCAGATTGGGCTACTGTAATGCACTCTATGTGGGGCTACCCTTGAAAACGGCTCAGAAATTCCAGCTGGTTCAACGAGCGGCGGCCAGGTTGCTAACTGGAGCTCCTTACAGGGAGCGGTCAACCCTCCTATTTAAGGAGCTCCATTGGCTGCCGTTCATTTACCGCTCCCAATTCAAGGTGCAGGTGCTTACCTACAAAGCCCTAAACGGTTTGGGACCCGCATACCTGCGTGACCGCATCTCTGTATACGAACCCACACGATCTCTTCGATCATCTGGAGAGGCCCTGCTCACGCTCCCACCTTCATCACAAGCGCAATTGGTGGGGACGAGGGAGAGGGCCTTTTCGGTGGTGGCCCCTCAACTCTGGAATTCCCTCCCTAGGGACATTAGGCAAGCTCCAACTTTGCCAGTCTTTAGGAGGAGCCTGAAAACGTGGCTGTTTCAGTGTGCCTTCCCAGAATAAGGAAACTCCCAGCAAGATGTCCTTAAATGCACTTTAATAATGACTTTAGATTGTCTGCACAAAACCTTTATACCAATTACATGTTACCTGTCTATGCCCAGCATTATTTTTTAATGTTTTAATTATTACATTTGGCCCAGCCATAGGTTTTTAAATGCGTCGTGTTATTGTTATTGTTTTTTTGCTTATTTTGCTTATGAGTTATGTATTGTTTTTGTATTATTGCTGTTATTGTTTATTGTTGTGTTGTGGGCTCGGCCTGATGTAAGCCGCACTGAGTCCCTCGGGAGATGGTAGCGGGGTACAAATAAAGTTTTTTATTATTATTATTATTATTTTAGGTGCATTGAGAATGAATGTAGTAGGACACCACTTTAGCTGCTGTGGATGCTCTTGTCCTATTACAGTAGTAAAATGATGTACCTGATATAAAATAACAGAAACTATTTGCTTCTTGTGTTTTATTTATTTTAATAGGTGGAATATTTTCAAGCCATGGATAGTTGAATCCAACCTGGAGAAAAGTGAGCTGCTTCTTCTTCTTCTACTACTACTACTACTACTACTACTACTACTACTACTACTAATAATAATAATAATAATAATAATAATAATAATAATAATACAGATCGAACTGCAAAGACTCTGGCACAAGCCAGTAAAGCAGTGACCCCTTAATGCAATTCCATATGTTGACCCCTTAATGCAATCCGTGACCCCTTAATGCAATTCCATATGTTGTGGTGACCCCCAACCATAATATTGTTTTCGTTGCTACTTGATACCTGTCATTTTAATACTGTTATAAATGGTAATGTAAATATCCGATATGCAGGATGTATTTTTATTCACTGGACTAAATTGAGCACAAATACCCAATATGCCCAAATGTGAATGCTAGTGGGGTTGGGGGGCGGGGGGATTGATTTTGTAATTTAGGAGTTGTAGTTGCTGGGATTTATAGTTCACCTATAATCAAAGAGCATTCTGAACTCCACCAGCCATGGATTTAAACCGAACTTGGCACACAGAACTCCCATGACCAACAGAAAACACTGGAATGGTTTGGTGGGCATTTACCTTGATTTTGGGAGTTGTAGTTCACCTATATCCAGAGAAGTGTTGTGGATTCATGCAATGATAGATCTGGACCAAACATGGCACAAATACTCAATATGCCCAAATGTGAACACTGGTGGAGTCTGGAGAAAATAGACCTTGACATTTGGGAGTTGTAGTTGTTGGGATTTATAGTTCACCTACAATCAAAGAGCATTCTGAACTCAACCAACATTAGAATTGGGTCAAACTTCCCACACAGAATCCCAATGACCAACAGAAAATACTATGGTGATTGGCACATGGTGCAGTGCCTAAAGACCTTGGCCTGCTCTTAAAATCAATTGGCACTGACAAAAGTACCATCGGTCGGCTGCAAAAGGCCACCCTACCCAGATCTGCACGCATTATTCGCCAATACATCACACAGTCCTACTAGACCACTTGGGAAGTGTCTGATGTGTGATCAAATACAAAAGCCAGCATAGTGACCTTGTTTGCTGTGCACTAATCTTGTTATGTATCAAATAATAATGCAGTATCCGTGAATATAAACTATTGTAATAGGAACATATGTAGTGTATTGATTAAGGAGTTAGTCTCAATACTGATTGATTGATTCTCGCTTCCCCAAACTTACAAACATACATATGCCATTTAGCTATTTTTCAAAGTGGTTGTTCACTGCTGGAAAATATAGAAAGTCTGATCCTTGCTCTAGTTAATAGGTTGATCATCCTTTATTTGAAATACTGACATATGAAAAACTCAAAAATCCAAAATAAGTCCACCTGGATTTATTTATTTATTTATTTACAGCATTTATATGCCGCCCTTCTCATCCCAAAGGGCACTCAGAGCGGCTTATAATATATATTTTCATACAATATATTATATTATTAGCATAGTACAATATCAGTATTAAATATTACTATATTGTACTATACCATTATATTGTAATAATATTAGTAATATTACATGTAATGTAAATTTATAATTATAATTATAATATTGTATTATTACTGGTATTATAATATATTGTATTACATTATAATATTATAAATATGATATGTATATACAATATACTATTTTATATTATTAGTAAAGACAAGATGGAAGTGTCTTCTGCTCCCCTCTGTCTTCGCTCTGGCCAGAGCAGCCATTGGATGACTTAGATATAATTATACTTTTGCTTTCTGGGACTTAGTGTACACAAACTTTGTTTCAATCACAAACTTATCAAAAAATATTGTATGGAATTACTTCCAGACTATTATTTATGCATGCATTTCCTATTTGATTGAGATGCAAAAAGGTTCACAAGAATAATAAAAAACAATTCAATTTGAAATCCATAACACTCACATATTCCAATTTAAGTAAACATACAAAACACTTAACGCTGTGTGCATACAAAGCATAAATGAATTTGATGTTTGGAGTTGGGTCCCACCTCTAACATCAAGTAAGTAAGTGTAAATACAGGTATTCCAAAATCCAAAACAATTCCCAAATACTTTTGGTCCCAAGGTTTTTGAATAAGGGGTACTCAAACTGTGCTGAATAGAAATAAGATGGTTTGCCTTAGCTGTTCTCAACCTGTGGATCCCCAGGTGTTTTGGCCTACAATTCCCAGAAATCCCAGCCACTTTACTAGTTGTTAGGATTTCTGGGAGTTGAAGGCCAAAACATCTGGGGAACCACAGGTTGAGAACCACTGCATATGGAGCCTATGAACTAAGCATGGAACCTCTGTAGGTCAAACTATGGGGTGTGTGTGTGTGTGCCCATATTATATTTTCTTTCTATCCCCACAGGTTATCTAACAGCTTCAGAGAAAAAATTGAGATTATCTCTTCTGCATAGTCCCATAGAAAGCCCAACCATGTGGACATCCCAGGTGAGTGAGGAATCAGATTTTTTTTTTGTCGTGTCAGAGACTTGAGAAACTGCAAGTCGCTTCTGGTGTGAGAGAATTGACCACCTGCAAGGACTTTGCCCAGGGGACACCTGGATGATTTGATGTTGAGGAATCAGATAAATAAATAAAAAGGTCCACTTGGTTGCATTCTACTACATTGAAGAAGTAGGAATAGGAAAGACAATGATTACAGTGACCAACACACATTTTCATGCCTCAGATGATAGCCCTGTTCCCAGGCATATTTGAATTGCCAATTCCAAAAATGGCGCTGGTTTCTCCCTATCAGCTCTAGTTTTTGAGATACAGAACATACGGCATCTACCAGCTGCTATTTGCTTGCCCATCAAAAAAAAAATGATCACCATATCCATGAAACCATAGCTGATGTGTCCTATACCATTTAATTTTCTGAATAAGTGCCCCAAATAACCCCAGGAACAGGCCCAAAAACAAATAAGGCAAGAAAAAGGGTTTATTTTGTTGGGCTGTGTAATTCGTTGATCTTTTTTTCACTAAAGGGAAAAATACAATATTAAAATAGACAAAAGTTACCGTATATCCTCGAGTATAAACCGGGTTTAAACCCCCACGGCTTATACTTGAGTCAAAGTTTTTTATTATTTTACTCTGTTATTATTATTTTTATTACATTTATTATTATTATTATCATTATTATTATTATTATGTTAACATTATTTTGCTCTATTATTATTTTTATTGCATTTATTATTTTACATTATTGTTATTATTACGTTTATTTACTCTATTATTAATATTTCATTTATTACATCTCTGTCTTTATTATTGTTTTTATTACATTTATTATTTTCACTCTAGCTATTATTACTATTATTACATTTCTTTTTTACTCCATTATTGTTATTACATTAACATTATTTTGCTCTGTTATTATTATTTGTATTGCATTTATTGTTTTACTCTATTTATTATTGTTATTATTGCATTTATTTACTCTATTCTTATTATTTCATTTATTACTTCTCTGTCTTTATTATTGTTATTACATGTATTATTTTTATTCTGCCAATTATTACTATTATTACATTTATTTTTTACTCCATTATTGTTATTACATTTACATTATTTTACTCTCTTATTATTTTTATTGCATTTATTATTTTACTCTATTACTGTTGCTGTTATTACATTTACTCTATTGTTATTTCATTTATTACTTCTCTTTCTTTATTATTGTTTTTATTACATTTATTATTTTTACTCTATTATTATTTTATTGCATTTATTACTTTATTATTATTATTACATTTACATTATGTTACTCTATAATTTCACATATTATTTTACTCTATTATTACTGTTATTATTACATTTCCATTATTTTACTGTAATATTATTTTTATTACATTTATTATTTTACTCTATTATCATTGGAAGGATAGGTAAGCACATTTACATTGAAGAAGGTTAGAATAATGGTTTAATCAGAGTTGGACAGTCTTATCCTAAATTAAAGTTTTATGTAAATACGCAAAAACATTTAACCTACTGATGCCTCAATTAATGTAATGTTATTCGTATCTATTTTTATTTTGAAATGTACCAGTAGCGGCTGCATTTCCCACTGTCAGCTTATACTCGATTCAATACATTTTCCCAGTTTTTTGGAGGTTAAATTAGGTGCCTCAGCTTATATTCGGGTCGGCTTATGCTCAAATATGGGTATATACATTTTTTTAAAAAAAATCTATAAATTCTATAAAACAGTGCATCCTGGTAAAAATAAGGAAACGTCGGTAAACCAATTTGCCCTAGTTTCCAACAGACCTCACAGACCTCTGAGGATGCCTGCCATAGATGTAGGTGAAATGTCAGGAGAGAATGCTTCTGGAACATGGCCATACAGCCTGGAAAACTCACAACAACCCGATGATTCTGGCCATGAAAGCCTTCGACACTACACTGTAAGCTGTTTATTTTGTAATATGAAGTTCTGAACCCAGCTGCGCCCATACCTTGGGAAGTCTGACTTGGCCACAGTGGTCCACGCTTTGGTTACATCCCGGTTAGATTACTGCAACGCTCTCTACGTGGGGCTGCCTCTGAAGACTGCCCGGAAGCTGCAGCTAGTCCAACGCTCGGCAGCCAGATTACTAACGGGTTCTAGGTACAGGGAGCATACAATCCCTCTATTACGCCAGCTCCACTGGCTGCCGATTAGCTTCCGAGCACAATTCAAAGTGCTGGTTTTGACCTACAAAGCCCTAAACGACTCTGGCCCTGTTTACCTGTCCGAATGGATTCTTCCCTATAAGCCATCAAGGTCTTTAAGATTTTCCGGGGGGGGGCTGCTCTCGATCCCACCACAGTCACAATCGTGGTTGGTGGGGACGAGAGACAGGGCCTTCTCGATGGTGGCTCCCCGGCTTTGGAACTCCCTCCCACAGGAGATTAGAATGGCTCCCTCCCTCCTGTCGTTCAGGAAATTAACAAAGACTTGGCTATGGAATGCGGCCTTTGACAACTGAGTCAACTCTGGTCCACATGGAAGGAGAATGATTAACTGTGAATTATAACCATGAATGTTTTTGACAACTTGGCTGTGTAATTGTGATGATGACGATGTTGTATTGTAATATGTTTTTAACGTGTAATGATAATGCATTGTGTGGTTTGTATTTTTATATGAACACATGTTGTGAACCGGATCTGAGTCCCTCCTGGAGGTGAGAAGATCGGTATAGAAAACTTTTAAATAAATAAATAAAATAAAACCCTGCAACAGTGCCATGCAATAAAGAAGCCGAAACCTGCAGAGTATTTCTGAATAGGAATTCGTGTCTTTCTTTCAGCAGCTGCTGTTCTTTGAGGAGGTGGCAGTGTTTTTCAGCCGGGAAGAGTGGGCTCTCCTGGATCCAGGCCAAAGGGCTCTCTACAAAGAAGTCATGTGGGAGAACTATGAGAATGTTGCCTCTCTAGGTAAGGGCTCAGTCAATGCGGAACACTTGAAAAACAAGAATGGTGATTTTTTTTAAAAGGGCATCTTATTTTGGCCTGGTGGGAAATTAATTAGCCATGAATAACAAGCAGTAGGAGACCCACTCCTGATTTAGGGTGCATCTACATCTACATTGTAGATCGGCACGGGGAAACTTTGTCCCTCCAGATATTTTGGACTTCAACTTTCACAGTTTGCCCATGCCTGATCTACACTGTAGAATGAATGCAGCTTGACACCATTTTAATTGCCATGGCTCAATGCTATGGAATCATGGGAATTGTAGTTTTGTAAACCTGTGCCAAATGGTGCTGGTGCCTCACCAATTGTTATTGTTGTTGTTGTGGCTGTTTATATGTGGCACAGCTGGCTGGGAGTCAGCTGCATTAAGATCACTACTGACCGGGTTGGAGTGAGCTTCCAACCAACTTTGTTTAGTTTGCTGTCAACCTTTGCAGCCTGAAAGACAGTTGCATCTGTCAAGTAGGAAATTTAGGTACCGCTTATGCGGGGAGGCAAATTTAACTAATTTATAAGGCCATAAAAATCTCCAGCAAGCATTCAAAGAATGAGGAAGTACTGCATCGGTGTCAGAAATGGTCGGTGAAGGGACAGTTCCCCTGGTGGCCAGAAAACCCTCAAGAAAAGCTGGAATGTTAAATTGCCTCTGTGTCTGTCTATATATGTTATGTGTCTATGGCATTGAATGTTTGCCCTATATATGTACATTGTAATCCACCCTGAGTCCCCTGCGGGGTGAGAAGGGCGGAATATAAACATTGTAAATAAATAAATAGATATACTGCTTTTTTCTTCATTTTGGAAAAATTGCATTCATAACTTTTCTGAAAAGAAAAAAATGTAATATCTTTTTGGCAAATGTGAATCTCCATGAAGCTCTGGAGACCACTTTTTGAAAACCACTAGTCAAGGAAAGCATGACATTGTTAGAAGTCAACCCCTTGCCATTTTTCAACCCCTTGAAAAATGGCATACAGGTAACTCTGCTGTTAAAGTGATGAACCATGTCTTTGAACTGCCAGGGACAAAGACATGCCACTGCACCAAAAACATACATTTAGTTAGAAGAGTTTTAAAATGTTTCTTTGACACTGAAGTTGCAGTTGCCCAATGAAATGACTTATCAGATACATTTGTGATAGCTTACAGGAGTCTCTCGTATGGCCTCCTTTATGTCTCTTTTGTCTCCCACACAGGCAGGGCAATGGCAGAGCCATCCAATTGTGGATCACTTCATGGCGATAGAGTTGATCGAACTGCAAGGTGGTCACCAGAGGTAACAGATTTTTATTTTTTAAAATATATGTTTATTTGGAATACAAAGGGGGGAGGAAGGAAAATATTTTATTTATACATGTAAAGTGGTGGAACAGTAATGTGAATAGAAAGTAGGGGGAAAAGAGAGAGAGAGAAAATTATATATATATATATATATATATATATATATATATATATATGGAAAAAATAAACTGGTGACTTCCATCCAATCCTTCACGGTCTTTAACAAGATATGTATTAAAAATGAAAATCATAGACCTTTGACTGTTTATATGGCTCAACTTTTTGTATGGATATTTATGCTGCACTGAGGGAATGCTGGATTAAGGCATAACAAGCAATGGGTTTCAGTCCCACTCACTCAATGCAGAACCTCCAATCAGATACAGGAGGTTTAACAAGTTATGAGCAAAGACAACACCCCTTCCATCTTTAAAACCATGTGCGATGGCTTTCCTAATTTAATTTAACAATCTCAAAATGCTGATAAAAGACACCTATGTACCCACTATAACAGCGTTTTTCAACCTGGGGGTTGGGGCCCCTGGGGGTGTCATGAGGGGGTGTCAGAAGGGTCGCCAAAGACCATCAGAAAACACAGTATTTTCTGTTGGTCATGGGGGTTCTGTGTGGGAAGTTTGGCGCAATTTTATCATTGGTGGGGTTCAGAATGCTCTTTGATTGTAGTTGAACTATAAATCCCAGCAACTACAACTCCCAAATGTCAAGATCTACTTTCCCCAAATTCCACCAGTGTTCACATTTGGGCATATTGAGTATTTGTGTCAAGTTCGGTCCAGAATCATCGTTTGAGTCCACAGTGCTCTCTGGATGTAAGTGAACTACAACTCCAAAACTCAAGGTGAATGCCCACCAAACGCTTCCAGTATTTTCTGTAGGTCATGGGAGGTCTGTCTATCAAATTTGGTTCAATTCCATCGTTGGTGGAGTATACAATGCTCTTTGATTGTAGGTTTCCCCTTCCCAGGGTGTTTGTGCTCCACTTTGTGCTCATCATGGACCGCAATAAAGTTTTGTTGTTGTTGTTGGATTAAGGACATTATCTAAATTGTTTCTCCCTCCCTCCAGTGGCTCTCATCATTTGAGGAAGTGGCTGTGTATTTCTCCAAAGAAGAATGGGATCTCCTGGATGCCAGCCAAAGATCTCTCTACAATGAAGTCATGTTGGAGAACTTTGGGATTGTAGCTTCTTTGGGTAAGACGCTTTCCTCACTCCTTTGATTTTGCTTTGAAGTTTTCTTTTTTTCCAGCTAAAAAAGTTGGCTTTCCTTTCCTCGCCTTTCCTTACCTTCCTCAAGGGAATAACAACAACAACAACAACATTTTATTTATATTCTGCCCTTCTCACCCCGAAGGGGACTCAGGGCGGATCACTGTACACAAACACGGCAAACATTAAATGCTGCTTTGTATAGACAATACATAGACAGACAGAACAGAAAGGAGGTGTGTTGTTTCGACCTGGTGTCCAGCTGTTTTTGGTGCCATGAAAGGTGAGTCCAGCCACAGGGGGTGCTGTTGCTCTATCCTCTATGACAAAGAGCTATCAGGACTTCCTCCTTCCTTTTGGTCACCCAGCATTTTCTGATCTTCTTTCTTTATGGTGTCGTAAAACACCTTCCCTGCTTTGCGCAGTACCTAATTTCTCTAATTACAGCTAAAACTGTTTTCGACTGCTTAGGTAAACAGTGAGCAGGGCTGACAGTCGGCAGCTCACAATGACCCGGGGCTTCTCTAAATTACAACTCCCAGGATTCTATAGCATTGAGCCATGGGAGTTCAAGTAGTTTCAAGATGCATTAATTCTACAATAGAGACAGCCTTGGAACACCCTCCCCAAAGATATCAAATTAGCACCCACGTTGGCAGGCTTTAGGAAGAGTTTGAAGACCTGGCTGTTCTGATGTGCCTTCCCGGAATAGGAAACTTCAGCACTATGTCCCAGAAGCACTTTCATTAGAGTTTTAAGATCCTCTGCACATTGGACATGCCCTGAAATCCAATATGCCGCCTATCACACCTAGCACTTTTTAATCTGTACTCACTACTTGGCCCGGCCTTGGTTTTACTGTGTTTATGATGTAATGTTTTGTTGATATTGCTTTATGTTTTTGATTTGCTTTGAGTTGTATTGTTTTATGTTGTTGTTATGTTGAGGCCTCGGCCTTTGTAAGCTGCATGGAGTCCTTCGGGAGATGCTAGCGGGGTACAAATAAAGTTTAATAATAATTAATAATAATAATAATATAGGGATAATGGATTCGGGCTTGATCCATTAATACAATTTTATGTCTCAGACTTCTAACTAAATGTCATTTTCTTATTTTTATATTCCAAATCAGGTTACAGTCAAGCTCACAAGAATGCTCAGAAGCCATTTGCAGTATCACTGGAAATGGGCAAATGTGAAAAAAGGAGAGAGTTATGTGGAACTCTAGGAGGAGTAAGGAATCACAACCAAAATTATTATCAGAAAGTAAAGAAGGAATTCTGTGGTCCTCAAGAAGCTTTTATTCCTGAACCGAACACACAAGAAAGTTTGAACGATACTTTTGGGACAATATTTCCAAATAATTCAGTAGTGGAAAGAAATTGGGGAAGCCACCTTGCTGATAAGCAACATGGGTACATGGATCATGAAAGAAACCTGAGTTATAGTAAATTATTCACCGTAAATCAAGAAATTCATGTAGCAGAGAAGCTGTATCATTGCATGGAGTGTGGAAAGAGCTTCAAACAGAGTGGGACACTTACTAGGCACCGAAGAACTCACACAGGAGAGAAACCATATCAGTGCGCCGAATGTGGGAAGCAGTTCAGTACCGGTGGAAAACTGACTGTTCATCGGAGAATTCACACGGGAGAGAAACCGTACCAATGTACGGAGTGCGGAAGGAGTTTCAGGATCAGTGCAAAACTTATTAGACACCAAAGAACTCACACAGGAGAAAAACCATACAGGTGCATGGAGTGCGGAAAGAACTTCAGCGATAGTGAGAGTCTTAGTCTGCATCGAAGAATTCACACAGGGGAGAAGCCTTACACATGTGTGGAGTGTGGAAAGAGCTTCAGTACGAATACGAGACGTGTTAGGCATCAAAGAATCCACACGGGAGAAAAACCATATCAATGCCTGGAGTGTGGGAAGGGTTTCAGGGAGAAAGCAGAACTTACTCATCATCAAAGAATCCACTCACTAGAGAAACTATACGAATGCACAGAGTTTGGAAATACCCCCGGTGGTAGTGGGAAACTGACTTTACGTCTAAGGACCCTCTTGCTGGAGAAACCCTATAAATGTGCAGAGTGTGGAAAGAGCTACACTAATAACAAGAATCTGGTCATCCATTCAAGAACTCACACAGGGGAAAAACCCTACCAATGCCTGGAGTGTGGGAAGAGCTTCAACCAGAAAGGACACCTTACACAGCATCACCGAACTCACACAGGAGAGAAACCCTATCAATGCGTGAAGTGCGGGAAGAGCTTCAGTACGGGTGGATCTCTTATCAAACATGACCGAATTCACACGGGGGAGAAGCCATATCCATGCATGGAATGCGGACGGAGCTTCCGTGATAGCGGGACACTTGCTAGGCATCACCAAACGCACACAGGGGAGAAGCCTTACCAGTGTATGGAGTGTGGGAAGAACTTTGGTCGGAAATGGCTCCTTAGGAAGCATCAGAAGACACACAGAGAAGAAGTCTCATTATTTCATGCAGTATGAAAAGAGAGTTAGTGAAAACTCATGTGTTTGTTCACACAGGGTTTTTTTTTTTTGTCGTGTCAGGAGCAACTTGAGAAACTGCAAGTCGCTTCTGGTGTGAGAGAATTGACCGTCTGCAAGGACGTTGCCCAGGGGACGCCCGGATGAATTGATGTTTTTAGCATCCTTGTGGGAGGATTCTCTCATGTTCCCGCATGAGGAGCTGGAGCTGATAGAGGGAGCTCATCCGCCTCTCCCCGGATTTGAACCTGCGACTTGTCTGTCTTCAGTCCTGCTGGCACAGGGGTTTAACCCACTGTGCCACCGGGGGCTCCCACACAGGGGTGTAACTGTATAAAAGAATAGAGAAAGCTTTCCCTACCTAATAACCCATTGACCTCACAACCTCTGAGGATGCCTGCCATAGATGCAGGCAAAACATCAGGAGAGAATGCTTCTAGAACATGGCCATACAGCCCAAAAAAACCTACAACCCAACCCATTGAACGGTCTTAAAATGGGGAAATGATAATTGCAAAGTTCCTTGACATGAGAGTTCAGTAGATAACACTTGTACAGTCGGCTTTACACATTCACTGGAGTTAGTTAAACAGAACCCCTGGAAGTGGGGAAAAAACAATATACCCGATAGAATATCTCTCTAAGAATTTCTGGCCAACCTCAACTGGAGAATGACCATAGATCTGCACTACAAATACCTAACATGTTATCTCTGGGAGTCTCTTGGTCCTCTACATCAGTGTTTCTCAACCTGGGGGTTGGGACTCCTGGGGGGGGGGGTCGCGAGGGGATTTCAGAGGGGTCACCAAAGACCATCGAAATACATATATTTCTAATAGTCTTAGGAACCCCTTTTGCAGAGAAGGCTGAAGATCTCTCTGTCTGTCCTTCTCTTCCATTTTGGAAACAGCCGACAAATCCTTCCACCAAAAGTCCTCCTCTGCTGTGATTGACCAGCCCCTCAGCTGGTCTCTCAACCAAGAGGAGGGTGTTTCTGAGACTCCAGGCAGGGAGGGAAGAGCACATGGCAGCATGGTGCACATGTGTGGGCGAGGAAGAGCATGTGAAGCGGTAGGGAGGCTCGTGTCAGCAAGTCTCTTCAAGGCATTGGGGTTCTGTATGGAAAATTTGGCCCAATTGGTGGGGTTCAGAATGCTCTTTGATTGTAGGTGAACTATAAATCTCAGCAACTACAACTACCAAATGTCAAGATCTATTTTCCCCAAACTCTATCAGTGTTCACATTTGGGCATATTGAGTATTTGTGCCAAGTTTGGTTCAGATCCACCATTGTTAGAGTCCACAGTGCTCTCTGGATGTAGGTGAACTACAACCCCAAAACTCAAGGTAAGTGCCCACCAAACCCTCCAAGTATTTTCTGTAGGCCATGGGAGTTCCATGAGTCAAGTTTGGTTCAATTCCCTCATTGGTGGAGTTCAGAATGCTCTTTGATTGTAGGTGAACTATAAATCCCAGCAATTACAACTCCCAACTGACAAAATCAACCCAACCCCCCCAAACAACCACCGCTATTCAAATTTGGGTGTCAGGTATTTGTGCCAAATTTGGTCCAATGAATGAAGATACATCCTGCATATAAGATAATTACATTACGATTCATAACAGTAGCAAAATTACAGTTATGAAATAGCGTCAAAATAATTTAATGGTTGGGGTCACCACAATATGAGAAACTGTATTAAGGGGTTGCATTAGGAAAGTTTAGAAACTGATCTAGGAGATTAAGATCTTCTAGAGAGGCTCTGCTCTCAGTCCAACCTCCTTCCCAGGTGCAACTGGTGGGAATGAGAGACGGGGCCTTCTCAGTGGTGGCCCCTCAGCTCTTGAACTCCCTCCCCTGTGAAATTAGATCAACGCCCTCCCTCTTGGCCTTGAGAAAAAAACGTAAAGACATGGCTCTGGAACCAAACCTTTTGGCAGTAAAGTAATGCAGTACAAGAAATGAATAGGACATAAGCGCAATTGACAATAGGAATGGCTTCGGATTATGATTCTGGATTTTGCTATTTTAATGCTATATTAAGATGTTTTAAATTCTATATCTGAGTTTTAAATGTATGTTTATGTTCTATTTTTAATATGATTTTAAGGTTTAATTTATAGTTATATCGTTTTAGTTGCGATGCTTTGGTTTCATATATATGTTGGCATCGAATCTTGCCAGTACTTGTTGTACACCGCTTTGAGTTCCCTCAGGGGTGAGAAAAGTGGTATATAGATGCAGTAAATAATAATAATAAAACAATAATAAAGTGTAGATTCAGCCGACATTACGAGATGAAACCATGGAAATGCGTCAGTTGTGTAAAGTGGTTAAGCTTGTGCATAAATCAGAGGACTCAGAAAGTGAGACTGACTTTGCCCAAATGACTTCTTGTAGCAAAACTGGGAAAAGAAAATTTAGATTTAAAAAAATGGTGATAGGAGTAATGCAGTAGAATAAAAGTAGAAGGGATTGTAACTAGCCATTAAAATTAGAATAGAGAGAGAGCGCATGCATCACAGGATGTATAGAAAATATTTTATTTCTCGGAATAACCCAGACCATTTTGGCAAGGTAACATTTGTGTAGACTTTTTTTAAAACTGAAGGCAATTTGAAAATCCAAGGAAAGTTGTATCCAAAAAGTTTATGTCTAAATACTGATATTTCTCAAAGAAGGAAACAAGGCATTGTACTTTTGAGTCCCATCTGTGGGAGAAAAGCAGGATATAAATAAATAAATAAATAATACTTTTGTTGTTTTGTTTTGTGTTTTGTTGACGTCCTGTACTGTTTCATAGTGCAATTGTTGGGAAATCTGAGGTGTAAGGCTCAAAAATAATCCTTAGTTGGGGTAATTCCACCAAAATTTAGAGTATCAGTATTGTCAAAGGCCTGCCTGGGGATCACAACCATACACAGTGAAGACATCTGCCCTTGTGCTGTGCTACTCTGCTGCTGAGTACGCATGCCCAGTGTGGAACACATCTCACCACACTAAAACAGTGGATGTGGCTCTTAATGAGACATGCTGCATTATCACGGGGTGTCTGCGCCCTACACCACTGGAGAAATTACACTGCTTAGCCGGTATTGCACCACCTGACATCCACTGGGAAGTAGCAGCCAATAGTGAAAGGACCAAGGCAGTGACATCTCCAGCTCATCCCCTGTTTGGGTATCAGCCAGCACGTCAACGACTTAAATCAAGAAATAGTTTTCTAAGATCTACAGAGACACTCGCTGGAACACCTCAGCAAGCGAGAGTCCAAAAGTGGCAGGCTCAAACCCAGAACCTCAATCAATGACTGATACCAAATGAGAGACTCCCCCCTGGGCACACAGAAAACTGGGCGACTTGGAAGGCGCTGAACAGACTGCGCTCTGGCACCACGAGATGCAGAGCCAATCTTAAGAAATGGGGCTACAAAGTGGAATCCATGACATGCGAGTGTGGAGAAGAGCAAACCACACCACCTGCTGCAATGCACCCTGAGCCCTGCCACATGCACAATGGAGGACCTTCTTGCGGCAACACCAGAGGCACTCCAAGTGGCCAGATACTGGTCAAAGGACATTTAATCAACTACCAAACTCGCAAATTTTGTCTGTTTGTTTGTTTTGCTCTGTTAGAAATGTTATACAATTGACTGGTTGCCCTGACACAACAAATAAATAAAATAAATCAGGAGCGAATGCTTCTAGAACATGGCCATACAGTCAAAAAAACCTACAACATACCAGGAGTAAACGCCATCATCAGTAGTAACTTACATGTAGTGAGATAGGATAGGCTTCTATTATTCAGGATGTTGTATGCCAGCACAGGAATATCTCTGTCTTTAAACACCACACCAGTTTAGTAAAATCAGCAAGCAGTTTATTGAAGGATATACGTAAGCAAAGCAATAAAAATGGTAAAAACAGTATAGATCAAAGCAATTTTGTTCCAAGATAAAAGTCCATGAACTTCCAGGTGACAAGATAAAAACACAAGATCCAAGATACAGAATCCAAGATATGGAGCATGAAAATCCAATGAGCAAAACAGAAACTTGGCAAAACTTGTAACACGAAACTAGAAATCCACTTGGAGAAACAAGATTGTCATGAAGTATCAGTGTTGCCGAGACTAAAGTGAAACTTTCCCTGGTTTTTTAAATAAAGCCTTTCCTGGCCCTTGAAACGAAAGGAAAGCATTTCGCTTACTCTTACAACCAGATAAAGATTTCTTATATCTCTTCTCCTGCAGACGAATTGACCTTTATCAAACCTGTGAACTATGCCTCTGTTTACAAAGTTAATCCTCATTAAATTCTGCACCTGACAAATCATCATCAGAGAAGGACTGCTGCAGCCCATTCCCAGGAATTTGACCTTGTGCATTTGCAGGAGAAACACTTCATTTATCAGACACCTCAGGCCTCTCTCTTTGGCTTGACTCAGACACAGCAGAACCCTCATCCCCATTGATATCAGACACAATTGTCAGAATAGCGTTAGCAGCCTGCAGAACGTCTCAGTCCCTTTAACTCTCTGTGTGAGAAATAAAGAAATAAATTTCTAAAAGAAGAAGAAAGAAAAAAAGAAAAGAAAAAAAATCCTAAAATAGAACAAGAGTGGAACAGAAATTTGGTACTTTCTATCTTCGCCTCAAAGAATTAATATCTAAGGTAAAGATAAAAGAGATTTATTTATATAGTGCTAGTCTTGTAAAGTTTGAATTCAATCATTCTGTGTATTTCATATAATAGCTTCTTTTACTATTATTTCCAGATTTTCGTTTTTCAAAAAACATTTCAGAGGTGTCCTGTCTGTTTTCTTTTTGGGATTTGGGGAGTGACATGAGATTTGATATGTTATGGTTTTTGAGTTTTTTAAATACTAGTAGCCAGATTTAGTTCATTTTCATGTAAGAAAATGCAGTAAGAAGACAGACCTTGAAACTGCTAGGCTGTTAAATGCTAACCAAGGTGGCCAATTGAAACATTCATTCCTACTGTGCTGTTGCACGCTGGGCCTGTGCATAAGACTGGAAGACAGGACATAAATTCTGTATGCCCAACGGGACGCCGGGGCTGCCTCAGATTAAAGGCCCTTGGACCTCCCCGAAACATAGTTCTGTAGAGTCAGTCCAACAAAGTTCTTTATTGATGAAAACAAACAGGTACTTTCAAGCTTTCTTAACAGTCTATTGGCTCTTGCAATCTTGTTCACTGGGAACAGGCGCTATCTTCATAACTATATACTAACTAATGGGGAAATCCTTAACTTCTAATCTGGGCAGTCTGTACGTGCCTCTGTTGGCGTGGAGCCCCTGCACCCGGTACCAACTGCGTCTGGCTTCCGCGAGCGACCCTTACCAAGCAGAGCTTTGTAGACTTCCAGGGGAAAAGAAGGAGTTCAGGTTTCAGTGATGGCTGGCTGAAGTCCCTCAGCAAAGGAGTTGCAAGGCTGCAAAATCCTTAGCCAAGCTGTGGGCTGTATCTCCCCAACCAAACTGTAGGGCTGTATAACCCCGGCCAAGCTGTAGGCTGTATATCTCCCTGGCCTAGCCGTAGAAAACGAAGCTTTCTACAGGAGCTCTTCGTTTTATGTCCTGTGCGAAAGGCTTCTCTGTGAGAACTGAACTCAAAAAGGCTCCTATTCCCTCCCAAAACCCAAAAAGGGGCGGGACCAGGGAACCTAACGATAATTGACAGGTGGCTTGCCCTATGATTACAAACTATAACAGAAAGCCACCCTGCTGCAAAATCCCAAGCCTGGGATTGCAAACAAACATTTAATGCAAAGCAAACAGAATTGGAGCTGTACCAGCACACCTACCTCAAACAGACAAAGAGTTCTTTCTTCCACCCAGGCCTTTCCACAGATATATAAACCCCATTTTCCTAGTTTCCAAAAGAACTCACAACCTCTGAGGATGCCTGCTATAGATGCAGGCGAAACGTCAGGAGAGAATGCTTCTGGAACATAGCCATACAGCCCGGAAAACTCACAACAACCCACTGATTCCGGCCATGAAAGCCTTCAACAAGGTTGTTGTGACCCTGAGTGAAAATGAGCCTGACACTCCTGACCGACACTTTTGTCCCAATTGTGAATACATCAGTATCATGAACGCAGTAGGTGAGAAGGTGCAACACAAGACGACACCAAACTATTAAAATTAATTGGTTTACATTTATTGCATCTCTCATTTAAATTCCAAGAGATAAACAAGGAATCAGAACAATACATATGATATCAGAGAAAAAGAAATGCATTGGAGGAAAAAAAATACCATAATTAAATGAAAAGTGCGCTACGTAGAACACGTTGGGCTTTTGGCATCAAGTGCAATTGCCTTCTATATACAAGTCTTTAACGCATATGGCAGCAGTCATGACCGTTGATAAAAATGCTAGGTTTCCCACTAATCTTCCACCAGCCCTCTAGTTAAAGCTTACTACATTTAGAGCTATTTAGTAGTTTGTCCTAAAAGTTGCAAAAAGGAAAAAAAAATGATGGGAAAAGGTAAACAGAAGATTGGACCAAACTGAAGTAAATGAGAGCTCACAAAACTCAGCTTTGCCCAAGAATAATAATAATAAACAAAACTATAAAATAAAGCAGCGAAGTATAATTCACAGCAGGATAATCTTAAATCTGCAAAAAGCTCACTCTGTATATAAAAAAGGCACACACGGCAACTTTGTTCAGGGAGGAGCAGAATCTAACCATAGTAGTAACAGTTTAGTCACATCTATGCAATGTATCTATAGAATCCTTAATTGTAAGACGACTGGAATTTATTATTATTATTATTTATTTATTTCATATATTTATACCCCGCCCTTCTCAACCCCCCCCTCCCCCAAGACTAAGGGAGGCTTCCAGCTGGCAACAATTCGATGCCTCCAATGTACACATAATACATAATAATATATAAAATACATAATAAAATCCAATAATTATATACATTTAAAACATTAAATCACAATTCAATTTAAAATTCAATTTAGAATGCGAATGAATGAAATACCAAAGTTTTGAACTTGTCCTTAATGAAAAATATTAAAGTATCCCAGTCAGGTGGTCCTAGGCAGCGTTTCTCAATCTGGGGGTCAGGACCCCTGGGAGGGGGTTGTGAGGGAGCATCAGAGGGGTTGCCAAGGGCCATCAGAAAGCACAATATTTTCTATTGGTCATGGGGGTTCTGTGTGGGAAGTTTGGCCCAATTCTATCATTGGTGAAGTTCAGAATGCTCTTTGATTGTAGGTGAACTATAAATCCCAGCAAGTACAACTCCCAAATGTCAAGATCTGTTTCCCCCCAAACTCCACCAGAGTTCACATTTGGGCATATTGAGTATTTGTGTCAAGTTTGGTCCAGATCCATCATTGTTTGAGTCCACAGTGCTCTCTGGATGTAGGTGAACTACAACTCCAAAACTCAAGATCAATGTCCACCAAACCCTTCCAGTATTTTCTGTTGGTCATGGGAGTTCTGTGTGGCAAGTTTGGTTCAATTCAATTGGTGGAATTCAGAATGCTCGTTGATTGTATGTTAACTATAAATCCCAGCAACTACAACTCCCAAATGTCAAGTCTATTTTCCCCAAACTCCACCAGTGTTCACATTTGGGCATATTGAGTATTTGTGTCAAGTTTGGTCCAGATCCATCATTGTTTGAGTCCACAGTGCTCTCTGGATGTAGGTGAACTACAACTCCAAAACTCAAGGTCAATGCCCACCAAACCCTTCCAGTATTTTCTGTTGGTCATGGGAGTTCTGTGTGTCAAGTCTGGTTCAATTCCATTATTGGTGGAGTTCAGAATGCTCTTTGATTGTAGGTGAACTATAAATCCCAGCAACTACAACTCCCAAATGTCAAGATCTATTTTCTGCAAACTCCACCAGTGTTCACATTAGGGCATATTGAGTATTTGTGTAGAGTTTGGTCCAGATCCATCATTGTTTGAGTCCACAGTGCTCTCTGGATATAGGTGAACTACAACTCCAAACTCAAGGTCACAAACCCTTCCAGTATTTTCTGTTAGTCATGGGAGTTCTGTGTGACAAGTTTGGTTCAATTACATCATTGGTGGAGTTCAGAATGCTCTTTGATGGTGAACTATAAATCCCAGCAACCTCAACTCCCAAATGACAAAATCAATCCCACCCCCAACCCCACAAGTATTAATAGTCTAGCTTGCTGTTGACCTATGCAGCCCAAAAGACAGTTGCATCTGTCAAGGAGGAAATTTAGGTACTGCTTTATGAGGGGAGGCTTATTTAACTAATTTATGACACCATAAAACCTTCCAGCGGTATGCATAAGAGTGAGCCAGTGCTCCATCAAGGACTCGGTGTCACAGGTGGACGATGAGGCGACAGCTCCCCCTATGGCTGGAGTCGAGCATACACTCATAAAGCCAGAAAGCTGGAATGTTAAATTGTCTCTGTGTCTGTCTATATATGTTGTATGCCTAATGGCATTGAATGTTTGCCATGTATATGCACATTGTAACCCCCCCCCCCCCCCCCCCCCCCCCCCCCCGAGTCCCCAGCAGGGTGAGAAGTGTGGAATATAAATACTGTAAATAATAAGCTATGTAACTAAAGTAGGCGCTGGCCTAGAATTGTGGGCTCTGTTTTAAGATGCTTTAAATTTTTCACCTTGCTTTCTACTGTTTCAAATTGTAAACAAAATATTGTGGGACACTATCCAAGATACAGGGCAGGATACAAATATTTTAATAGATTAAAAATTTAATTAATAAATAAATGTAGGTCAGCAATAGGCCCTGGATCCTTTCATTAACTTCCGATCGAGACATCAGAAAGGTTTGTCATTCAACACGTTCAGGTCTGAACCAGGTTCCTTAATTTTTAAAAACAAATTCGAATTACCAGGGATGATGTCGCTCAAAGATATTTTGCCATTTGCATCAAAACTCCTGGAAAAGAAAAACATGGGTTGTTGTGAGTTTTTCCAGGCTGTATGGCCATGTCCCAGAAGCATTATCTCCTGACATTTCGCCTGCATCTACGGCAGGCATCCTCAGAGGTTGTAAGATCACACAGACCTCACAACCTCTGATGATGCATATCATAGATGCAGGTGAAATGTCAGGAGAGAATGCTTCTGGCACATGGCCATACAGCCCGGAAAACTCACAACAACCCAGTGATTCCAGCCATGAAAGTCTTTGACAACACAAAAACAAACATCTTTGATTCTGAGAATGGAACACAATTTTGCTTTCTGTCACAATGATATGGATTTTGTGCTATTGTTGTTAAAGTGCTGTTTCATTTCCACAAAATCTTAAAATTGGCATAAAAGACTTGATCGAAGAAATCTGTGGCCAAATGTCGTTTAAATGAAACTGTAAAAAACAAACTGCAACTGGAAACCAATGCAATAACATCATTTTCCACTTGCTACAATTGTGAAATGTTAGTTCATTCCACCTAATTGCTAGAAAATTACTTATTCCAATTCATTTCATTACATTACTTCTAATTTGTTGCTTCCAGGCTCTGGTTGGATTGTCCTTGGGAGAGGCAACTCCTTTGTGGCCAACTCCCCGGGGCAGTTATCAGTGTTTACATAGTACTTCACGTGGAACTTCTGGTGTTTCAGGACATGCGACCCATGAGAAAAGCATTTCCCGCACTCTAAACATTTATAGGGTTTCTCCCCCGTGTGGACCCTCTGGTGAGCCAAGACGTTCGATCGGTCCGAAAAGCTCTTCCCGCACTCCGGGCACATGAAAGGTTTCTCACCGGTGTGAACCCTTTGGTGCTTCTTTAAGGATGAAGCATCCGCAAAGCCCTTCCCGCACTCCGAACAACGGAAGGGTTTTTCTCCAGAGTGGACTCGCCGGTGCCTCGCCAGACCCGACTGTTGGGTGAAACATTTCCCACACTCAGAGCACGTGTAGGATTCCTCAGCTGTATGGACCCGGCAATGCTGCACAAGCGCCGAGGGCCGTGAAAACCCTTTGCCACACTCGAGGCATTCGTAGGGCTGCTCTCCGGTGTGGACCATCCAGTGACTGACGAGGGCCGAATGCTGGTCAAAACACTCCCCGCACTCGGAGCATTTGAAGCGGTTCATTCCCGTATGGACTTTCTGGTGAATCACTACGTGATAACGGTCCGTAAAGCCCTTCCCACACTCTAGGCACTTATAAGATGTCTTTCCGGTATGGAATCTCTGGTGCCTAAAGTCAGCCGGGTGGTCGGCAAAGTCTTCCCCGCACTGCAAGCATTTCCGACGCTTCTCTCGGAAGTGGGTCACCTGGTGGGCCAGCAGGTACGCCTCTCGGGCAAATTGCTTCCCACACTCCAAGCACACGTTTCTTGGTTTCTTGGTGCTGTGAACACGGCGGTGCTTCACCAGAGCTGAGGGCCGGAGGAAACCTTTCCCGCACTCCTGGCATTCATATGGCTTCTCCCCCGTGTGGACACGCCAGTGTCTGATGAAGAGGGAATGCCGCTTAAAGCTTTCTCCGCACTCCAGGCACTTGTAGCTTCTTTGTCCCTTGAGGGTTTTTGGTGGCATCTTCAGGTTTGGCTGTTGAACAGAAGGCTTTCTCTTCGGAAAGGGTTTCTCTTCAGAAAGGAATCTCCGGGGAACGACATAACTTTCACCCCATGGGGGTCTCCAAGCTTTCCCCAAAGAGTCACCTGATGGAACAAAGGGAAATATATACAATCAGCCCTCCACATTCACCGAGGTTAGAGGCAGGAACCCTATAGAAGCGAAATTTTGCAAATAAAGCAAATCTATTGTTTAACCTAGTCCTTTGGTATGACTCTATAATCCATTTCTGCCCAAAGTGGAGTACAGAATCACAGGTATGTACATTTCAATTTTTGCTTTGGATTGTAGATCATACAGTCCAGCACTCCACATCTGCTGGAATTAAAGGAACGGGACCTCCTTGAAAATACACTACCACAAATAAAGAAAATGCTACCTTTTTATCGGAGAGAATAATAACAAGAACAGCAACTACTACTACTACTACCACTACTACTACTACTTTATCTATATAAATCAGGGGTCTTCAAACTTTTTAAACAGAGGGCCAGGTCATAGTCCCCAAAATTGTTGGAGGGCCGGATTATAATTTGAAAAAAACATGGATGAATTCCTATGCACACTGCACATATCTTATTTGTAGTGAAAAAAACACTTAAAAACAATACGATAATTAAAATGAAGAACAATTTTAACCAATATAAACTTAATAGTATTTCAGTGGGAAGTGTGGGCCTGCTTTTGGCTGATGAGATAGGATTGTTGTTGTTGTTGTTGTGTGGTTTCGAGTAGTTTCAAACTTAGGTTGACCCAGAGCAAGGGCCGGGTACATGACCTTGGGGGGCTGCATCCGGCCTCCGGGCCTTAGTTTGAGGACCCCTGATATAAATAAAAATGTAATGTTTGTCTGTGGGATTAACATAACTCAAAAACCACTGGACGAATTGACACCAAATTTGGACACAATACACATCTCAGGTCAACAAGTGACCATCATTCATAAAATAACTGAAAACACAGCGGAAGAGACTTAAAAAAACAAACAAACAAGAAATACATTACAACACATGTGCAAAACCATATGTATAATCATCATCATCATCATCATCATCATCATCATCATCATCATCATCATCATCTTTATTTATACCCTGCTACCATCTCCCCAACGGGGACTCGGGGTGGCTTACATGAGGCCAAGCCCAGACATCATATTACAGCAAAATAAAACCAAAACAGAAGCAACAACATAATTACATAAAAACATATGAATACATTAACAATATAACATTACAATAAACACAATCATAGTGACAGTGGGCGGGCCACATGTGCAGGATAAAATGTTTAAAAACAAACACACATATACACAAATATATACACAAACATATACACACACACAACACATATACACAGACTGGGCCACAGCAATGCATAGCAGGGGACGGCTAGTAATCCATATAAATAAAAATGTAATGTTCGTTTGTGGGATTAACATAACTCAAAAACCACTGGATGAATGGACACCAAATTTGGACACAATACATGTATCAGGCCAACAAGTGAACATCACTCATAAAAACACTGAAAAACACAGCAGAAGAGACTTTAAAAGCCAAAAAAACAAAAAGTACATTACAATGCATGCGCAAAACCATATATATGTGTACACACACTCACACACATATATATACATACACACACATACATACAGACATATACATACACAAAATACATATACACAGACTGGGCCACAGCAATGCGTGGCAGGGGACAGCTAATCTAAGCTAGCTACCAATACAAATGGCAATGGGTCCATTGGCTAACATTTTATCAAGAGTTTCTCACCTGAGTCTCTACCAAAGGTCTCTGCACCAACTTTCATCTGAGAATCGGGTATCCACAGTTCTTCTCCTTGTTCCATCTGAGAGATGAGTTCAGGCTTTGGACCTGAAAATCCTGTATGTGAGTTGTCATGGAAATGTAAGACATAATTGGTAAGAGTGCCCTAAATCGGTATAAAGGTAAAGGTTTCCCCTTTGTCATTAAGTCTAGTTGTGTCTGCCTCTGGGGAGTGGTGCTCCTCTCCACTTCTAAGCCAAAGAACCGGTGTTGTCCATAGACACCTCCAAGGTCATGTGGATGGCATGACTGCATGGAGCGCCATTACTTTCCCGCATAAATGGTAACTACTGATTTACTCACATTCACATGTTTTCGAACTGCTAGGTTGGCAGAAGCTGGGGCTATCAGCAGGAGCTCACCCCGTTCCCTGGATTCGAACTACCGGCCTTTCGATTAGGAAGTTCAGCAGCTCAGAGATTTCACCTGCTGCGCCACCGGGGGTTCCAGATCAATATATGTGAACTAAATTCTGGAGACTATCCTAATTTGCCAGAAACATATTAGGATAGTAGTTCACAATCTTTGGTCCTCCAGGTGTTTTTTTGAACTTCAACTCCCAGAAATCCCAGTAGTTTGCAGTGTTAGGAATTTAGGGAGCTGAAGTCGAAAATGTCTGGAAGTCCAAAGTTTGAGAACCACTGTATTAGGGATTCCTAAATCCAAAGAGAGAGCAAGATTGTGTGATATATAGTGGAATTAGGACACTGTGAAATCAGGATCCAAATCCCCACTCGGATAGAGAAACCCATCTGGAGAAACCACACTCCTTCAGTCTTAAAGGAAGGCAAAAAGGGAGAAAACACTAGGATAGGTTCACACTTAAGATCACCATGCTTCACATTGCAACAACTAAAGAGGGAAAAAGAAGTACACAGCAGTGGAGAAGCATGACGCCTCATTCACAATGGCTGTTGTGATGTTGGGAGACTGACCGGAAAAGATCTTATTGTAGTTTAGTCCAGGGCTTCTTACACTTTTTCCAATTGTGGTCTCTTTCCATCTAAATATTGTTTCTGTTCCTAGTTTGAAAGTGTTATTTCCTGTTTAATTGTGGCGTCCTTACTTTGAATATAATTATTATCCTCCGGAAACTTCATTTTTGTGCCTGCCGCAAACTATGTTGAATTGGTTGAGACTCTGTGAGATACTCATCGAAAAGCTATAACAAAATGTGCTGCAGGATATAAAAACTTTGTTTACGGTTTAATAAACTTTTTTCCGTGTTTTTATTTATTTATATATATATATATTGGCGACATTTATAGCCCACCTTTCTCAACCGCAGGGCGACACAAAGTGGGTTACAGATTGGCACAAGTCCAGAGGAGGGCGACTAAAATGATCAAGGGTCTAGAGAACAAGCCCTGAGGAGCGGCTTAAGTTGGGCATATTTAGCCTGAAGAAGAGAAGGCTGAGAGGAGACATGATAGCCATGTATAAATATGTGAGAGGAAGCCACAGGGAGGAGGGAGCAAGCTTGTTTTCTGCTTACCTGGAGACTAGGACGCGGAACAATGGCTTCAAACTACAAGGAAGGAGATTCCACCTGAACATGAGGAAGAACTTCCTGACTGTCAGAGCCGTTCAGCAGTGGAACTCTCTGCCCCGGAGTGTGGTGGAGGCTCCTTCTTTGGAAGCTTTTAAATAGAGGCTGGATGGCCATCTGTAAGGGGTGATTTGAATGCAATATTCCTGCTTCTTGGCAGAGGGTTGGACTGGATGGTCCATGAGGTCTCTTCCAACTCGTTGATTCTATGATTCTATGTTCAAAGCACCCCCAATAGATGGCCTCATGTAAGCCACCCCGAGTCCCCATTGGGGAGGTGGTGGTGGGGTATAAATAAAGATGATGATTATGATTATTATTACTATTGATCATTTTAGTTGCCCTCCTCTGGACACATTCCAGCTTGTCAATACCTCTCTTCAATTGTGGTGCCCAGAATTGGACACAGTATTCCAGGTGTGGTGTGGTGTGGTGTAATCAAGGCAGAATAGAGCATGGGTAGCATGACTTCCCTGGACCTGGATACTAGACTCCTATTGATGCAGGCCAAAATCCCATTGGCTTTTTTTTGCCACCGCATCACATTGTTGGCTCATGTTTAACTTGTTGTCCACAAGCCATGTGTCCCCCATTCTGCATCTTTGCATTTCATTTTTTTCTGCCTAAGTGGGGTATCTTGCATTTGTCACTGTTGAACTTCATTTTGTTGTTTTTAGCCAATCATCTCTCTAATCTGTTCAGATCGTTTTGAATCTTGCTCCTGTCCTCTGGAGTATTGGCTATCCCTCCCAATTTGGTGTTGTCTGCAAACTTAATGATCATGCCTTCTAACCCTTCACTGAACAGAACTGGGCCCAGGGCGGAACCCTGTTTGCGGCACTCTGCTCGTCACTTCTTTCCAAGATGAAGAGGAAGCCTTGGGGAGAATCACCCTCTGGGTTCGTCTGCTTAACCAATTACAGATCCAGCTAACAGTAGTTTTGCCTAGTCCACATTGGACTAGTTTCCTTGCCAGAAGGTCATGGGGGGACCTTGTCAAAGGCCTTCATGAAATCTAGGTACGCTACATCCACGGCATTCCCTGCATCTACCCAGCTTGTAACTCTATCAAATCTGGATTACTGCAAAGCTCTCCTGCAAAGTGAGATGAGGAGGTTCCTTACCCAAGGAGGCCACGTTCCCATAATTCTCCATCATGACTTCCAGGTATAAGGCTTTTTGACTTGATTTCAGCAGAGCTCCCTCGCTGGTTGTGAAATAAACAGCCACATCTTCAAAAGTCACCAGGCTCTGGGAGAAAGTAGAAGGCTCCATGAGATCTGTTCCTCCAGAAAGCTTATTCAGACACAGCTTTTTTTTCTCTCTCTCTCCAAAGTATAGCAACAAAAACAGACAATGAAATAAAGATAATACAATGTAAAATTGAACAGGAAAAATCAAGACCTATATCATTCCCATTTGAATGTGGGGAGAGCATGGATGAGCTCCCTCTGTCAGTTCCAGCTCCCCATGCGGGGACATGAGAGAAGCCTCACACAAGGACGGTAAAACATCCGGGCATCCTCTGGGCAACGTCCTTGCAGACGGCCAATTCTCTCACACCAGAAGCGACTGGCAGTTTCTCAAGTCGCTCCTGACACAGGAAAAAAAAATCTGGGGGATGCATCCAAAAAAAAATCCCACTCTATTGTGAAAATATAGTCCCCGTGTGTTTTTTGCTTAGCCAGAAGAAAAAGTTTCAAAATAGCTGTTTCCAATGAGTTCCTACCTGCCCTGGCTTCAGTGCAACCTTGGCCATTTCTCGGGAGGATGGAGGCAATCCAGATTTCAATGCAGTCATCATTCTGTTCCTTGTGGGAGTCAATGAAGGGACAGTCGAAATGGTGAATGGGGAAAACACCCCTTTTAGATATCAGCAACAAATAGAATGAGAAAAATCAAATAATACAGCATGGCTTCTTTATCCAGAGATTCAATATCCACAGTTTCTTCTATCCATGCCCTGGCTTCTCCAAAGCCCCACTTATACTACCATATAATGCAGTTTCAAAATGCAGATCAATTGCACTGATCTGGACTCCATGGCAGTGTAGACTCGCAATCCAGATCCATGCAGTCCAATCTGCATTGTATGAGTCTACACTGCCATATAATCCAGCTCAATGCAAAAACTGGATGGCCATCTATTGTAAGGGTTTGGATTGTGTATTTGGGCTTGTACAAACTGCCTTATATGGCAGTGTATTTGCGGCCTTGGTCTCGTAATGCAAACATATGATAAAAAATACACAGGGGTTTTTAAGCAATGGATGGATGGTCATCTGTCAAGAGGGGTTTTATTGTGTCTTCCTGCCTGGCAGCATGGGGTTGTATAAACTGCATTATATCACAGTGTAAATGAGGCCTTTGGTCTTACAATGAAAGCATATGGTCAAAATGTAGCATTTGCTATTATCTGACATTATAGGGATCCACAAGGGGAGTTTGTTTTCTGCTGCTCCAGAAACTATGACACGGATCCACAGATTCAAATGCCAGGAAAAGAGATTCCATCTAAACACTTGGAAGAAAGTCCTAGTGATGAGTGCTGTCTGGCTGTGGAATATGCTGCTTGGGAACGTGGTGGGGCCTCCTTCTCTGAGGTTTTTTGGACACAGGCTGGATGGCCATCTGTCAGGAGTGATTGTCTGTTTCTGATTGGTGGAATGGGGTTGGACTGGATGGCATTTGGGGGTCTTTCCCCACTCTTAGGACCCTATGTGTATTCCAGCATGGCATGATACCTCCCCCCTGCTGTGTCAGCTCCACTGGCAGCCGGTCTACTTCCAAGCACAATTCAAAGTGCTGGTCTTGGCCTATAAAACCCTATACGGCTCCGGCCCAGCTTACTTATCTGAACGTATCTCTCTCTACGTTCCACCTCGTAATTTAAGATCTACTGGGGAGGCCCTGCTCTCGGTCTCACCAGCGTTTCAAACGCGTCTGCTGGGGATGAGGGACAGGGCCTTCTTGGTGGTGACCCCCTGCTTATGAAATTTGCTCCACAGTGAGATTAGATCGGCGTCCTCCCTCCTTACTTTTAGGAAAAAACTAAAGACGTGGTTTTGGAGCCAGGCCTTTGGCTAGTGGGCACAGCAGCACTTTAGGCACTGAACTCGGACAATAGGATTGCTTGAAAATTGGAAATGGCTTTATGACCTGTGATTATGTGATTTGTTCTATGTGATTATGTAATTTTAATTAATATCACTGTTTAATTGTTATGTAATGGATTTTATATTGTTGTTTTGATACTGTTGGCATTGAATTGTTGCCTGTGTTAGCCGCCCTGAGTCCCCACTCGGGGGTGAGAAGGGCGGGGTAGAAATGTTCTAAATAAATAAATAATAATAAGAAGGAGTTAGACTGAATGGCCCTTCTATAGTTATTATATTATATTATATTGTTATTAGATCTACAGAGACACTCGCTGGAACACCTCAGCAAGCGAGAGTCCAAAAGTGGCAGGCTCAAACCCAGCACCTCAATCCGTGGGTGATACCAGAATGAGAGACTCCCCCCTGGGCACACAGAAGACGGGGCAACTTGGAAGGCGCTGAACAGACTGCGCTCTGGCACCACGAGATGCAGAGCCAACTTCAGAAATGGGGCTACAAAGTGGAATCCACGACATGCGAGTGTGGAGAAGAGCAAACCACTGACCACCTGCTGCAATGCAACCTGAGCCCTGCCACATGCACAATGGAGGACCTTCTTGCGGCAACACCAGAGGCACTCCAAGTGGCCAGATACTGGTCAAAGGACATTTAATCAGCTACCAAGTTTGCAAAATTTATGTGTGTGTTTTTTATCTGTTTGTTTGTTTTGTTCTGTTAGAAATGTAATACAATGTTCTGGTTGCGGATGACACGATAAATAAATAAATGGAGTCCTGGCTTCATCTCCCAAATCCTTTTACTGGCCCTTGAACCAGCAAGTCACCTCTTTAACAGATACAGTTGGCTCTCCATAACCACAGATCTAGCATCCATAGTCTGAATACACATACACACACACGCATCCATAAAAGCAAATCTTGATGTCATCATTTTATTTATGAGATATCATTTTACTATGCCATTGTCCACTGCAGTGTTTCTCAACCTAATGCTGTGATCCCTTAAAACTGTTCCTCATGTTGTGGTGACCCCCAACCATAACATTATTTTTGTTGCTACTTCATAACTATAATTTTGCTCTGTTATGAATCGTAATGTAAATATCTGATATGCAGGATGTATTTTCATTCACTGGACCAAAATTGGCACAAATACCCAATACGCCCAAATTTGAATACTGGTGGGCTTAGGGGGTGGGATTGATTTTGTCATTTGGTAGTTGTAGTTGCCGGGATTTATAGTTCGCCTACAATCAAAGAGAATTCTAAACTCCATCAATGATGGAATTGAACCAAACTTGGCACACAGAAATCCCATAACAAACAGAAAATACTGGAGGTCGTGGGCATAGACTTTGAGTTTTGGAGTTGTAGTTCACCTACATCCAGAGAGCACTGTGGCCTCAAACAATGATGAATCTGGACCAAACTTGGCACAAATAATAATATGCCCAAATGTGAACACTGGTGGAGTTTGGGGAAAATAGATTTGTCATTTGGGAGTTGTAGTTGCTGGGATTTATAGTTCAACTACAATCAAGGAGCATTCTGAACTCCACCAACGATGGAATTGAACCAAACTTGGCACACAGAACTCCCATGACCAACAGAAAATACTGGAAGGGTTTGGTGGGCATTGACCTTGAGTTTTGGAGTTGTAGTTCACCTACATCCAGAGAGCACTGTGGACTCAAACAATGATGGATCTGGACCAAACTTGGCACAAATATTCAATATGCGCAAATGTGGACACTGGTGGAGTTTGGGGAAAATAGAATGCTGACATTTGGGAGTTGTAGTTGCTGGGATTTATAGATCACCTATAATCAAGGAGCATTCTGAACTCCACCAATGATGGAATTGAACCAAACTTGGCACACAGAACTCCCATAACCAGCAGAAAATACTGGGAGGATTTAGTGGGCATTGACTTTGAGTTTTGGAGTTGTAGTTCACCTACATCCAGAGTGCACTGTGGACTCAAACAATGATAGATCTGGACTTAACTTGGCACAAATCCTCAGTATACCAAAATGTGAACACTGGTGGAGTTTGGGGAAAATAGACCTTGACATTTGGGAGTTGTAGTTGCTGGGATTTATAGTTCACCTACAATCAAAGAGCATTCGGAACTCCACCGATAAGAATTGGACCAAACTTCCCACACAGAACCCCCATGACCAACAGAAAATATGTCCTTGGCAATTCCTCAGACACTCCCTTGTAACCCCCCAGCGGTCCCGACCCCCAGGTTGGGAATCATAGAATCATAGAGTTGGAAGAGACCTCATGGGCCATCCAGTCCAAGAAGCAGGAAATTGCATTCAAAGCACCCCCGACAGATGGCCATCCAGCTTCTGTTTAAAAGCTTCCAAAGAAGGAGCCTCCACCACATTCTGGGGCAGAGAGTTCCACTGCTGAACGGCTCTCACAGTCAGGAAGTTCTCCCTAATGTTCAGATGGAATCTCCTTTCTTGTAGTTTGAAGCCATTGTTTCATGTCCTAGTCTCCAGGGCAGCAGAAATCAAGCTTTCACCCTCCTCCCTATGACTTTACCTCACATATTTATACATGGCTATCATGTCTACTCTCAGCCTTCTCTTCTTCAGGTTAAACATGCCCAGCTCTTTAAGCCGCTCCTCATAGGGCTTGTTCTCCAGACCCGTATCATTTTAGTTGTCCTCCTCTGGACACATTCTAGCTTGTCAATATCTCTTCAATTGTGCAGAATTGGACACAATATTCCAGGTGTGGTCTAACCAAGGCGGAATAGAGGGGTAGCATGACTTCCCTGGATCTAGACACTATTCTCCTATTGATGCAGGCCAAAATCCCACTGGCACGCTGTCTTCGTATCATAGTTGGAAGCGACCCCAAGGGCCATCCAACCTCAGGTTAGGTAAAGGTTGTCCTCTGACATTAAGTCCAGTCATGTCTGACTCTGGGGTGTGGTGCTCATCTCCATTTCTAAGCCGAAGAGCCAGCGTTGTCCATAGACACCTCCAAGGTCATGTGGCCAGCATGACTGCATGGAGCGTACATGACCGCATGGAGCGTACATGGGCGAGGTACAGCCTCACCCAACTGCAATTCCCTGAAGGTTATAGCATTGAGCCTTGCCAGTTAAGAGGTAAATCTACCACTTAAACAGCTGTGCCTCAATGCTATGACATCTTGGGACTTGTAGTGTGGTGGGGTACCAGCGCCCTGTTGCACAGACCTTGCATAATTAGAACTCTCATAACAATTAGCAATCGATCCATGGCATTTCAAGGGATGTCAAACTTGCATTCATTCGGAAGCCAAATGCACCCAAAGCGGGGTCAAACTGCACCAGTTTGATGCAGCCACAGTTCTTTAATCCTCAAAAGTAACTTTTCCTTGTTATATAAACCCATCCATTTCCTTGTTACCTCGCCTGGTGTAAATCATCTGCCAGGCAGATTTGGGGCGTCTTGAAAAAAACCCCACAGAATCTCCATATATATATATATATATATATATATATATATATATATATATATATATATATATATGGATACAGTAGACTCTCAGTTAACCAGAAACTCTCAAGTAACAGCAGGAATAAAAAAAATAATTGAAGAAATACTTTAAAAATCAATTAGCAGAAATAATAGATTAAGCTTGGCTAAACACACTTATGATAAGATAGTTCCTAATGCTGAAAAAACTGCAAAGTTTTTTTGGAATGGGTTGCTGTAAGTTTTTCGGGCTGTATGACCATGTTCCATATTTTGGCGTGGTTTAGTTTTGGTTTTTGGTATAATACAGTAGGCTTGGGCAATCCATGGTTCTAAATGGTTCTAAAGTACTTACAAAACTAAAGTTCTGGTGGTGAAAATTTCAGAACTCTAACAAAACTTTCAAAATTTAATTATTATTTCATTATTGGTGATTTTAATGACAGAACCAATTAGGAACTGCCATTTATTATGAAATTTTGAGAGGTTTTTTTAGAGTTCTGAAATTTTCACCACTAGAACTTTAGTTTTGTAAGTACTTTAGAACCATTTAGAACCATGGATTGCCCAAGCCTATAATATGGTGTTATGTTAAGTTTGCCTTTGTTTTGCCTTTTTATAAAATTGCTGTACTTCATTATCAAGTTAATGCAGAGTTGGTGGTATGCTAGAGTATTAGTTAATTAGGCCTGCTTTTAGTACTCACTCCCAAGCAACTAGACAACACACATATCCAATTCCCCATGGGTGCCGGTTAACTGAGAGTCTACTGTATGCATGTATCTATGTGTATGTACATGCACGTACGTAAAGGAATCTGTCACATGGAAAGGTAGAGAGAGGAAGAGAGAGTAGACCAGACTCTCAGTTATCCGGCACCCCTCCCAAAGCCCAAGGACCCAAGCAATGCCAAAGTCCCCCCATGTAAGAGGCTCCCCATTATCTAAGCAAGCAAGCAAGCCCTTCTCACCTGCCTTCTTGGGGCTGCCAAACTTTCCCCAGGCTTTTTCCTCTCCTTCCAGGCCCACCCTCCCCTCCTGCCTCCCGCCCTCCAGAGGAGCCCTGGGATTTGTAGTCCTCCTTTTCCTCCCACCGCCTGCTCAAAAGTCACAACAGAGAGGCTGCAGGGAAATGCAGTCCAGCCATTGTTCTGCTGCTTGGCCTCCTCCTCCTCCTCCTCCTCCTCTGTCTCCATTGGACAGGCAAGAAGGCCCGCCCAGTTCTCTTGCTCTGCAGCCTGGAGGGCAGAGTCAGAGCCAGAGAAGCCTAGAGCTGGGAGGGAGCCCTAGAGGCCATCCAGTCCAGCCCCATTCTGCCAGGCAAGGTGGAGTGTTCTTCTTGTTAGCCTAGGATGGTGCATTATTATAATGTCTTGATAACTGCATTATGATTATTAGTATTATTATTGCAGGATTGTTGCTGATGTTGCATTATTATATTACAATAGTTCTGCATTATTATTATTATTATTAATGATTGTTACTATTGTATTATCACTGTTCTTGCATTATTATATTACCACTCTGTTGCATTATTATTATTATTATTATTATTAGTCGTGTCAGGAGCAACTTGAGAAACTGCAAGTAGCTTCTGGTGTGAGAGAATTGGCCGTCTGCAAGGACGTTGCCCAGGGGACGCCCGGATGATTTGATGTTTTTATCATCCTTGTGGGAAGCTTCTCTCATGTCCCTGCATGAGTCATGCATTATTATTATTATTATTATTATTAGCCTAGAATAGTATATAATTATTATTATTGCATTATTCAAACTACAAGAAAGGAGATTCTATCTGAACATTAGGAAGAACTTCCTGACTGTGAGAACTGTTCAGCAGTGGAACTCTCTGTGGTGGAGGCTCCTTCTTTGGAGGCTTTTAAACAGAGGCTGGATGGCCATCTGTCAGGGGTGATTTGAATGCAACATTCCTGCTTCTTGGCAGGGGGTTGAACTGGATGGCCCATGAGGTCTCTTCCAACTCTATGATTCTATGATTCTATATTACTATGATTATGCATTATTATTATTATTTTATTATTATTAGCAGCAGCCTAGAAGGGTGCATAATTATTATTATTGCATTATTATCATTTATTTATTATTACTATTGCATTAGGACTGCTGTTCTTGCATCATCATTGTTATATTACTATGCTGCTGTATTATTATTATTATTGTATTATTATTAGCAGCAGCAGCCTAGAAGGGTGTATAATTATTATTGCATTATTATCATCTATAATTATTATTAGCAATTTATTATTATTGTTGCATTATCACTGCTGTTCTTGCATTATTATTACATTACCATGCCGCTGAATTATTATTATTGCATCATTATTATTAGTATTAGCAGCTTAGAATGCTGTATAATTGTTATTATTATTGCATTATTATTATCAATTTATTATTACTATTGCATTATGACTGCTGCTTATGTATCATCATTATTATTATATTACTATACTAGCCATCCCTTGCTACACATTGCTTTGGCCCCATCTGTGTATATGTGTTTTGTGTGTGCATATATATTTGTATATATGTGTATTTATGTGGTTATGCGCATGCGGTGTAATGTATTTTTTATTTTCTGGCTTTTTCTCCTCCAGCTCTGGCTCCATTGGACAGGCAGGAAGGCCCGCCCAGTTCTCTTGCTCTGTAGCCTGGAGGACAGAGTCAGAGCCAGAGAAGCTTGGAGCTGGGAGGGAGCCCTAGAAGCCATCCAGTCCAGCCCCAATCTGCCAGGCAGGGTGGAGTGTTCTTCTTGTTAGCCTAGGATGGTGCATTATTATAATGGCATAATAACTGCATTATGATTATTAGTATTATTATTGCAGGATTGTTGCTAATGTTGCATTATTATATTACAATAGTTCTGCATTATTATTATTATTATTATTATTGATTGTTACTATTATATTATCACTGTTCTTGCATTATTATATTACCATCCTGTTGCATTATTATTATTATTATTATTAGCATAGAATAGTGTATAATTATTATTATTGCATTATTATTCCGATTTGTTATTACTATAGCATTATTATATTATATTACTATGCCGATGCATTGTTATTATTTTGCATTATTATTATTAGCAGTACCCTAGAATGGCGTATAGTTGTTATCACTGCATTGTTATTGTCAATTTATTATTACTATTGCATTAGGACTCCTGGTCTTGCATCATCATCATCATCATCATGATCATCATCATATTACTATGATTATGCATTAGTATTATTTTTGTATTATTATTAGCAGCAGCCTAGAGGGGTGTATATTTGTTATTATTGCATTATTGTCATCTATTTATTATTACTATTGCATTGGGACTGCTGGTTTTGCATCATCATCATCATCATTATACTATGGTGATGCATTATTATTTTATTATTGTATTATTATTATTAGCAGCAGCCCAGAAGGGTGTATAATTATTATTATTATTATTGCATTATTATCATCTATTATTACTGTTGCATTAGGACTACTGTTCTTGCATGGTCATTATTATATTACTATGCTGCTGCATTGTTGTTATTATTATTGCATTATTATTAGCAGCAGCAGCCTAGAAGGGTGCATAATTGCTATTATTATTTCAGTTATTATTGATTTAGTATTACTATTGCATTATAACTGCTGTTCTTGCATAATAATAATAATAATAATAATGCCACTGCCTGATTATTGTTATTTCATTATTCTTATTCTTTTAGGGTTTATTATTACTATTGCATTACAACTGCTGTTTTTGTATTATTATTATTACTGTATTACCACGCCTCTGTATTATTATTATTTCATCGTCGTCATCATCATCATTATCAGCAGCAGCCTAGAATGGTGTATAATTATTATTGCATTATTATTATCAATTTATTATTACTATTGCATTATCACTGCTGTTTTTGCATTATTATTATACTATCACACCATTGAATTATTATTATTATGATTGCATTATTATTATTATTATTATTATTAGCAGCTTAGAATGTTGTATAATTGTTATTATTGCATTATTGATTTATTATTACATTTGCATTATGACTATTGTTCTTGCATCATTATTATATTACTATGCTGATGCACTGTTATTATTTTGCATTATTATTATTATTATTATTATTATTAGCAGCAGCAGCCTAGAATGGTCAATTTATTATCATTATTATTATTGCATTATTGTGGCTATTGTTGCATCATCATCATCATTATCAACCACTTAGGGATTGTGTGTTATTATTGCATTATTGCTGTTGTAGTATTGTATTGTATTATTATTGTTGTTATTTATTATTATTATTATTATTATTATTATTATTATTATTATTATTATTATTATTATCCACAGAGTCCTTGTCCATGGATTCCACTATCTATGGTGTGAACATATTCCTCCCCCAAAACAGCCTATGGGTGTGTTTAAATCCTTTTGAGTGATCGACCAATTTTTCTAAAGCTGTTATTATGGTTGTCTGGTGGAGTTTTAAAGATTTAAAAATATATATTGTTGATTTCATTTGTAATCTTGAGTTCTGACTTAAGAAAAACCAGTCAATACATTAACATGATGGCGCCATGGTACCGTATGATACAGCCAGGCAACTCCCAAATATTACATGAATATGGACAACAAAACTGGCAGGAAACATATTAATTATTCCAGAACTTGCCTGGGCCGGATACCAACAAACCTGCTTGGAAAAGTATAGAAAGTTGTCTGAGAACTCTGTGTAATATTCATAGGACATAATTGTCAAAACTAGTACTCTTTAATTATCTACACTCTCTCGTTAAAAATTGACGACACACAAAATGGTTTTACAAGTGGAAATTGTTTATTGATTAATAGAATATACATAATCATTAAATTGGGGCAAAAAAACATTAAACCAGACAGGAATTATTGAAGCAAACATCACAGACTTTCAAGAGCAGAAGTACAATAGGATTGTCTCTGTGTGTGTGTGTGTATGCACACACACACACACAATATGTGTGTATATCAGGTTGTTTATATATAATCGCTCCTGCAGTAATACAATGTTTAATTCCTTTATTATACCCACAATTGAAGTTCTTTTCAAACACATTCAGATTCTTTTCACTCCTTAAGCATTACAAGCCATTAGGAGAGGTGGGTAAAAAATAAAGCACGACTACTACTATTACTACTACTACTATACTACAACTACTACAAACATCTTGCATGAATAAAAACGTGGTTTTATATCTGCTCCAGGGATTTTGAGAAGAGGAGAATTAACCAAAGGAACAAGACCTAAGATTAATACAGGCTTAGCATCTCTGATCAGGATTCCCGAAAACCAATATTTTTCTGATTTATGATGCCTCTAAGCCCAATCCTTCATAGGGTTTTCTTGGTAAGGACGACAAACCCCTTTTAATATTTCTGCTTGATTTTGGAAAGTTAACAATATAAATGGGAAGTGCTACATAAAACAAAGCAAATAGTTTTAGGATGCTTTTCTAGTCTATATTGAGTTATCCTGGAGTGACAACAAGGAGTTAATTAAATAGAATGTATAAAAGGATGAGGTGCAGCTACAAGAATTGTAAATATATATTTTATATATGTTTATCTAAGTGCTAACAGAAATATTCAAGAGGATGGCTATGGGATGCCTTTTTAGGTGTATATTATGCACTAGATAAAATCAAGTGTAAATAAAAATATATACAAAATCATAATGGGTTGCTGTAAGTTTTTCGGGCTGTATGGCCATGTTCCAGAAGCATTCCCTCCTGACGTTTTGCCTGCGTCCATGCCATAGATGCAAACGAAACGTCAGGAGAGAATGCTTCTGGAACGTGGCCATACAGCCTGAAAAACTTACAACAACCCTGTGATTTCAGCCATGAAAGCCTTCGATAACACATAAAACAAACAAAATCCAAAGCAGTTCTGATCCCAATCATTTTGGATAAGGGATACCCAACTTAGAAGAAGAAAACAACCAATTTGAATCAAACACCCTGATTTACCCAAACTATAGAATGGGGACTCGGCTGAAAACACTTGAGGACCCCTGCCCTAAAACCTCAAATCCGACTTTCAGAAAATTCATGTTATTCAGAATTAATGAGTGCTGCTTCCTCGTGATTTCATTTCCTAAACACAGAGGCTGGGATTGGTGGTTGGTTGGTAACATTTGCAAACATGGGAAAAAATAGAGATAATTTCTTTTCTAATCTAAACCAGAAAGGTAGAAAAGTGGGCATCCTATAGTATTTTGAAACAAAGGAAATAGAAAAGTTGAGAAATGGAAAATAGCCCTAACTAACACTTCCTACCCTGTCTCTGCTGCTCTCAAACTGGGAGGCCAGACTCACATTTCAGACAGAAAGACTGTCATTATCATTGAAATACTTTGTCTTCCCCCTTGGAAGACCTAAAGTGGGGAGATGAGCTCAATTCAAGAAAGCATTTGCTTCCCACAGGATTATTCGGCATGTATTTCCCCTGTGCCAGCTATTTCATACTGAATAAAGTTTCCTTTTTCTATAAAGAGTTGATCTCCCTTGAGGCCTTTACGGGATTTTGCTTTTAAGTGAACTCCGTGGTGAACCTGGAGGTGGGCATGTCGAGCAAAACGTTTCCCGCATTCCAAGCATCTGTAGCGTTTCTCCCCTGTGTGAACTTTTTGGTGTTTCCCCAGGTTCGAGAGCTCAGCAAAGCTTTTCCCACACACCTCACACTTGTAGGGTTTTTCTCCTGTGTGGATTCTCTGGTGGCTGACAAGGGTTGAGCGTTGGGCAAAACATTTCCCACACTCCTGGCATTTATGGGGTTTCTCTGCTGTGTGGATTCGCTGGTGAGTCACAAGGGCCGAATGTTGGGCAAAACACCTCCCGCACTCCTGGCATTTATGGGGTTTCTCTCCCGTGTGGATTTGCTGGTGATTCACCACATCTGAATGAACTGCGAAGCATTTCCCACACACCAGGCATTTGTAGGGTCTCTCAACTGCATGGATGCGCCGGTGCTTCCCAAGATCTGACTGCTGCGCAAAACACTTCCCGCACTTCAGACATTCATACGGTTTCTCCCCTGTGTGGACACGGTGGTGATTCACGAGGTTGGACTGGTGAGCAAAACATTTCCCACATTCTTGGCATTTATAGGGTTTTTCCCCGGTGTGGATTCTCTGATGGCTCACTAGGACAGACTGACGAGCAAAACATTTGTCGCACTCCATGCATTTGTATGGTTTTGCTCCCGTATGGACTCTTTGGTGATTTACCAGCACCTCGTGACGGGCAAAACATTTCCCGCAGTCCAAGCATTCGTAAGGTTTCTCCCCTGTGTGGATTTTTAGGTGTCGGACAAGCTGGGATCTCTCCGTAAAACATTTCACACATTCCAAACACTTGTAAGGTTTTTCTCCCGTGTGGATTCGGTGGTGATTCACAAGGACAGACTGTCGGGAGAAACATTTCCCACACTCGAGGCACCGGAAAGGCTTCTCTCCGGTGTGGATTCGTTGGTGTTTCACAAGCTCGGAATGGTGAAAGAAATACTTTGCACACTCCAAGCACTTGAAAGGTTTCTCACCCGGGTGAATTGTCCGATGCGAGACAAGTTCGGATTTCTGAGCAAAACATTCTCCACACTTACGACACACGTGCTTCTTTCTCAAACCACCTGCTAAAGATAAAATAACAATAATCTATTTATCTATATAATAAAAGTGAAAAGATGTATGTATGCATGCATGTTTGTATGTGATTTCCAAGAAATCACATTCAGAGACCAATGTGACTCCCACCAATAACATATCTGCATCAAACTTGGCAGATAGATCCACCATGACCAGCAGAAAATATCAGAGGGTTCTGGGAAAAATTGGCCCTGGGCAATGGGAGTTATAGTCCACCCACATCCTGAGTGCACTGTGAACCCGACTGATGATTGATCTGGACTAAACACTGCACACAAGCCCATCATTACCAACTTTTCACGACTGGTGTAGTTTGGATGGCAATGATAGAGGATGATGGGAATTGTATTTTACCCATATACATTTTCTGCTGAGACCATTAATAAAATCCAAAACCAAACAAAGACTCTAGTATTCATTATTACAAAAGATCTAACCCAGGCATTGGCCAGTATCTAAGCTGGTACAGTATCTATGTATATAATAAAAGTCAAAACTTGTATGCGGAGGACAAATGAGGAGGAGCCAATGACCAATCAGGAACAAACTTGGCACATAGACCTCTCATGACCCACTTTATGTCCTGGTGTGGTTTGGCCGGGGATGGACCATGGATTATGGGACTTGCAGTACCTTTGCTCAATTCTTGAGACCACTGCAACCCTCATCAATTATCGATAAAGACCAAACTTGGCACACTGAGTCTTCATGACGCACTCTACATCCTGGTGCAAGTTGGAGGAGGATGCACCATGGACGATGGGACTTGCAATACCTGAACTCCCTTCCTAAGACCATTACAACTGCAAACAATGATGCATCAGGACCACAATTCACACAGAGAGCCCGCATGACCCACTCTACATCCTGGTGCAGTTTGGAAGAATTTGACAATGGATGATGGGAC